CTGAATGGCCGCTAACCTCTCGTAGTACCTCGTTATTGGTTGGTCTGGATCCACTGACTGCTTCGTGCAGTTCTGTCGTGGTGGTGGTGTGGTAATGAAGTAAAATTTCAAAAAGTTGAAAAGCAAATAGTGCCATTTAAGCCATCAATTAAGAAATGATCAACACACACACACAGAAACACGCATGCACACATAAAGAGACAAACGCATGCACGCACACACGCATGCATGCACACATACACACAAACGCACGTACACACACACATACACACAACCTCCTTATAGATATCCAATAATGAGATGGATTGCGGATTGTCCTCAATCAACCTCAGGTGAGGATTCAAGGCCACAACCCTCGGCACCGAGTAGTGGATCAAACGTCTGGCCGTCTCCTAATGACGATGAAGATGATAACGATTGTAATGATGGGGGTGATGAGGATGGCGATGGTGGTAATGATAATGATGACGGCGAATGTTGAGTTGCGGTATCAAGTGACTTGGGCGATGATGCTAATGATTTCGATGGAAGTGATGGTGATTATAAATTGTTGAAAAAAAACACTCACCATCTCACTAGAACCTCACTATCTCACCTTTTGTTTGGAGAGGAATACATTCATCATCCTGAAGAGCTGATAAACCCTCTCCTCCCTCCTAGACTCATTCATGCACGTGTTGTTCACCACCAGGTAGGGGTAGATCTGATTGGAGGACGGTGAAAATAATTGCACCAATCATATCATCCTCATCAACATAATCGTCATTATCATCTTATCATCCTCATCATCATCACCTCTAACGCAATCATCCTCCACATCATTATCATCATCATCACCACCATCATTATCACGACCGCCATCCACTACATTCCAATCCGAGGCACGGCAACCTCAATTGTTCCTAATTGTATTTCGTATCTACAGAGCTCAGCTGTTTGTTTGTTTGAATTGGCGAGATACAAGATACGGACGATAGCAAGGTAAAATGGAGATAGCACCAAGTTCATTCATTCCTAGCCCACCACCACCAACCTTTCCATTCTGCCCCCTTATGTAGAGTCTCCTGGTAGCAGAGTTCAACTTATGAACAATGTCCACCTGCGGCAGAAACCTCTCTATCTTCATGTAGTAGCCGTTTTGCTGCGTGCGTGAAATTGTGTGTGTGTGCGTCTGTGCGTGTCTGTGTGTGCGTGCGTGTCTGTGTGTGTGCGTGTCTGTGTGTGTTAAGATGAAAAGAATGCAAAGACGTAGGCAGACAGGCACTACAGATAGATAGATGCTCACGTACACGAACCTTCACTCAATACCTCATCGTCATCGTCAACCACAAGACTCTCACCATGATTACCAGAGAACAAAAGCCACCAGCAGCCACCAGTAGCCACCAACAACCACCCCCACAAACCTGAGGCACGAGGAACTCTCCGGGCAGTTCGATTTCGAGCATGCTCATGTTGAAGTAGCTCAGCACTCGGCACTTCTCCTCAATGAGGAAAGTTTTTGGCAGAGAGCTGATCCTGGTCTCCATGATGCGGATCCACTTCTTCAACTTATTCATCACGTTCTGCAGTCTCGTTGATCCGTGTGCGCTGTTGTGTTTGTTAATGTTCTTATTCATTTAGTTACTCGTTCTAAACTTAATAATTGAGAGCCAGGCAATAATCAATGGCACAAACAGCATCTCGAGACTAACCTAAAATCAAAGTCAACAATGAACTGGGCCTTCATCCTCTGGAAGATTGGATCCTGTGCAGCTGTGAGACAACGACGCGCCAACGATTCCGACCCGGCATTTCCAAACATAGACATCAAGGACGACGACATCGCTTGCTGCTGCTGACTCCACGGTGCTCCAACAGACGTTGAAGTGCCGGGGGAGAGAGTGGCAGTAGTAGCTGCCGCCGTTGCAGCCGCGCTCGTTTCAACGCCTACGCCAAAAGTGCTGACGATTTTCTTGATGAAATTAAGGGTGTTGGTGGTGACCTGAGCATCGGTGACGGTGCCGCGACTTTCGAAAGCCACCGTGTAACATTTGGAGAGGGCTTGCTTCAACTGACGCAGAACTTCTTCGTAACAATTCTCACGGAACCAAACCATCTGATGTGAAGTGGTTGATTGATTGACTGGTTGGTTGTTTGAACGAATAGTTGATCGTGTAGAGAGGATATGGAAACGGTTAATTGGTTGAAGCAATAAAACGTTGACAGCGGATGTACAACATAAAACAAAACAAACACACACACAGACAGACAGACAGACAGACACGCACACAGACAGACAGAGACCTGATCGATGATACTCTCGAGCAGTGAGAGGACGGTCGGTTGCGTGTCCCTCTGCATGTGCATGACCCTGCTGCACTTCCACATCGAGTTGGTGGCCTTCATGGGACCCACGTGTTCAGGTGAGTTCAACAGTCCTGCCAGGTTACCTTAAAACGTTTTTTTTCATCTTTATTATGCAGCTCTGTCAAACATAGAGCTGCTTACATGCCATTTTATACCTATAGTTAAACTTCCGTGCTACGAAGGCTGTTGTACACTATTCACACGACACAACGCTCATACATAATTTGTATGCACGCGCAAGCACCGCATCATACACGCATGGCGTATGATAGCCTTTAAGTTTCGGTTGGACAGTATTCGAACCATGCCATCGCGTAATAGCAGCAAGAGACATGGCACTTCTACCGACTGAGCTAACTCGCCGACCGTAGATGTTGATACTGTGGAGTCTTGTTGTGCGGATGTTTGTTCAAGTCAACAAAAACAAAGCAGCAGCAACAACAAAAAAATTATTAACAAAAACAAAAACAAACAAACCATGACTCATATCGGCTGGTGGAGGTGAGAGAAGTGAGGTGGAACTCATGGCAGTGACGGGGGTAACACTGAGGGGAGCTGTCGCTGATGACGTCGACGAAGTTGCTGCTGCTGCTGTTGATGACGTTGTTGTTGATGTTGTTGCGGTCGTAGTAGATGTAGTTGTTCCGGTGGCAGAGGATGACGAACGGTTGTCTGATGGGCAACAAATCGGTGTCTCAAGTTGTGACGATGATAAATATAAGGAAACAAAACAAAACAAGATAGCAGGAACAAGAAACAACTAGAAGAGTTAAATATGGAAGAAACCTAAAGCAGTAACTAAACTAAATTTGATAGCAGGCAGACATTCACATACAAATGCATACAAACACACCAACAAATAAACACACACAACACACAGTCAACACACACAAACACAGAAAAACAAACAAATAAACAAACAAGAAAACAAAAAAACAAAGCGAAATACACAAACAAAGCGAGACACACAAACAAACAAAGAAAGGCAAAGACACGAACAAAGAAAGACAAACATACAAATTTCCCTCTGTTCGACTTTCAGGGTGAGGTAGAGGGTCCTCGTGGGGAAGTAGACGGCCTGCGGGTAGACAGATCCGACCTTGCTGATCAGGTTGATGACGTAACGTGTCTCGCTTCTGATCAGGCACGATAATAGCTGTGGTATCCTGGAGGTGAATGAGATGATGAGGATGACGTCATTACAATTATCCTCCTCCTCCTCCTCATCATAATCATCATCGATATCTCTCTCATTACCACATCATTACAATCATCGTCACCACCACCACCGCCGCCACCACCACCACCACCACCACCACTGACCACACGAGCCAGAATGCCGTGGGGATGCCTCCCGAATGCTTCTCCAGCTGTTCGGTCAACTGGTTACTCTCATCATCGTACGATAACAACCACAGTATCTGTTATCACCATCATCATCATCAGTATTATTATTATCATCATCAGTATTATTATTATTATTATTAGTAGTAGTAGTAGTAGTAGGAGTAGTAGTAGTAGTGGGTAGTAGTAGTAGTAGTAGTATTATTATTACTTTAACTATAATTATGAGGATGATGGTGCTGATGATGATATGGTGCTGACGACGATAATGATATGAAAATTATGATAGGAATGACGATTACAACAACGACCATAATTAACCCAACTGTTAAAATCGTCGTCTTTCTTCCGATCTCATCATCGTCATCAACACCTCGCCAACATCATCGTCATCACAGCCACCACCATCATCGTCATCACAGCCACCACCATCATCATCATCACCACCACCATCATCATCGTCATCATCATCACCACCACCATCATCATCATCACCACTATCACCACCACCATCAGGAGTTACCTTGGCAATGTACTTCCTTGATTTGATCTCATTCTGGTTGCGACATGCTTGCAAGTAGCAGACGATCGTACTTATTGCTAGCTGCATTGTCCTGTGGAGGGGTGTGTGTGTATTTGTTTGTATGTGTGTGTGTGTGTGTGTGTATTTGTTTGTATGTGTGTGTATGGGTATGACTGATTGTTTCACATATCAGAAGACACCACAAATGCACCAGACCAGACACGTGGCACTGATGGAGGTGAGAAGAGCTCCACCAAGATGTCTCCTGACTCTAAAACCAACATATCGTCACCACACGATAGTACACACACACACACACAGCAGCACACGCGACTACACCAACCTCTCCCTGATGAAGAGGGCCTCCAGATACTCCCCCCATAAAAACCAAGCTTTCACTTGAGCGTCGTGTAACTGAACCGCAGCTGAAAACGCTTTGTTAGCCTCCTCAGACCTTCATCGTTATCATTATCATCATCATCATCGTTATCAACATCGTTATCATCATCGTTATCACATTCATCATCGTTACCAGTATCACAATCGTCGTCGTTATCATTATCATCATCGTTATCAGCATCAATGCGACCATTATCATCACAATTCCGCGGTTTCTTAAACTTCATTATCGCCGTGACTATCGTACCGACCTTCACCATCATCATTATCACCAGCGCCGTTTCACCATCATTACCCACATTACCAACACCACCACCACCACTATCATCATCATCCATATTATCATCATCATCACCCCTCTCCACATCATCATCATCATCATCACCAACTTGGCCATCTGGACGAGAAACAATCCTTTGAGTGCATAGAATTCTGAGATCATCTCCTTCGTGAAGTACTTCAATGTCGTCGATTCTATCACTTCCAAGCCCTTTCATGTGATTGGTCGGGCGGTTGGTTGGTTGGTCGGTTGGTTGATTGGTCGGTTGTTTGGTTGGTTGGTCGGTTGGTTGATTGGTCGGTTGGTTGGTCGATTGGTTGATTGGTTGGTTGATTGGTCGGTTGGTTGGTTGATCGGTCGGTTGGTCGATTGGTAGGTTGGTTGATCGGTCAGTTGGTTGGTCGATTGGTCGGTTGGTCAGTTGGTTGGATGATAAAGTTGTCAGTGGTTGATTAATTGATTAATTGGCTGGTTGGTTAAACAATTAATAAGTGAATTGACTGATTGGTCATTTGATTGGTCATTTGATTGATTGATTGACTGGTTGGATAACTTACTAATAAATCAAACCAAGCAAATGTGAATGTACAAAAGATCTCTGAAATGTATAAGCCAATCGACCAACAAACAAAAAAACGAACCAACCATCCAATCAACCAATCAACAACAAACTAATCAACAATCAATCAACAACCAGCCAACCAACCAACCAATCAATCAATCAAAAGCTAACCAACCAACACAACCCACCAACCAACCAAACAGCCAGCCAGCCAACCAACCAACCAACCAGCTAACCAACCAACCAGCCCCCAACCTACCAACCTCTTGCAACTCACTCTTTCCCATGTTACCAGACATGAGGAGGTAGCACTTGACCTGCTGTCTGATCTTCTGGTAGCAATCCACCACTGGTACACTGGCTATCGAGTGAATTCTGCCAGAGAGTTCCAAGTTACCATCATCATCGTCAACACATTATCAACAACAACAATAACAATAACATCATCATCATCATCAACAACAACAATAGCATCATCATCGTCACACCACCATCATCTCCACCATCCAATCCTTATCACCATCATCATCTCCACCACCCAATCCTCATCGTGCCAGCATCACCATACCATCATCAACGTCACCATCATGGAAACTGACTTGCTCAAGGAATCGAGGCATACAGATGGTAGAGAATGTTTCCTGGCTATCTTTCCGAATTCCACCATGCCGACAGCTGTGTGGTGCACCCCCAACATCGAAGCGTTCTGCTGGGACTGTGTGTGTTGTGTGTGTTTGTATGTATGTGTGTGTTTGTATGTGTGTGTGTATGTTTGTTTGTTTGATAATTTGTTCGTGTGACGTTGTATTTGTGTGTGTGTGTTTGTATGTATGTGCGTGTTTGTTGTATTTGTGTGTGTGTGTGTTTGTGTTTGTATGCCTGTTTGTTTGATAATTTGTTCGTGTGTGTTTGTTTGTGGTTTTTTGTGTAACGTTGTATTTGTTGTATTTGTGTTTGTGTGTATGTTTGTGTTTGTGTGTGATTGTGTTTGTTTGTTTGTGTGTGTGTGTGTGTGCGCGCGCGCGTGTTTGTTTCTGTGTGTTTGCAGTAAAGTGTGGAGTTGAAAGAAAGAAGTTGGAAATAGAACTGGCCTTGTGAAATTAATTAAGTGAAGATTTGAAGATTTTGCCGCGGTGAAAAGGCAGCTGTTTGAAAGGCAGCTGTTTGAAAGGCAGCTGTTTGAAAGGCAGTTGTTTGAAAGATAGCGATAGGTATGCGTGCGTTTTGGTTATGCAACTAGGAAGGCCAGCAGTGAACAGGCGAAAGACTAACAACATCGTTCGTCCCGAGCTGCTCGTAGATGTTTGTGATGGCCTGGAAATGTTCTTGCCTCCACTGGAAGATGTGACCCCAATGTGAAAGGTCATCTGTGATTGAGGGCATCCTGTTCCTGTGGTCGGTCGTCATGGTGGGAGTGGTGGTGGTGGCGGCGATGGTGGTCAGTGAATCGACGAAGATAAGAAATAAATGTATATGCGGGATTCTTACTGAAAAACAATGAGACAATTAAACAAATACAAACTAATCAACAACAACCTGCAAACAACAACTTATCGAATCAATTAAAAACTCATAAAAAAATCAACAACAGCAACCAAAACCAACAACTACATCAAAAACAAAAACAACAATAACTACATTGGCAACAACAACAACGACATCAACAACTACAACAACAACAACAACAACGACATCAACAACTACATAAACAACAACAACAACGACATCAACAACTGCATCATCAGCAACAACAACATCAACGACGACAACAACAACCTCCATGTCTTGATGATAGCCTTGATGTCATGATTGCTCTGTTCCCTTCCCATGGAGGACGGCTGCATGCTGGCCGCCAGGGAAGCCGCCTCCTGTAGCTCAATTATCAACTGCGCTGCCTGGATAACGCATAAATTATGCTAATCAGTCACGCATAAGGTTAATTAATTGTAAATTATATATTAATCAACTAGGCCAGGTTGAGTGCATACATTGGGGCAAAGTTCGTTACAAACTTAATTGATATTATCATCATCATCTCTTACCTACTCTCAATATCACCATCACCTTCCACCCTATAAGCATCATCAACATCATCACCATCACCACCACCACCATCATCAGGACCTGTAGATATTCCACATGGATCTGAGACACAATGTGGGGCAGCCTCCTCCACTCTTTTATTGCCAGTCCACTCGACGTCTCCACCAACTTTTCCACCTGCATCATCATCATCATCATCACATCGTTACCACCACCACCATCTCCACTACCACCACCATCATTTTAACCAGAGTAATCATCATTATTGATTATCACCAGCATAATCATTGGCCAGCAAACTTCTCGTAACTCACACCATCATCACCATCGTCACTAGGTTTATAGCAAACGTCATCATCAACACTCTCCTTTATTGAAACCCTTTCCATCGTTATTCTCATCACCATCGTCGTCAGCATAGTACACTCACTACCGCCCTCCCACCACATCACTCTCCCATCCCACAACCCCAAAAGACCACCACCCACAGAGGACAGGTTCTGATCTTCGGGGTGACACACAGCCAGGTACCCCTTGTACAGGTTGATCCTCCAAAGATCCTCCCGCGGACAACCATCTTCAACCTGTGCGTGTGTGTGTGTGTGTGCGAGTGTGTGTATGTGTGCGAGTGAGTGTGTGTGTGGTGTGTGTTTGCGAGTGAGTGTGTGTGCGCGTAAAGCAATGTGTGTTTGCGTGTGTGATACAAGCGGCACACGTGTTTGTTGAAGTTAATCATCGTTGAATGAGTGAGTAACTAAACAACACAACAACAATCATTCGCCGTCGTCAAAACAGTCGCTCAACAAATACACACCAAAAAATCACACTATAAAACACACAACTGTCAACCAATCATTCAAGTCGATCAAAAACAAAACTCCGCTCACACCACCATTTCTGCCAACTAATCATACACGACCTACAGAAAAGACCCGCCTAACAAATGAAATAAACTTACCAGTACGAGAGCACTTTTAGTGGCCTGCCATTGGCTCTGTCTCCAGGAGCTTTCAAGCATGAGAGCGGGGTTTAAGTGGTCGGGGTTTTTGGAGTATTCCAGGATCAAGTCCCAGTGATTCATCTCCTTGCTACATCTGTTTGTGATGATGACGACGACGATGATGATGTAGTGATGTGGTGACGACGATGGTGGTGATGCAATGATGTGGTGGGGATTGAAAGTAACATTTAGCCCGGGAACGATAAGCGACAAAATGTGACGATCTGCTAGAGATGATGAATATTATCATCACAACCACCGTCGTTATCATCACCCATTTCATCATCACCACCATCACCACAAAAGCAGCACCATCATCCTCACCAACATCACCACAGAAGCACCACCATCACCACAGAAGCACCACCATCATCCTCACCAACATCACCACAGAAGCACCACCACCACCATCATCATCATAACCACCTGAACCATTGATTCTCCCAAAGTTTAAATTCAGCCACCAATGAATTGGGAATGGCTGTGTGGATGCTGTCAGTTTGACCCTGTGACATCACCTAGTTGGATGGTGGTGGTGGTGATGATGGTGGTGGTGATAATGGTGGTGGTGACGACGGTGTGAAGGATGATGGTGATAAAGTGAATGGTAAAATGTTGATAACGATGATGGAGTGATGGAGAAGTAGTCAAAGAAGTAGGTAGAGTGTTCCAGAAAAAAGGGCCAGAAAAAGCAAAAGCAGATTTAGCAAAAGAGTGTTTAACACGAGTTAAGAAGAAGTGAGAAAAAGAAGACGATCGTAAACCGGGGCGTTTAGGTTCAATTAATATATCTGATAAGTACTTGGGAGATAATTTAGATTGAGACTTATACATAAACGTGCAAATTTTAAAAATTATTCTATATTTTATAGGTAGCCAGTGCAAGAGAACCAGATATGGAGGGAGATATATGAGAAAAGAAAGGGGCACGAGCAGCAGAGTTAAAAGCTTTACTTAAAGGATAGAGTGTAGAATCAGGAAGACCATAGAAAAGCAGAAAACTGTTGACCTATTCAAGAAAAACACCACCCACCCCATAGTACTAACCCCCACCCCACAGTACTAACCACCACCCCCTCCCCACTCACCTTCTCGTATTCCTCCTGTGCATGGAAGAAGAGACCGTGCTGTTCGAGGGCGATGGCCGTGTATGTGGCCTGATACTTGCACCTCTTCATCCACACCCCAGCCACCATGTCCTCCTCCTTCAGACGCCCGTACAAATCAACCATCGCTTCTAAAGCGTCCTATCGTGGCAGTGGTGGTGGTGGTTGTGATGATGATGGTGATGATGATGGTGGTGGTGGTGATGATGGTAGTGGTTGTGATGATGATGGTGATTGTGATGATGATGGTGGTTGTGATGATGATGAAGTGGTGTTGATGATGGTGGTGGTTGTGATGATGATGGTGGTTGTGATGATGATGATGGTGGTGTTAGTAATTGGTGGTTGTGATGATGATGGAGAGGAGGAGGAAGAAGAAAGATCATTAGAAAAAGAGATAATCATCATCATCATCACCGTTGACATCACAATCATCATCACCACCACCACCACCAGAAACATCAGTATCATCCCAATCGTATCATCATCACCATCACCACCACCACCCTCCTGACCATCTGTTTCGAAGTGGCACTACTCTGGGCGGCTGTGGCGTTCGGTAGGAGCCCCTGCGTGTTCAACTTGCTGAACAGCTGAGAACCTATCAGATCATCATCATCATCGTCATCATTATCATTCATCAGTATCATCGTTATCGTCAATATTGTTATCACATTATAGGCACTATCACAGCCACTGACGGTTGTATAAATTACATATTATCGTTATCTTCATCATCATCATCATTATCACAATCTTCACGATTTCTACCAATGCATCATCACCATCATAACCACGTGACATCATCATCAACACTACTACATCACCATCATCATCATAACCACGTGGCATCATCATCATCAACACTACTACATCACCATCATCATCATAACCACGTGGCATCATCATCAACACTACTACATCACCATCATCATCATCGCGAAGACCGACCTAGCAGCCCCCCTTGATACACTTGTCCCTCCAGGCAGAGCAAGCACCTGTGCCAGATGTTGTGACTCTTGGCCAGGTACTTCAGTATTGACGGTCTGTTTGCATGGGCGTTTAGTGTGTATGTACGTGCGTGCATGTGGCTGTATATGTATGTTGTGTGTTATATGCATGTGTGTGTGTGAGTGTGTGTGTGTGTGTATGTGTATTATACGATACGATACGATACGTTATATGCGTGCTTATATAATTTGAACATCTCGAACAGAGAAATAAACAATACAATATACACCCAAAAATACACGATACATACAAATACCCATCTAACATTCAAGACTTACTCAAAGATACAGACAAACAAACAAACACACACACACACACGCACACAGAGAGAGAAAAAGAGAGAGAGAAAAACACACACACACATACACACACAAACAAACACACACAAACCTAATATACAGAGATGGTGAACCGCAATATGACATTGCCTCAACGAACGCCTTGATGGCACTTGGATGAGAATCACGTTGAACGAGGTGGTTGCCCGACGCTATGAAGGGGGTTAACTCGTTCTTCAGGAACTGTGGTCGGGTCAGTATCGGTGGGCAGGTGTGGTCATTGTGGTGAAGGTGGTGGGTATGATGGTCGCGGTAAGGATGAGGTTATTCCAACAAGTAAAACTACACCACAACATGATAAGCAAACAACCAACCAACCAGCCAGCCAATCAACCAACCAATCAATCAGTCAACCAATCAGCGAACCAATCAACCAGCCAACCAACCAGTCAGCCAGCCAGCCAACCAACCAAACAATCAACCAACCAACCAATCAACCAACCAACCAGCCAACCAACCAGTCAACCATCCGACCCAACAAAAACTTTCTAGCGCCCACTAACATTTTGAAATTTATCGTTGAGTGTGGCCCAGACCCTCGGAAAGAATTGGATCCACGTGTCGTAGGCCAGTGTCGTGGAGTTGTGGCACATCTGGATCAAGGACTCTATGAAGACCTGTGTCTGGTTGATTGAATGATTGGCTGAATGATTGGCTGAATGATTGGTTGAATGATTGGCTGAATAAGTGGTTGGTTTGTTGAATGATAGTTTGAATGATTGTTTGAATGAATGATAGGTTGGTTGAATGATTGTTTGAATGATTGGCTGGTTGGTTGAATGACGTTTTAATGAATGATTGGTTGAATGATGTTTGAATGATTGATTGGTTGGTTGAATGATGTTTGAATGATTGGTTGGTTGGTTGAATGATGTTTGAATGATTGGTTGGTTGGTTGAATGATGTTTGAATGAATGGTAGGCTGGCCGGACGATTGCTTGCTGTTCAAGGTAACCAGTCAATGCGATAGTGGCCGATGGTCATGGTTGGTGTTAGTAGAGAGGCGGGATAACTCAGTAATAAAAATCCTGCCTCCATCTAACTGGGTTCGAATGCACGCGTGGATGGTGCGTTGCATCAACTGCGCCACAACAATGAACTCAACAAACAGCACCATCACATTGTTACTTACTACTCGAAACATTCATCAGCACTCTGACCGAAATATCACGAACAGCACAAACAATCTCTAACCTTGTCAGTGACCTGCTGACATTCCTGAATGAACTTGACCGACCTCGAGGTCAACATATTGATGGCAGCCTTCCTGACGTCCAAAGTCATTCTCTCCATGGCACTGACCTGCATCATGACGCAATCCTGCTGGCTGGGATCGCCGCTGAATGCACTGGGGCAGGAGGTGGGAGATGATGTTGACGTCTGCTGCTGCTGCTGCTCAGAGTCCTGGTAGTAGTGGTGGTGGTGTGGCGATGATAGGGGCTGATGGTAAGAAAAAAATCAGGTATTAGAACGGTTTTTGTGCTGGTTTTACAACCAATCATCAACAATCATAATCCAAATTAAATTTGAAACGACGATGATTATGAAAATAATAACTTTCGTGAAGAAGATTGGAGTGATGATGATTGGTGTAGATGATGAAGCTGACGAAACCTAACGATGATGACAGTAATGATGGTGTGAGTTGTTACACAACACACACACCACACACACACACACACACACACACACACACACACACACAAACAAAAACACACATACATGGTCAAAAATACGCACACATACATAAACATATATAGAAACACATACACACAAACCTCTCTAGAAGCTCCAGCCTCCATACTTTGATCCCCACTCTCAACCTCCATGGGAACAGCTGAAGCAGATGCAGCGGCAACGGGAGCAGCCGTTGAGAAGGTAGCAGCTGGAAAAGTGGCAGCCATTAATGAAGATGATGATGACGATAACGAAGATGTGCTGATAGGGGCCAGAAAGCTGTTGGCAGAACTTACATTGACGTCAATGTTCAAGTTGGTCACTAAAAAGAGGAGCTGGTTAGTGGAGTGAACGAGTGAGTGATTAAGTGAGTGAGTGTACGAATGAGTGAACGAGTGAGTAAACTAGTAAATAAATGAACGTCGCCATCATCATCATCGCCATCATCACCTCAAGGCACTGTTTAATCCAAAAGTGTCCGCCCATGGCCTCCCAGTTTTGTGTGGTGACGATGTAGTGGAGGCGGTCGAACAGCCGCCTACGCATGCTCGCTTCGAACGTCGTCATGAACATTTTCCTGTTTTGTAGTCGTTGTTGTTGACGATGTTTGCGGGGTGACTGATGTTGCTGGTTTTGTTGTCATTGCAACAGTATTGTTATAACAGAGCATAAAAACACAGTCACCTTGTGATTTGCTTCAAAAACATCCAACCACAAATTACAACACACAAATTTATATAGAGAATCACAGAAAAAATCAAAACATACATACAGGCAAACAGACAAACACACAGAAGGACAGACAAACAGACAGACAGAGAAACAAACAGACAGAGAGACAAACAGACAGACACCTGATATGCGGCTGTACACATCTTAGACCAGCCAGGAAAGCGGGCTCCAACTTCGAGGCAAGGTCCGTTGTCTTCAGTGTCTCATCACTGATGATGATGATTGTAGTGAAGATGATGATGATGATGTTGTTGTTGACAACGATAACAATGATATTTGGGGTGTTTGTTGTATTTGTAAAAAAAAGAGGAAATGCCAGAACGATTATTATTGGCTGATTAAAATAATAATCATCATCACCACTATCAACATCATCATCACTATCATCATCATCACTATCAACATCATCACTATCATCATCATTACTATCATCATCACTACCATCGTCGCCGTAATCATCATCCTCATTCTCACCATCATGCCGACGACCTACCTGTACAAATAATGGACCAGTTCTAGGAACTGAGCGTTGATCTCCAGGTCGTCTGGGAACCTCTTCTCCACGAAGTTCATCAGCTTCATGAGGAGGAAAGCTTTCTCGCGTAGGCAGGGTATCTGGTTCACTGAGGCTGGTGACTGCAGGCGTGGTGGTGTGGTGATGGTGGTGTGGTGATGACGTTCATCATTTGAAGGATGGCTGTGACGATGATGGTGTTTATCATTCGAAGGAAGGGGATGATGATGATCAACAACTTACCTTATTCTTCATCCATTCATCAAGAATCTTCAGAATGGCTTTGATAACTTTGACGTCGGGACTCTTCTCGATCAGCCCCACTAAGATATTTCCCAGGAACCCTTTCCTCATCTCTGGGTTCATCACCCCAGTCCGATTCTTCACGAGGTCAAGACTAATTATCAAAAGTTCACAAAGAGAAACAGTGCTCTCCGGCGATGCTGCTGCTGAAGCTGCGGCAGCAGCTGCCGCTGCTGCTGCCGATGACGATGCAGCCGCTGATGTGGAGCTGCCAGCTGCTGAACTTGCTGGTGCAGTTCCAGATGTCGGAGAGGACTGGAGATGGATGATGGTGGTTGGTTGGATGGTTGGTTGACTGGTTGTTGGTTGATTGGTTGGATGGTTGTTGGTTGGTTGTTGGTTGGTTGGGTGAGCAATTTAATAAATATTCAATAATGATGAATAAACCAATGATAGCTGATATATCATAAGATCAAAATCAATTAATCAATCAACAATAAGTACACAACACACAATACACATGTACGTACACTCGATGCATTTTTTTTAAACAAGTTTATTTCATGAAAACACATGGAAAAGGATTCCAAAAGAAACCAAAATTTCAAATAACACTCGATGCATAAGTACGTCTAGCACGTAGGTATGATACATCCAGTATATAAAGTATGTCCAGTACATAAGAACTTACGCCAAGTTCTAAGGGTATAAAAACACACACACACAGAGAGAGAGAGAGAGAGAGAGAGAGAGAGAGAGAGAGAGAGAGAGAGAGAGAGAGAGAGAGAGAGAGAGAGAGAGAGAGAGGAGAGAGAGAGAGAGAGAGAAAAATACCAACAAACACACAGTAAACCGAATGGAAACCTGAGTGGTGGAGGACAGATGTTCACGAACAAGTCTTTGTAGAACTCTCATGAATGATGTAATCAATCTGGCGATGATGATGGCGATGATGATGACCACTTTATTAAAATGATAATAATGATAAAGGCAAGATGATGACTAAGCGACGAAGAAAGAAAGAAGGAAGTAAGGAAGGAAGGAAGATGTTCAGCGATGATGAGTGATGATGGTCATTTGAATTATTACCATTGAATAAACATTTAAACGCTTCAATAACGTCATCATCAACTTAATCGCCGTTACCATAGCATCCTCCTCCTCCTCATCATGCTCCTCATCATCATCATCATCATCATCCTCCTCATCATCATCATCACTACCTATCGATATAGCTGGGGTTATATTGGCAGGCAGCCTTCAAGATCATCAAAGTTCCAAACAACTGGGCATGCGTGCCTCCTGAAACTCTGCAATCAACCAACCAGTCAATCAATCAATCAACCAGTCAATCAATCAATCAACCAGTCAATCAACCAGTCAATCAATCAATCAATCAGCCAGTCAATCAATCAACCAGTCAATCAATCAATCAACCAGTCAATCAATCAATCAACCAGTCAGTCAACCAGTCAATCGATCAATCCGCCAACTCGTCAATCTTCAACAGATTAATCATTCAGCTTAATAATAAAGCAAGCAATAATTCGACGACAATTAAATCCAAACAATACAATGCATACACCTTCAAGATATTGACTAAGATATTTCAAAGAAATGTCCCTTAACCCCTCACTTCTTACTTTTCACTTTCGCCGTCAAAGGGCTTAAGCTCTTCACGGCGTTCAAGACTTACTTAAGATCATGCAAAATGTCGACACGCCGGTAAAATATAGCACAGCGCTAATTATCGAATCGGTAAATGTAATTCAGTCCGGATGGTCGATACTGCGAAACAGCGATGTTAACCGAAGCAACCGGTCGGTAACTCATGGCTACATCGGCTCGAAACTTACTTCTCGTAATTGGCTAGACCTTCATAGATGAGCTTGGAGACACAGGCGTACAGGCATTCCAGTTCTTCAAACTTTGAGGCGACAGTCGAGGCGGCGGGTTCGGTGGGGAAAATACTCATGAGGTTGGAGAGGAGGGTGTGGACGACCCTGATGATCCTGATGTTCGTGCTCGTCATGCAGGCAGCCACCCCACGCTGCAGCGACTTGAAGCTGCTCAGTATCGTCTCCTTTTTCTGGTTGGTTGCACGTTTGTGGATGGATTTGTCCATTGGATTGATGGATGGATGGGTGGGTGGATTGATGGGTGGATGGATGGGGGGATGAATGGATGGATAGATGATAATTGTAGACAACAAAATATAATTAGAGCAACAAATAGCATCAGACAACAAACAAATGTAAACGAGGAACATCATCAACAAACCATCCCGCAAACAGAATCTCATCACCATCAAACAACACATCAACACAAACAACAACACAACACATGATCCCAAACAACAACACAACACATCATTACAAACAACACAATACAAACAACAACACAACACATCATCAATCACAAACAACACAAACAACACAAACAACAACACAAACGTCAAAAAACAAACAACAACACATCATCAATCACAAACAACAAAAGACGACGACACAAACGACACGAACACAAACACAAACAAACAAACAAACAACGTACCAGTATTCCAGTTAGAAATGTCAACAATTCGAGTGATGTGCATATGTGGTTGATGTTTGGTTGTTGGCCTTCTACAGACATCAGAATTTTATCGAACCTAGTCATGATGATGATGACGATTGTGATGATGATGATGGCAATTGTGAAGATGATGATGACGATTGTGATGATGATGATGGCAATTGTGAAGATGATGATGACGAGGATGGTTATGATGATGAAAATGATACTAATTGTGATGATCATAATTGTGATGATGATAACGATGACAATAATCACGACTGCAAAGGTCGTCATCATCATCATCATCCTCACCTTCCTCCTCTCCATCATCATCACCATCATCACCACCACCATCATCATCATCACCACCATCATCATCATCACCACCATCATCATCATCATCATGAGAGAACTGACCAGTTAAGTTTAAGGTCGATGTTTGACCAGACTTGCGGGGAGAGTGCCTTCTTCAGTAGCAGGATGCAGCGACGAGAGAGCTGGTCACTCGGTGAACCTGGTGTCTCAGTCATCTAGAACGTGATTGGTTGGTCGGTTGGTTGGTTGGTCGGTTGATTGATTAAATGAATGAATGATTGAATGAATGAGTGAATGAATGAATGAATGAATGAATGAATGAATGAATGAATGAATGAATGACTGGTCGGTTGGTTGGTCGGTTGATTGAAATAATTGATTGAATGATTGGTCAGTTGGCTGATGGAACAAATGATTAACTGAATGTTGACTGATAGTTGGTTAATTGATTAATTGATTGATTGATTTGCTGATTGAGAATCGGCTGAATGATGCATCAGTCATCTGATTGATTGAATGATTGAATTATGCATGCAGAGTAAAATACAATGATAATATTCATAATTTAAAAGTTAAATCATCAAAACATTGATAAAATGATCGATTGATTGATTGACTGATTGATTGATTGATCAAACAATCGGTTGATTGACTGAGTGACTGATTGAAACGAGACCTGACAAGCAATCCTGAGTAGGAAGTTGACAGCAGTATCACAGTGTGCTTTATCGATTGGTTTGCTTACCTCAGGACCTCCACTAGCTGTTTTCAATGACTGTTTGAGTTCGGGTGAACGCACTTCCGCTTTTTACCACCATCATAATCATAAGCACTATCACCATCATCGTCAACATTATCATAATCGTCATTACTATCATCATCATCATCAGCAGCAGCAGCACAGGTATCATTACCACCACCGACTGACCTCATCACCCTCTTCAGCAAGCCTCTGGACCTCCCAGTTTAGGATGACCTCAGCAAGGTCAACTGCCAACTTTCTGTGTTCAGCTGTGGCCTGCAATATCAATCAATCAGTTCATCAATCAATCAATCAATCAATCAATCAATCAATCAATCAATCAATCAATCAATCAATCAATCAATCAATCAAACAATCAATCAATCAATCCCTCAATCAATCCATCACTCAAAACAACCACTCCTAACGGTGGGGGTGAGTCCGAGCCTCTGGATACTACTAGCGACGTTCTGGATGAGGTGTGAACGCACCAGGTAGTAAACTTTGTGGTGTCTCACGATCAGCTGACTGTTGGTTGGTTGGTGGGTTGATTGGCTGGTTGTCAAAATTATTGGGTCAGTGATTGATTTGAATAATTAGTAGATCGGTTGGTGTGCCTCGGTTACACGAATATCACACACTTAAGCATTGAAGCACACACACACAAACACACACACAGACGCACACACACACACGCACAAACACACACAAACACACGCACAAACGCACAAACACACACGCACAAACACATAGGGATAAGGTACTATGAGTAAATAATAATATAAATGAATACAGTATGTGGATAAGTTGAGCGACAGTGTGGCCATCCTCTGAGATGATCTTCTTCGTCCAGTGAGCCAACATGTTCTGTTGGTGGTGGTAGTAGTGGTGGGATGGAAGAATGGATGGATTAAACGATAGATGAATGAATGAATGAACGAATGGGTGGTAGATTTTGATGGTGGGTTAAACTATTTTTTTCATCATCATTGTCATCGTTATAATAATTCTTTCTCCTACAATTCACTCACTCATTCACCTACTCACTCAATCCCTCACTCACCCATCCACTCACTCACTCACTCACCCACTCACTCACCCATTCACTCACGCACTCACATTTTCATCCTCCATCCTGCCGGGCATGACCGGGGTGAGGACGTCGAGGGCCTGCCTGACGATGGCGCGTGCCTCCACCGCATGAGCCTTCAATAAGCTGTGAAAGACCTGCGCGTTACGATGATGATGACGACGATGATGATGGCGAAGTGATTGTCATGACGACGATGATAATGGTGAAGTGATTGTAATGATGACGATGATGATGGTGAAGTGATTGTCATGATGACGATGTTGAGTGACGTTGATGATAACAAGATAATGATGAAGATAATCATGGTGATAGATATCACGGCGACATTGGAAAACATTACGATCAAGTTACAAAAACTTCAGCGATAAAATCTTTTGAAATCAGATTAGCGAAACAACTAACCAACCGGCGAACAACTAACCTAACAACAGACCAATACACTGACAGACCAACTAACTAACGAACCAACCAGCCAATCAACCAACCAGCCAATCAACCAACCAGCCAATCAACCAACCAGCCAATCAACCTACCAATCAACCAACCAACCTGCAGAACGATTCTCTTGTGAATGGCAAACTTGGCGATGATGTGACTGAGGAGCAGATGTCCATGGTACTTTGTGGCAGGGTCGACGCATGTACTAGTCAGCAGACAAGGCCAGGCAAACGTCATCAGTCGACGTAACTTGCTACCTTGTTTCCTATTGGTTGATCGTTCGGTCGATTGGCTAATTAGACAGTTGATTGGTTGGTCGATTAGGCGGTTGGTTGATTGATTGTTCTTTAGGACAGGTTTTATGTGGATTGATGTGAACATTTGAATAGGTTTGTAGCATAAGTTAATACAATCCTATTACTTAAAACACATTTTTTTAATGTAAATATTCAACAGCAATGAGACTTAACTACAAACCAAAAAAACTAAAGAACAGAAGAAACAGTTTGAAAAAATACAACACAGAGAGAAAAAAACAGCACAAAAAGATACAACAACATTTACATATAAAAAAACAGCACAATACAAACCGAAATGCAAACAAACAACATACAAACAAAAAACATGCATACAAACAAAACAATACAATATAGAGTAGTATACAATACAAACTTGTTGGCAACATCGTGGATGTATTTTGAAGCCTTGTCGACAAAGAGACACGAGAGCTGGAGCAACAAAATACGAACTGCGTCTGAAGTTCCGAAGGGATTGTCCGGGTCAATAACCTGGTCATGATGATGATGATGATGAAGATAATGATGAAGATGATGAGAAGGTGGAAGAGGAGGAGGAGGAAGAAGAAGAGGGGGAAAGGGTGACAATGGTGAAGACAGGAAAGAAGAAAAGGACAACGAGGAAAGCAAAATGATTATGACGATTACGTGATGAATGAAAATAAAGATGATCTAGATTTGTTGATGTTGTAACGAGGCTGTTGAAACAGCACAACTGCCATAGTAGCACACAAACCGACACTCCCAGAAAGACAGTCAGACGGAGACAGAAACGGACAGACATAACAAGTGAAGAAAGGTAGAACCTTATTGATGAAGATACTGATGACATTGTCGTCGCTCTCCTGATCCGGTGTCGGCGGACCTCCGATCAGCTGCTCACCCTCGTCCCTGTCAAATGACTCAGCAAAACACGGGATCAGAATGTGCTGCAGGATCTGTGCGTGCGAGCGTGTGTGTGTGTGTGTGTGTATCTGAGTGAATGTGTGTCAGTGTTTATGCGTATATATGTTTGCGTGTCTGTGTGAGTGAGAAAGAGAGAGTAAGAAAGGAGAAAGAAAGGAGAGAGAGAGAAAGAGAGAGAGAAAGAGAGTCTATGAGAGTATGAATGTGTGTGTGTATTTGCCATCATATATGCTGATTAACCAACCAGAAAATAAGTTTGCCTTCTAACTAATGTTATAAAAAGCCGGAATATCATTACAGCTATGACATTAACCAACCAGCCAACCAACCTATCCACCAACCAACCAACCAACCAACCTATCCACCAATCAACAAACCAACCAACCAATCTATCAATCACTTCAATATAAAATCAATCAACAAATTGGAAACCTTCGATTTAACTTCCTGCGACCAATCTTTCAGATGGAATATCTCTACGAATTTGAAGAAGGCGTTCCTTTTCCATTCAATGCTGTATGTCTGCAAGGGAAAAATATAATAATAATAATAATAATAATAATAATAATAATAATAATAATGACAATATTATTGACAATAAATAATGAAGATAAAATTTAATTAGTATCTTTTTTAAATAACTTCAAGTTTGTAAACTACTGGCCAGTAGGAGAAATTAATTTATCTTTTCTTTTTTTTTCGTTCTGCAGATCATTTCATCTCTTAAAGGACCACATGTAACAACTCACGCTTTAGCAGATGACTATGAATACGACTAAATATATATACGAAGTTCGTATAGGTCTCGTTATTGTTTCGAGATTACAAAATAACAATACGAGTCGAAGCTCTTTTTTTTATTTCGATACGAGATTTTTTAAAAGTTGTCTCGTTTGAATAACGATATGATAACGAGAATAACGAATCGAGACGCAGATGCATATTAGAGTTGAGGTTCAGCCCGATCATTAGTGTGATGATCGAGAATTACTAGGTTGCATATGTTCAAGTAACGTAAAACATTTAATGATTGTAAAAATCGTTTGTTTATACCTCTGTTTCGAGATTTATTTTGCATGTATATTTTAACCAAAAACACGTTAAAGCCACGAATCCACAAACAAAATACACTGAACTTATAATAATATTAATAATGAGATGAAGAGAAAGAAGAAGAAGAAGAAGAAGAAGAAGAAGAAGAAGAAGAAGAAGAAGAAGAAGAAGAAGAAGAAGAAGAAGAAGAAGAAGAAGAAGAAGAAGAAGAAGAAGAAGAAGAGGAAGAATAGAAACAATAATCCGAATAATAAAGACGACGACGACGATACGATGATGATAATGACTAATGAGTAAGGAACCTTGGAGACAGTTTCCTCAAGAAATTCTTTAAAAAAGGTGAATTGTGGCATGTACCTGCCCGTGAAACACTTTAACATGTGGAACAGTAACTCCAGCTCATTTGGATGGTGTCTGTATGCATGCGGTCAATCAATGTGGTGATGGTGGCGTGGTGCTTTCAATACAATACAATACAATACAATACAATATAATATAATGCAATACATTACAATAAAATACAATACAATATAATGACATACAATGCAATACACTACAATACAATACACTACAAGACAATATAATGCAATACAATGCAATACCATACAATACAATAAAACACAAACCATACAATACAATACAATACAATACATTACAATACAATACAATGCAATGCAATACAATACAATACGTTACAATACGTTACAATACAATATAATGCAATAAATACAATGCGATACAATACACTACAATGCAATACAATACAATGAAATGCAATACAACACAATATAATGTAATGCAATACAATACAACACAATTTTAGCAGGCTGCCTTGAAGAACAATAGAATAATGACAGAACAACACAATACACATTATACAATAAATATATTACAATGATATATAACACAATACAATACAACACAATACAAAACATACAATACAATACAATACATACAACACAAACACACAAAAATTTTGAAAACAAATCTTGAAACAGACTGACTTGAAGAATGAGAGAAGGATTTCAAGAAGGATACTCGGTTCCTGCCACAATGGGTAATCTACTGACCCCTGGTGATGTCAGGGAGTGAGAGAGTTAGTGAATGAGTTGATAAGAAAGTGAGTGAGTGAGTGAGGGAGTGATCATCGCACCACCAAACCATCACGATGATAAAGCAGTGACTAACAACATTCTGATGTCTGTCATGGAAGTCCCTGTCAACCCATAACGTCAGCAATTTGGCAACCACCCTACTTTGGCCGGCCAACCAGCAATCATCTCTCTCCACTAGGATTCTGATGCAGGTTACGGCGAAGAACTGCTGTTCTGGATACTACACGTGGAATGCGTGTTTTTATGAGTGTGTGTGTGCGTATGTGTGTGTTTGTGTGTGTATGTGTGTGTATGTGTGCGTGTGTATGTGTGAGTGTGGGTGTTTGTGTGTGTATGTGTGCTCGTATGTGTGCGTGTGTGTATGTGTGAGCGTGGGTATTTGTGTGGGTGTGTGTAGTGCGTGTGTAGCATGTCTATGCTCCAATTAGATGAACAAATATCAATGCAACCTTCAAACAAACTAGCAAGCGTAAAATCAAATGAATCAATCAAATCAACAGACATACAAACAAGAAAACTTACATACAATACATAACTACAAACATACAAACAAGCATACGAACGTACAAACAAACACACGGACGAACAAACACACACACACAAACCTTATAAGGCGGCACAGTGAGGTTGAGCAGTCTCTGCGGATTGGTCATGAGGTTGTCACGGAAGCTCTGGCCTTTGTCCTGTTCTAATAGCCACTGTTTGAATGAACAAATGAACAAATGAACGGATGAACGGATGAACGAATGAATGAATGAATGAATGAATGAATGAATGAATGAATGAATGAAAGAAATAAATACATCAACAGTTGAAAGGAATAATAAAAAACAAATGAACGAAAAATTTAAAAAAAGAACGATTAATAAAGGAACAAATGAATGAATGAATGAATGAATGAATGAATGAATGAATGAATGAATGAATGAATGAATGAACAAACTCGGAACAGAGCGTTGAATGAAGTATCCTGAAGCTTCCCCTCGCTAAAGAAGAAGTCAACGGTGGCCTCTGGATGGCGAAGGAGGAATTTTAAGGTAGGCGGCCGGAAGGGGCTGTTTGACTGTTGGGTGGTGATGACGATGACGATGGTGATGGCAAAGAGAGCGACGATGACGATAGAGATAACAAATAATGATGATGAAGCTGATGATAACAACATAAAAATGGACGATGACGACGCTGGTGCTGACGATTACACTGATGATGACGATGACGTGGATGATGATAACAGAAGTACTACAGCACTATCGACAACAAAACACCACTAAAAAGTAGCAAAACAAGAAACCCCGCCAAAAGTTACACCCAACAATAAACAACAAGAGCACTTTCATTAAAAAAAAAAGACAAAAAACGATCACTACCAACAACAAACACCAACACAACCACTATCACAAGACCACCAGCAGCTGCAACACTGACAACCGCCAGTAACAAACAGCCACAAACAGCCACATACAGCCACAAAGAGATCCTTTTCTCCCTTGACTACAAGCATCACCAGCAAATCAATCATTTTTTGGGAAGCTGCTGGAATCAAGTGAAACATCTCAATGATAGCTGCGCATATCTTTTGCTCCTGGCGGCGGTGATGATGACGACGATGGTGATTACAGTTATGATAATGATGTGTGTAATGACGTATGAATGATGATGATGATGATGGTGACGATGAAGATGATGATGACGATGGTGAACGTGGTGATAACGACGGAGATTATATTATAAACGTAGTGATGATGATGGTGAAGATGTTGATGACGACGACAATGGTGACAATATGATGATGACGATGATGAAGATGACGACGACTGACCACTGGTAAGACTTGTCCGGTGGCTTTGATTTGGCAGAGTTTTTGAGGGGTCGATGAAAATTCAAACCACTTTTTCAGATGAGTCTGTGAATGACGACGACGATGATGACGATGATGATGACGATGATGATGATAATGATGATGATAATGACGATGATGATCATGATGACGATAACGATGATAATGACGATGATGTTGACCTTTACAATGCGAGTTATTTTAAGGAAACGATATATTTACAATTAAATCAGTCAATAGATCAACCAGCCAGCCATTCAATTATCCACCCACCTAACCAACCAATCAGTCAACCGACTAACGAAAACCAATCAAACAACCAGTCAAAACCAGGCAACCAAGCAACTGACCAATCAAAATTGACCAACCAGTCAAGACCAGGCAACCAAACAACTGACCAATCGAAATCGACCAAACAAAACCAACCAACCAGCATTTGTTCGCACAGTTTTTCGTTAAACGTGTTGGGGAATATCTGCGTGAGACTTGAGAGGACCTTGATGCGGTGGAGGTTGAGGTTGCTGAAGTCTGAAAGGTGTTGCAGGAGGGGACGCATAGTCGTGTGGACCATGCTGATTTCGACCTGACAACCTGATACGAACTGTGTGTGTGCGTCCGTGTATGCGTCCGTGTGTGCGTCCGTGTGTGTGTGAGTGTGAGTGTGTGTGTGTGGAAGCGCGTGTCTGCAACCAGCTTGGTATGAGTGCTGGTGTAGTAGTATGTGTTTATTCTGTTAACGTCTCTCGAAAGATGAAAATTTTAAAATGTTTATAACTTTTTTATTTCTGCGCGCGCACGTGCCCGCATTTCGCATTTTTATTTTGTTAATGATGAGATACACGATAAAGTGGTGCATCAATTGAAGAGATACACGATATAGCGGTGTATCAATTAAAGAGATACATGATATAGCGTTGTATCAATTAAAGAGATAGACGATATAGCGGTGTATCAATTAAAGAGATACATGATATAGTGGCGTATCAATTAAAACGGTTAGTTCAATAAGCTTAGTAGAGACAGACGATTGATTAACTAAATGATTAATGAAATAATTAACAATCAAATCAATTAAGGAAACAAATTGGTTAATTAATTACTTAATTAATTAATTAATTAATTATTAATTAAATAATTAATTAATTGATTGATTAAGGAAGTAATCAATTAATTAAACAATCTAACAGGCTTAATAAGTTTACTAAGTACACAAGTATCGGATAGACAGACGATTAATTAAATGATTAACGAAATAAGTTATCTAATTAAACAATTAATTAATTAGTTAATTAGTCAATTAAAGGAGTGTGTAGGGCGGCTCACCCTCTTCATGCAGACAAGAGCGACATCCTGGAGTTGGACGTTCGTGGAGTTGAGGGCCTTATAGAGGATGGAGAAGATGTTGTTCTGTTTTTCGGAGACGTGGTGGCAAGCTGACAAGACCTCTGTTGTTGTGGTTGTTGCGGTGGTTGTTTTGGTAGTTGTTGTTGTTGTGGTGGTTGTTTTGGTAGTTGTTGTTGTTGTTGTGGTGGTGGATGTTTTGGTGGTTGTTGTGGTTGTTGTTGTTGCGGTGGTTGTTGTTGTTGTTATTTTTGTTGTTGTGGTGGATGTTTTGGTAGTTGTTGTTGTGGTGGTGGTGGATGTTTCGGTGGTTGTTGTTGTAGTGGTGATTGTTGCGACGACATGACGAGTGCCATTTTCATCATTAACCAATAATAATAAAAATAATAATAAGAAGACGAACATCAAGAATAATATTAATATTACCATTGTTATTATTATTATTATTATTATTATTATCATTTACAAATAGCACATCTCCGGTACTCACTGATCGCACTGATCCTCAACGGTACAAAGTCAGAGACGTTTTTGTAGCAGTTCATCCGAAGAAGGGCAGCGTCATCGTCATCACAGAGGTGGCAGAGCTCCTTGAAGAAGAGCTGATGTTCTACCACGTTCATGTCCAGTGTCACTAGGTGGGGCTCCATGCACATGCAGAATGCATTACCCTCCTGTCCGTCACCGCGGTCGTAAGTGGTGGCGGTGGTGGTGGTGATGAGTGGTGGTGGGAATGAGGTGGTTGATAATAATGGTGGTAAGAATGGTTTGCTGATGATGATGACGGTAAAAAAAAGAAATAACTAAACAGTCAAAATACAAAACTGACCATGATCCCGATCTGGGCCTGAGGTGGTTGGTAGCGTAGCAGATGCTTCTTAGGGGGCACAACGTCCATGATGACTTCTTTGAAGGGCTCCATCAAGCAGTTCAGGGACTGGTTGGTGGCTGCAGCGAGAGACTGGAGAACGTGCATCACCTTCAAGTAAAAAAAAGTTAATCTGACAAACTGACCAAACAACAAAGTGGACAACAAACGACCAACCAACTATATAACAAGTTATCCAATCAACCAGCCAACCACCATTCATTCCGCCAATTAACCACTCAACCAGCCATTCAGCAAGCCAACCAACAAACCATCCATCCATCCATCCATCCAAACAAACAAACGAACGAACAAGCAACAAAACTTACATGTTCCCTAACAAGTTGATTAGGAGACGTGATGTGCCTGCACAACTCTTTGACGCAGTCAGAGCAAGAAACAGTGAAAAATTCAACTTTTTGTTGCTCAGTCAGCTGCTGTTGTTGTTGTTTTTGTTGTTGTGGATGTTGTTGCGGTTGTTGTTGCGGATGTTGTTGTTGCTGCTGTTGTTTGAGAGATGAGGCAGCCTTCGAACATTTGATGCACATCTCTTCCATCACTGTTCTCGCAACTGTCAAAGTACCATTCGATACCTGGGGAGCACCAATCAATCAGTCAATCAATCAATCAGTCAACTAATCAATCAACCAATCAATCAATCAATCAACCAACCAATCAATCCACCAATCAATTAACCAACCAATCAATCGATCGATCGATCAACAAACCTCCCCCGTTAGATCAGTGATGACGAATATGAATGCCTTCAGGTAGGACAACTGCCTACTCATCAGAAAGTCCAGCGAGGCATTTTCGTACATGAACTTTATTAGCAGGCATCTTAATTTATTCATTCATGAATATTTATGAGACATTTTAACTAATCAATCAAACAACCAACTAATGGATCAGTCAACCATCAATCAATCAATCAATCAATCAATCAATCAATCAATCAATCAATCAATCAATCAATCAATCAATCAATCAATCAATCAATCAATCAATCAATCAATCAACCAATCAATCAATCAATCAATCAATCAGCCCAACGCACCCTCCTATCTTGTTGTACCAGGCCCGCTCGTAACACAGGTACACAATTTTCTCGGACAGGTACTCAAATAAGGGCAGTTTGCAAGCCTACATTTAGGCCAGTGAGTAATAGATGAATGAATGAATGAATGAAAGATGATAGATATTAGATATATCAATGTTAAACGGAGATTTATAAGAAAAAACGAAGCACTAATATCAAAATGAACAACCGATGAATCAACCAACCAACTCAATGAACTAACCAACCGACTGACCAACCAACCAATCAACAAACCAACCAACCAATCAATAAACCAACCAACCAATCAATAAACTTACAAACCAACCAACCAACCGACTAACCAACCGACCAACCAACCAGCCAACCAACCGACCGACCAACCAACCAACTGACCAACCAACCAACTGACCAACCAACCAACTGACCAACCAACCAACTGACAAACCAACCAACCAATCAACCAACCAACCAACCAACAAATCAACCAACTGACCAACCAACCGACCAACCAACAAAACAACCAACCAACCTTATCTTTCCCGCCAAGCAGCATGACGGCCACCTTCAAAATGGTGGCCAGCGCGAGGAGGCTGATGTTAGCGAGGTCTCGTTCCTCGCCACCGATGATGTTGATAATGGCGTCGATCATCGTCTGCGGGTCCAAGGTCATCATTGAATCGAGGTCATCCTGGTTCAAGGACGATGGTCCTGCGGTGATGGGTTTCAAAGATGATGAAGCAGGAAATAGATGAATGGATAAATGATGAATGAATGAATCAATCAATCAATCAATCAATCAATCAATCAATCAATCAATCAATCAATCAATCAATCAATCAATCAATCAATCAATCAATCAATCAATCAATCAATCAATCAATCAATCAATCAATCAATCAATCAATCAATCAATCAATCAACCAATCAATCAATCAATCAATCAATCAATCAATCAAATCAATCAATCAATCAATCAAATAATCAATTAATTAATCAATCAATCAATCATTCAATCAATCAATCAATCAAAATTTATAATTTGCTTTATAAAAATTAATCAAATGAAGTATCAACAAGCTAGACAAAAAGATATTTTTAGAATTTAATCTGGCATGGCATGAATAAGCACTAAAATGATAATTATCATCAAGACATCATCGTCGTAATTAACACCGCTGTTGTAGTCATCATCATCATCATCATCCTCATAGTCATCATCATCATCGTCATCATAGTCATCATCATCATCATCATCCTCATAGTCATCCTCATAGTCATCATCATCATCATCGTCATCGTCGTTATCATCTTCATAGTCATCATCATCATCATCATCATCCTCATAGTCATCATCATCATCATCATCATAGTCATCATCATCATCATCATCATAGTCATCATCATCCTCATCATCATAGTCATCATCATCCTCATAGTCATCATCATCATCATCGTCGTCATCATCCTCATAGTCATCATCGTCATCATTATCCTCATAGTCATCATCTTCATCATCATCGTCGTCATCATCCTCATAGTCATCATCGTCATCATTATCCTCATAGTCATCATCTTCATCATCATCGTCGTCATCATCCTCATCGTTTAAAACCGAACTGACCGATCTGCTGGGAAATAGCCACCAGAGCGTAATGAGTGACCATGGAGATGATGAAGTCATTGACGTCCGTCAGGTCCTTCACTGAAGAGGCCACTGTTTCGAATTGTTATTGTTGCTTGCTGACGTTAACAGGTTCATTTACTACAGTCCTCATCATCGTCCTCATCATCGCCATAATCATCTTCATCATCACCATAATCATCTTAATCATCGCCATAATCATCTTCATCATCACCATAATCATCTTCGTCACCACCATAATCATCTTCATCATCGCCATAATCATCTTCATCATCACCATAATCATCTTCACCGCCACCATAATCATCTTCATCATCACCATAATCATCACCATAATCATCTTCATCATCACCATGGCAACCAACCAAACATGGCGCACAGAGCTTTGATGTGTGTACGTCTGGCGTGTACATCGGGACAAATGTACAGCGAGGTGGAATTCGGTTGGGGGGTGTACGCCGTTAGGCTGCAGGTGGATGAGTGGAAGGATGGATAGATGGATGGATGGAGAAAAGGTAACAAACAAACAAACAAACAAACAAACCAACAAATAAAATGTAGAAATTATAAACGAATTATAATTCCCACAAAAATAACTCCCACATGGGAACTTAGATGAAAGCGAAAATGAAACAAATCTCACTCGTAACGACTGAAGTAATGGTAAATATCTTCAAAGGTGCTGGCGCTGCCGGAACCTCCAGCAAAACTCACAAAACTGCTGTCGCTCGTGGCGTCACCACCACCACCTCCACCAGCGCCACTCCCTCCATCGTGCCCAACTTTCCCGCCACTGGACACGAGGGTAGAGATAAGGTAGGTCCTCACGAAGTTCCACGCATGCTGCTGATAGTACAATTCAGTTGATGGCGGCAAGCTACTGCTGGAAGATGATGATGAAGGTGATGCTCCTGACGACAATGATGTCTTTAACAAGTTCAAAGCTGTTTCAATTGCGGTGTCGACGGGGAGGTTGATGGGGGAGCGACCTTCCAGGAAGGTGATGGCCACGCACGGGCCGACCGTGTTGTAGTCTTTGATGGTCAACTGATCATTGATCGGTCGAAAAGGTGAATAGATGGATGGATGAATGAATGAATGGATGGATGGATGGCTAGTTATAGCTTTTTATGGTCTTCCCGCTTGTTTTTCAGCAAATAAAATGAAGCGAAAATAAAATGAGAACGAGTGGGTGAATGAATGAATGGATGAATGAATGAATGAATGAATGGATGGATGGATGGATGGATGGATGGAAGGATGGATGGATGGATGGATGGATAATTCAATAAATAGTCGGACGAAGAGCATGTAATACAACAATGACAAGGAATTATTTTCCACTTATTCCCATGATCACCTGATCACGTGACCACTCACCTTCTGAGGAGCATGTAGCATCTTCCTGTTACTTCCGCCAAATTTTCCGAGAACCCTGTAAGCCACTGCAGCCGTTGAATCTGGCGCGTTATTAAGGCATCGCCACAACGCCTGCGTTGTAAGGAGAGTGTGTTTGTGGCGTTTCGTTTGTGTGCTTGTGTGTACAGATTTTGTGTGCTGTACATCTGTATATTTGCAGATTTGTATGAATGTTTGTTCTGCGTGTATATGTATGTGTGAATATGTGTGTATGCGTGAATATGTGTGAATATGCGTGTGTACGTGTGTGTGCGTATGTATATGTTTGTATGAGTCTGTGTATGTATGTGAATGTGTGTGTACGCGTGTGTATGAATACGCAATTTTATACCCTACAGACCTGCATAAGTTCAGCTTTGACGGGTTCTATGTGGCTAAACAGGAAGTCCGGCTGCAAGTTATCAACACACAGCTCCAGCGTACGTAAGCCCTGGATGACGTCATCATCGTCATCATAATCATCACCATCAACAGTAACATCATTATCATCGCGTTCAACACCACATAGGCGTCATCGTTGGTATGAAAATTTTATCATCATCGTCGTAATCACTACTTACGACAAGATTCATATTACAACATCTACCTACTACACTATTCATATCACTATCTCAACTTCACCACCCCCGTCGTCACCATCATCGTCATCATCATTGTCACCATCATCGTCACCATCATCGTCATCATCATCGTCACCATCATCGTCATCATCATTGTCACCATCATCGTCACCATCATCGTCATCATCATCGTCACCATCATCGTCACCATCATCGTCACCATCATCGTCATCATCATCGTCACCATCATCGTCACCATCAGTACAGACCTGACTGACTAGGGTCTGAGAGCCATTGAGAGCTGACACGAGTGGGTCCATGAGCATTGGAAGGTACGGAAGGAGACTTGACAATCTGTTGTGATGACGTGTCGATGTGGTGCTGTGATTATGTGATGTTGTGATGTTATGTGATGTGGTGATGATGTAGTTAGATGGTGAGTTAGCTGTGTCTCACGCTGCCTGGTTCGAATGCTGCCTGTCCGAAACTCAAAAAACTGTGTGTCGTGTGTAGCATGGCATAGTATAGCATAGTATAGCATAGTATAGTATAGTGTAGCCTTCGTGGCATGAAAATTTGGTTAACATATTAGCGTATAAGCAATATAACGACTTATGAGCAGTTGTTGCGATAGACAGAGCTGCGTAACAAAAAGAAAAAGAAAAAAAAGATGACGATACTGCGACGATGTAATGATGATGTGATGACGATGTGGAAGTGTGGTGGCGATAAAAATGATGATGACGATGATAATGATACCTGACGGGAACAGTAAGGCAGAGTTCGACAAAAAGATCTTTCATGTGCTGTTTATGCAAACCGCTCTGAAGACTGTTTAGTCCTGATCATCATCATCATTATCATCATCATTATCATCATCATCATCATCATCATCATCATCATGAAATACATGTACATGCACACAGGTTAGTGAAAATATAAATGAAAGAATGAACGAATGAATGAATGAGTGAAGTTTTCAATCTTCTGTAGAGTTGGACCTGCCCACTACCTACACAGCCTGGATCCCTGACCTTATTTCCGAAATGGACATTTATTTCCAGCACCTCAGCCATGTACCAACTGCCTGCTGATCTGAACTTGCCCCGAAGCTCCACGCCCTCGTACAGTTTCAAACACTTGGGAGTTACTGATGTACGAACTTGCCGTTCTGTTGATCTCCCATCTCCCATCTCTTCTACCGTTAAATCTCGCAGCAAAACCATCGGGTTCATTTGTCACATCCTACACGCTACATGACATGCCCAGCTCATCTCCGCCGACCAAACTATACTGGTTATTATCTATTCATCAAGGCAAAACTTGCTGTAACCACTCACTGAGGCTAAACATACTTCAACTGGCTCGTCTTTATAACCCCCTACACCCTCGACAACATACTGGTCACCATCTTCGACACAACCCCAGCAACTCCTCTATCACTCCAATCTGTCAACAAATCTCTTTTGCTGGCAACACTCCTTCCTTCCTTCCTTACTTCTGAAACAGTTTGCGAACTCTCAAACAACCAGCTGTCAATTTTTAAAAGAGTATTTGAAGCTTCATTGGTTCGAGCAAGAAATTTGGATGCGACATCACGATGATTCATCCCGACCTCTCTTGACGCCACGCACAGGGCTCTATATAACAACCCAGTATTTTTATCAATAGTAATGAATTAACCGACCGAGGATGTTACAGCTAACCTTGCAGAAGATTAGGTAGTAGAGGAAGAAATTCTTGATAGAGAAGATCATGGCTGCCTCCTCCGATGGACCTGAAGAGTGCACGCAGCAAGAGGAAGTAGTTGAAGGGTTCCTTGGCTGTGCGCGCCAGTTCCATCGAACGATTGACGATCGTGTGCAAGTGTGGCTGTGTGCGTGTGTGTGGTGTGCGTGTATGGTGTGCGTGTGATGCGAGTGTGTCGGTATTATTATTAGGTATATCTTTGTAAATCAACGCGAGCAGAACCCCTTGCCAAACTAAAGCATACAAATTCTAGAAAAATCTAAAAAAAATTAAAACACAGTTCCAAAAAGTTAGCTAGTCAAAACGTTACGTGTTGTGCGCGTTTATATGCGCTTATGGGAGGTCACAGCTCTCCAATGTTTAAGTTCTTCTAACATATCCCCTTTCGTCAATGTCATCATCATCAAACTCATCGTCCCCACCATCAACAAAGTAATCATCATTCTCATCACCTTAAGCATCTGTTCGTTTTCATTTGCCAGGAGGCTGACTGACCCAAAAACCAGTTTGAAGAGTTTCAGGTACAAACTTGACTGTTCGACGCTTGCTGTATGTACATCATTGTAGTACAATGTCTATTTACAATATAATATTTTTATTTACCCCCTCAAAATGTTTGTTTGTTTGTACATCATTATAGTACAACGTCTTATTAATTGTTTGTTTGTACATCATAGTAGTGCAATGTCTTATTTGTTTGTTTGTTTTTTTCTACATCATCGTCGTCGTCATCATCACAATCGTTTCAATCAATATCATCACCACTTTCATCATTACACATCACTCCTCAGCCTCTGCAACTTTTGGATACAAACACAAACATGCACACACACACACACACACACACACACACACAAACATACAACACACACACATATGCAGAAACACACACGGACAGACATACACTCGCGAAGACAAGCACTCAGAAGTAGACACAGGCATATACAGACTGACATATACACATATGGACAGACAGACAGACATGCCAGCAATAACAGCAGCAGCAACAACAGCAGCAGCAACGACGAGACATACATCCCATCTCGTCCATATGTAGCAGGAGATACTCGACGAGGATCGTGGCAAAAGTGGCTGAGGTCGTTGGGCTGGCTAGGAAGGTGTTGGCGATAATCTGGAGCCGTTGAGTGAGTGATTGATTGATTGATTGATTGGTCGATTAATTCAATCATTCATTTAATAATGGCTTGATTAAATGAATGAATGATTGAATAGATGATTGATTGATTGGTTGATTGATTTATTGCTTGATTGATTGATTGCTTGATTGATTGATTGATTGACTGATCGATTGGTTGATTATTGGTTGATTATTGATCGATTGGTTGCATGGCTGATAGACTAAATTGTACTTTGACCAGTTGGATGATTGATTGAATGATAAAATAGGCGATTCGTTGATGACGAATTGTTAAAACTTGGATGAATAAATGAAAAAATGGATGAATGCATGGATGGATAAATGGATGAATGAATGAATGAACGAATAAAAAAATAAATAAACTAATGGATTAATAATTGAATGAACAAATGAACGAATGAAGGAATGTACGAATGAACCTGAAGGGCATAGTTGGCGTGTATTCTATTCACCATAAACTGCAACAATTATAATGTTAATAATTATAATTATTAAAATAATTTCTTCACCATCATCATTATCATTCCCATCATTATTAACATCGTTATCACTGCCCCCACCACGATCATCATAATCATCATCGTCGTCGTCGTCGTCTTCAACCACTTCGCTAACCTCGATCACTGTTGAAAAAATTTCTTTGAATGTTAACTGGCTCATCATGATAAACTGTTATTGTGTGAATGGATGGATGGATGAATGCATGAATGAATGAATGAATGAATGAATGAATGAATGGATGGATGAATGAATGAATGAATGGATGAATGAATGAATGAATGAATGAATGAATGAATGAATGAATGAATGAATGAATGAATGAATGAATGGATGGATGATTGAATGAATGAATGGATGGATGATTGAATGAATGAATGAATGAATGATTGAATGAATGGATGAATGAATGAATGAATGAATGAATGATTGAATGAATGAATGAATGAATGGATGGATGATTGAATGAATGAATGAATGAATGAATGAATGAATGAATGAATGAATGATTGAATGAATGGATGGATGATTGAATGAATGAATGAATGAATGAATGGATGGATGGATGATTGAATGAATGAATGAATGAATGAATGAATGAATGAATGAATGAATGAATGAATGAATGAATGGATGAATGAACAAATGAATGAATGAATGAATGAAAAAAAGAATGATAAATGAATAAACGAGCGAATAAGTGAATAATTGATTGAATGGAAAAAAGAAAGAAAAAAAGACAGAAAGAAAAAAAGACAGAACGACACTGACCACTCCAGCAAAATGTTCTAGAACTTCCTTCTCCTCCTTCGTTCGAACCGTCTGCACACTGCAAGCAATTAAAAAATGAACGAAAGAATTAATTAAAAATAAAAAACAACAACAACAACAAAATAACAACAACACCAGCACTTGGCAGGGAGGGAGAGTTGCAAAGGTTTGTTTGTTTGTTTGTTTGTTGAGGAGGAGGGCAGAGGGACTTCCATGCACCGTCCCCAATCGGCTCCAAGATGCTCTGCGTAAGACAGCACACGGATCTCCCTCTCATCTCAGTTCCTCCTGCAGTGCCACAACCCAGACGACTCCTGCCACACCATTACAAATAAGTCACATCCCTTTCGCAATATGAGGGACACCAACAGATGGTACAACCGTTGCTCCCAGCGGTCATCAGCAGCTGCTTTTCGCTAAAGGTAGCATCAGTCACACTACGCAGCAACCTCGCCCAGAATCACATCAGGCTGCGGTGCTCGCTGCTCAATGGATGGCTACTCCCGACTCCCACAATAGACAAGGTAGAAAAAAATTTACTCAAAAGAGATGAGATGAGAAGAGCATTGGTTCAACTCCGCTCAGGTGCATCCTACTTAACAGCTATAGGGCTAAAATCGACACTAGATTAACCAATAAATGCCCTCTCTGCCAACAGCATCCGGATGACGTACACCATCTATTCAGTTGCACCAGCAACCCGGCGTGCTTACAACAGTGGGTCTCTGGCATAACCCGATCGCAGTGGAGAACTGACTCCAACCAGGCCTGAGTCTTCAGGCAGGTGTCTGAAGCAGGGCAACAACAACACAACAACACGGCAACCACAACAACAACACCACCGCCATCACCACAACAACAACAACAACAGTAGTACTAACGATGGTGATCTGATTTGTATGAGCCCCTGGCTGGTGGTATTGATGGTGTAGATGTCGAGGGCACTGAGGGCAAACTTCACCAGGCGAATGTACACGTGGATCTCCCGCGGAAGGAACTGCTTGTTCTGGAACATCACCGGATCTGTGCATGACGACGACGACGACGATGGTGATGATGATGATGATGATGTGACAATGATGGTGATGATGATAGTAGTGACGATGGCGGTGATGATGATCATGATAATAATAACGATGAAAAAGTCCTAACTTTCATTACTATCATCATCATCATGTCATCACTCAATCATTATCATCATCATCATCATCACAATCATCATCATTACTATTCTCCCCACCATCAGGACTAACCCATGACTGCTTTACATGAAGTCAGTCCCCATGTGATGGTCTTAACCCCGGAAACCAGGGTCTTGACCAACCCCTTGCAATCGGTGACTGAGTAGGTGGGTGTCGAAGGGTATCTACTGGTCTGTCGTCAGTTGGTTGATTGGTTGGTTAGTGGGTTGATTGGTTGGTTAGTGGGTTGATTGGTTGGTTGGTAGGTTGATTGGTTGGTTGATAGGTTGACTGGTTGGTTGATGAGTTGATTGGTTGGTTGGTGAGTTGATTGGTTGGTTGGTGAGTTGATTGGTTGGTTGGTGAGTTGATTGGTTGGTTGGTGAGTTGATTGGTTGGTTGGTGAGTTGACTGGTTGGTTGATGAGTTGATTGGATGGTTGGTGAGTTGACTGGTTGGTTGATGAGTAGATTGGTTAGTTGATTGCTTTGGTTGATCAATTGTAGTGATTGCCGCTACTACGACTGCCACTAGAAGTATACTTTGCTTGAATAGTTATAAAACCACACAACAACAGCAGTAACAAGTAGCAGCTAGTAAAAAAAAAAACAAAACGTGGGGATTACCAACCTTTCCATCATCTTTACCACCGATTCCACCATCCAGTCCTAGCCCTAGGTTGGAACCTGCATAGCCAACACTACCACCCCCACCACCACCACTACTGCTAGCAGCTGCTGGCCCTGCAGCTGATGAAGAGGCGCTTGTGGCAGTTGTAGTAGAGCTGAGTAGAGCTTTCATGCTGTCGGTGCTATCAACAAACAGCTGCTTCTTAGTTGATGATAAGCTGAGAGCAGCTGAGGAGAGCGAGGATGAAGACTGTTGGGGAGTCGATAGGAGCGGTGACTCTGGGGTCGTGCAGGTGTTGGCGTTGTTGCTTTGCTGCTGTTGCTGCTGTTGCTGCTGTTGGTGTTGCGGTGTCTTCAATTTGGATGCAGAGGAGGATGAAGAGAAGGAAGATGATAGGTTTGGTAGAGGCGAGGAAGTTGATAAAGAGGCTGTTGCCGCTGCTTCAGACTGACGGCTGCAAGATAAAATATAATAATAAATAATTTTTTTCTGGATATAATTATTCAATTCTCTTTACAATGCAAACATACAACTACAAGTCCAGAATGATTCATTGTTCGCTTCCAAACTAACCAACCAGCCAGACAACCCACCAACCAACTAACCATTTAGCAAGCAGGCTAGGCAGTTGAACTTCAGCAACGACCTTGAACTTTAGCACAAAAACTTCCAACATCCTCAAAAATATCTCACGACCCTTGGTGAGTAACAATGATAATGAATAACGAAACAAACACGCACGGATGCACATACACACGTAACGTACACACCACACGTACATGCACTGCACTGCACATATATAGACACATCACACACACACACACATCACACACACACACGCACGCACGCACAAACATACATACATACATACATAGCATAAATACGCAGTAACACAGACAAACCCTGATGGGACGCCCAGCAACATTGCTTGTAGAGTTCTCAGTCTCACTCTTAGACCTGATACATTCGACGAGGTTGAGCAACAGCTTGCAAGACATGTTCTGTATGCTGCAAGGTAGGGTGTCGTCGTGCACATTCTTCGAGAAGAGGTTCACAGCCTTCTGAAGATCCGACATGGTTAGGTTCTGTCGAATGTGGTGCACCAGGTCGGCAAGGGTGCTGAAAGCCAGAGGTCTGTTGTGTTCATTCAGGTTGGGGGGTGGGAAAAGATTTAACCCATCACATAACTCTAAACGAATGTTATTGAATCCATTCAACAGTCTGACATGCACGTGAACCTTAGTGATTCGTGGGTCGTCCAACCGGAGCCAAACAAAACATCCTCGTCAAACAGCTTCTCTATGTGAGGCACAAACTCTTTATGCAAATGTGATGATGATGGCGATGAAGATGATGATGGTGGTGGTGGTATTGACGATGATAATGGTGATGGTGATAGTGATGGTGGCGGGGATGATGATGAAGATGCGAATGGTGGTGACGAGCAACGATATATTCAAAATGGTGAAAACATCATCATTAACACAATCTCCATCCTCATCATATTTTTCCACATCACCAACATCACTAACTCGTCCTCAAATCTGTGGCTAGGATGTGCCTGGAAGCGATGAGTAGCTCCTTACGGAGGTGGGCAACTTCTGGAGGGCACAAGGTCAAGAGGTCAAGCATGCCCTGGACCATCTTTGCACTGTGAGCCGTTATGGCATCCTGATAAATCCTAGGAAGTTGTGGTTGTAGAAGTTGTGGTCAATACTATTTAATACATCACCAACTTCATCATTAATGATACAACTCTTATCGTTCCATCTACTCATCGTCGCCATCTCTATTATCATCATCTAATTAAGCCCTTACTACCATCATCATCATCATCGACAACATCATCATCAGCATCATCATCATCATCATCATCATCAGCATCATCATCATCATCAACATCACCATTAACATCATCATCATCAACCACACCATCGTAAATTATAATCATCAACATTATCGCCACAATCGTCATCAGCACCGACCTTATGATGTAAGCCAGAAATGACAGTGTCTTGATCTGGGCAGCTATGAAATCAACAAATATCTCCCTGTTAAACTGTGGGGATGCCCTGCGGCAGTGATGGGTGATGGCGATGATGATGGCGATGATGATGGTGGTGACGGTGTGATAATGATGATGACAAAGATGATGGTGTGACGATGATGATAAAGATGATGATGATGATGATGATGATGGTGTGACGAGGAGTGTTATGATGCTACTGATGATGATGATAATTACGATGATGATGATAACGATGGAGATTTTTATGAAGAGGACTATGGTGATGTTGTAGTTGTTGCCATTGACGATGATAATGATGATGAGATGTTGCAGTTATTGGTGATAACGATGAAATGGCATTGAAAAAAAAACAACAACACCAACTAAACAAAACCAACGACAGCAACAACAACCTAAGACTAACATTAACAACAACAACAACACTAACAACAACAAAACTAACAACAACACTAACAACATTAACAACAACACTAACAACATTAACAACAACAACACTAACAACAACAACAGCAGCAACAACAACAGCAACAACAACAGCAACGGAAACCTCTGCTCGGGAGAGGGATGCATATTGATGGTGTTCATGATGAGCGGGATGAACTCTGCAACTTCGTTGTGTACTTGCTGCTTGTACAACTGGTACATGAGTACGACAATGATTGGCAGTTCGGCGAGTACTTTGAGGGAAGCTGTCGCCCTGGGCATCAGGTTGTACTGGGAAGATGTTGACGAGGAGGAGGGGATGAGGAGAGAGATGATGACAGAGATGAGGGTGAAGATGATGATGGAGATGAAAGTGATGATGAAGCTGAGATGAGGAGAGAAATGATGACAGAGATGAGGGTGAAGATGGAGATGATGATAATGGGGGTGATGACGAGACTGAAATGAGGTTGAAGGTTAAGAAAAGAATGCTGGACAAAAGTCTGAGATTTATTCCTACGCTTGTGCGCATATTCACTCGTACAACAGATGATTTATGATGTTCCTCACGTTCTATTACATCTTATTTTCATCGTTCATTCAGCCATTTATTAGTGTAAAAGTTACATTAATGTTTTGGTTTTCGGCATTTTTCTTCTCAGTGACAACGGTGATGGTGCACAGCAGGTCCTCGCAGGCCGCGCTGATGTCCAAGTCGGTGATGTTGTTCACCTTCATTTGTGATCTTTGGGAAGGTTTAGTTGTTGCTGTTGTTGTTGTCGTATGTGTCTTTGTATATGTTGATGATGTTAAGTTATTGTTTATATTGTTGCTGTTGTTGGTGTTTTTTGTTTATGTTGCTGTTGTTGATGTTTTATTTATAAGTTTATGTTTATATTGATAATGTTTGTTGTTGTTGTTGTTTGTTGTTGTTGTTGTTTATATTTGGTCCTTAGTCTTTACGTTGTTTAAGTAGCAGTTTGTTATTGTTAAGTTATCGCCAAAGCTGATGGCGGTGTAACAATTGAGGCTGGCGACACTGCTGACGTAGTGACCGAGATGGAATGCGAAGAGCCTGGCAGACCCCCGCCAGTCACACGCAATGCAATGCAATGTGCATGCAGTGTATTGATTCACGTGCAACAACATACACTGCCTATTTGTTGCTGATACCTCTGTTGCTGAGAAGTAACACTGAAAGAAAGACACTAGAGAGAATTGTACAGCGAAGTAACATCAAAAAAGTAACATCAAATAAGTAACATCAAATAAGTAACATCAAATAAGTAACATCAAATAAGTAACATCAAATAAGTAACATCAAAAAAGTAACATCAAATAAGTAACATCAAAAAAGTAACATCAAATAAGTAACATCAAATAAGTAACATCAAATAAGTAACATCAAATAAGTAACATCAAATAAGTAACATCAAATAAGTAACATCAAATAAGTAACATCAAATAAGTAACATCAAATAAGTAACATCAAATAAGTAACATCAAATAAGTAACATCAAATAAGTAACATCAAATAAGTAACATCAAATAAGTAACATCAAATAAGTAACATCAAATAAGTAACATCAAATAAGTAACATCAAATAAGTAACATCAAATAAGTAACATCAAATAAGTAACATCAAATAAGTAACATCAAATAAGTAACATCAAATAAGTAACATCAAATAAGTAACATCAAATAAGTAACATCAAATAAGTAACATCAAATAAGTAACATCAAATAAGTAACATCAAATAAGTAACATCAAATAAGTAACATCAAATAAGTAACATCAAATAAGTAACATCAAATAAGTAACATCAAATAAGTAACATCAAGTTGTATGGACGGCGGAAGTAACGACGAGTAGAAATGTAGCGTAAGCATTGCAAGCAACCTGTGTTCAAAGAGCTTATCCAGGTGGCGTGGCAGGGCAGTGTATATGTCCTTGACGAACTTCAAAAAGTTGGTTATCTGGAGATGGTGGGGACGATGGTGGCGGTGGTGGCTATGATTTGCGGTGACTATGATTGTGGTGACGACATTTGTGGTGATTGTGACGGCGATGATTATTTTGATGATCTGTTGTGATGATGGTGATGATAATGATGATGATTTTGATCCTTAATGTGACGATGACGATGAATGAATGAATGAATAAATGAATGAATGAATGAATGAATGAATGAATGAATGAATGAATGAATGAATGAATGAATGAATAAGCGAATGAATAAGCGAATGAATATATGAACAAATGAATGAATGAACAAACGAATCAATAAGCAAACGAATCAATGAACAAACGAATGAATGAACAAACGAATGAATGAATGAACAAACGAATGAATGAACAAACGAATGAATGAACAAACGAATGAATGAACAAATAAAAGAACCGACGTCACTAGAGTATGGAGGTTTGAAGCTTTTGTTGAGTTCGATGATGACCCTCAAACAAACCAATGCATTCTCTTCACAATCAATCTGTCAATCAATCATTCATTCATTCATTCAATCATTCATTCATCCAGAATGCATGGATGAATGAATGGACAGACGGGTTGATAGAGTCAAGGATGGACGAGAGACAGACATACAAATATAAATAAATGAAACTAAGTAAACCAGTATCAAATTCACGTATACACAAAAATATCAACAAAAAAAAACTACAGAAATTATTACAAAAAAATTGAACAAAATTAAATAAAAATACACACACGCACACAAACATACACACACACAAACAAACACACACACAAACACAAACACAAACAAACAAACACACACACACATACAAACACATCAAACAGCACACAACCAAGACACACCAAAGCACAGACACAGACAAACAAAGACAGACAAACGGATGGATGGACAGACAGACATGCAGACAGAGAAACAGCTCGTCTTAAAATACCTCAAGAAGTTTATACATGAGAGATAACACAGGCTGAACGTAAGGCTTCAGATGATCATTGGCTGGCACCCTCTGTAACAGCTCCAACAACGATTTTCTCAGTTGCTAGTGGCATATTTAATAATTTAATCAACAATTTATATATTTATTCATATGTTTTTTTAATAATTAATTTATTTATATATTGAAAAATTTATTTATTTATTTAAATCTTAATTAGGCATTGAGGTGATTAATTGGTTGATTAAGTAATAATTTAGTTGATTGTATGACGCTTTCAGATAACGTTTGTATATTGAAACAATTAAAATATAGCATTAAATGATTAATTTAACAGATGATTAACCGTAATCGAAAAATTAGCACAAATATATAATCAAGATAACCTTATGAATAAGTTAACATAACCGTATGAATAAATTTACATAATCATAGGAATAAATTAATCAGATGAGTTTTTAATTAAATAACCAAATAAACAATTAACATGATAAACAAAAAATAATTTATTTTTAATAAAAACCTTACAGCAGCATGAAAAAAACACATAGAAAAAAATAAAACAAACAGAACCTTTTTTAAAATTTATCAAATTAAAAGATCAATAATAATTTTACCATAGAAAGTAAAATAAAAACAACAAAGAACCTGATTGGTGTACTCGGATATAAAGACGGTTTCACTTTCATTGAGAACTTTAATGAAAACTTTGAGGGCCTCCCCAATGAATTGAGGGTAGTGTGGGTTGGACACTATCAGCTGTGACGTAACGATGATGACGTCACGATAAAGTCGTTGTTGATGATGTAATTATTATCATTTATCGGATTATTTGTACAGCGCCTTTCATTACACTCAAAGATATGATGATGACGTAATGATAAGATGATGACGTCATGATGATATTGCAAGCGATAACGTTATGTTGCTGTGGCGGTATAATTATGTGATGACGTCATGGTGACGATGACGTTTTGATAATGAGGAAATGTAATAATAATGTTATAATATCATGATATTACGATGATGATTATCATTATTTCTATGTTCATTTGATATTTTCATTTTCCCATCACTATTATAGATCGTCACAAATTGTCGCCAATATTTCTGTTCAATCTTATTTAACTCCTACTAAATGCAACTAATTCCATTCCATATTCATGATTTTATTTTCACCATTTCAAACCATCCGTGTTGTTACTTTCTCACCGTTTGACAGAGTTTGATTTTTCATTCATTCATTCATTCATTCATTCATTCATTCATTCATTCATTCATTCATTCATTCAAAATAAAAACATGACGTGTCTTGGTATGAGGACAAAGTTATAATATTGTCGCGACGTTCCTGTTATAAGGTGATAATGTCATGGAAATACGATGATGTCACGATTAAGTAAGGCAACCAACAGGTTATGCCAATGCGGTGATGAGGATGTTATAATAATGTTATGAATGATGAGATTAAGAAACGATGAAAAAACAAGATGATGAAATGACAAGGCAGTGGCGAATCTGGAAAACTTTGACGGGGGGGCAAAATTCTGACGAGGGACCAAAATTTTGACGGGGGCCAAGATTTGTGGTAGTGTAGCTGACAACCTTTTTTTGGTCGATTTAATACATAAAACGGTCCTTTTCCTGACTTTTATTGAAAAATTGCTCACAACGACCCCCCTCCCTCCTAGATCCACCACTGCGACGAGGTGATATAGTAGGTTAAGAACAGTCTTCGGCAGACAGATGGAGAAATACAGACAGACTAAGAAATAAAGACGGACAGAGAAGTACAGACTGCGAGATGAGTATAGGTAAATGAGCAGGTAGACAGACAGACAGACAAAATGAAGAAATACATAACAAAGTTTGTTGTTGTGACGTTAATTTGAAATGATGACGCGGTAATGATGATGACATAAAATAAAATGTGATGATATGGCGTGATGACGAGCAAGTTGATGCGATAGATCAGACTTGACCAACTTTTTTGATCAATTTGGAAAAAAATTGTTCGCAGATCGAACAAAGTGAAGAAGTTTTAAACATAATATATGTAACACATAACTTTTTATGAAACTTTTACTAAATACAACAAAATGCAAATACATTGTCTTACGGTGACAAACATTTATTATTTATTTGTTGATGATTAATTTTCGGTAATATAATTAAAAAGTTCATTAAATCGGCAAAAAAAATTAATGTGGCGTGTTTAAAAGTTTTGCATCGTCAATTATTTAGTTAATATCTGGTTTAACAGAAAAATCGTGAAAACGTAAGAGCGTAAAAGTGACAATTGGGACTGAAAACTTTGCTTCCTTCGCTTCCTTAAAGTACAAATTGTAAGTAAGAATTGAATCGGATATAACATTATTTTCGCTGTTCTTTATTATGCAGCTCTGATATACGCAGAACTACTTATTCACACATTTCTATACTTATAGCTAAATAGTTAAACTTTAGAGCCAAAAAGGCTGCAACATCCACACCACGCCACACCGCACGCACCACACCACATACACACCTGTTTCGTATTTGGAATGATGAAAATGCCGATAAAAATGATAATGATGATGAAATGTGATAATGATGAAGATGATGATGGCAGAATGGGAAAAAATAATTTCCAAAGGATAGTAAACAGAAATTAATCATTGACATCATTGGAAAGAGTTTGTTAATAAGCTAATTAATTAATTAATTAATTTAATTAATATTTACATGAAACAGCTGATGATGAAAAGAAAGAAAATAAAAGACGATTCAATAAATAAGCAATTTAAAAAAAAAACAGAAAAAAAAGTTACCTCAAAATTTTCACACAATTCTTGCACAGCTTTTGACTTTTTTTCTGCAACTAAATTAAAATTGACAACAATAATAACAATAACAACTACAATAACAACAACAACAATAGCAATAACAAAAACAGTCATGACCAAAACTGTTACAAGAAAAAACTCCAAATTCAGTATAATTAATTCAACTGTAATAGCTGTACATGTACAAGTTCTTCTAACATAAAAAAAACACATTCTATCAATTGAATTTAGATTATATTTATAGTAAGGTAGAAGTCAGTTAATTAAACCATACCATGACATGGTATGACAACAAACAGCTGCTAAAGAATCACTTTGATTTCAATTAATTTAATTTTTTTTTTATTTTCATTTCTTGCGACAGAAATCAATCATGGAAGGACAGGACAAAGCAATGTATAATGTGTAAAACTCCACATATTTGTAACGTTATAGGTACACCATGCCAAAATAGATTAAAACATAAAACATAAGACTACCACAGACTTTGCATTTGTCATCAGCTTGGCAGATTATGGATGATGGCATAGATTAATGACAATTTTAAATCTTACACTAATAATTTGCCTGGATAACATTATCAACAAATTTAAGAGAAATTGTAGCCTTTTTTCATTATTTTTTTCATTATTTTATTAAAAAATCTGAATCTGACAGACACAGAAATTGCTACAGCATGCAAGACAATAACACAGAGTGATAACGAAAAAAAGCTTAAAAATAGTTAAAAAAAACTACCACAATTTAAAAATTTTATATATATATATATATGTTTGTGTGAGCGTGAGTGTGTGTGTGTGTATACAAATACTTTCAGATTGAAGAAAAGGCATAAACTAACTGTTATTTGTGGAGTCAGCAATAATGGCTACGTAAGATTTGAAGGTATTCAGTTGAGTCAGGGGGTCCTGTGGACTCAGAGGGTTCATTCTGGAACCCGGTATTAATGGTCCTAAATTCATCAGGTCCATTTTTTTATTTATTAATTATTTTATTTATTTTTTTTATTTACTATTTTTATATTTTATTCGTTTTATTTATTTTATTAATATTAATATTTCACGAACTTCAACTGAAATAGTATTTTCATTAATAATTCTTCCAATTTATTTAAAAATAATAATAATGTTAAGTATTATTACATCTATGTTTGTTTGATTACCTATTTACAAATTTATAAAACTAATTAATTAATCTTGGAACAAATGAGAAATTAAAGTTTCATATGTCAATAATAATAATAATGTAGACCAAGATTAATAAATCCTAAATGTATAAATTGTATATATATTATAATTGTATTATAAATTATAATATTATTATGAAAAAGATTTTCTTTTTTAATAGAAGTATTATCCAATTTTATTTTACTAAAATAATTTTTATATCTGATAAGTCTAAGAACAAAACAATGATATAACTCTATCTATATGTATATAATATATTTATATAATATTATTGCACTCTAAAAATATAATAATGATAAATAATTTGATACTGAATAACATTAATACTGATAACAAAAAATAATATTAATATAATTATTTTTTAAATTTAGTATTAATAAATATTATTTAATTATTAATAATGGACTTGAAATTAAATTAGCAAAGCATTAATAAATTGATATTAAAGTGAAGGAGTGCACAAAGTTCATACCTGCCATTGCAAACCTTTATAAATAAAGAGTAATTGTTTACAGTTGCTTTCCACCAGGAGCTGGTTGTTTATGTTAATTAGATTAGTGTACAGTACACTGTACTTTTCTTTACAGTACAGAAATAGTACAAACAACACACAAATAAGTTGTTTGTAAGCAAACTTTACCCTGGTCTACAAGATAAAATAGATGGGAAATAAATATTAAATAATTGTTGTATGAATATAATATAATTTTTCTATTATTTGTATTAATAATTAATATCTAATTATAATTAGTAATTAATTATGTTTGTTTTTTATAATGCTTTTCTAGTCTGATAATAAATAAATAAAGTAAGTGATACTTTGTTTTGTTTGAACAATAAAGCAAAATAATTTAAAAAATATAAATTAGAATAGAAATCAATTGTCTTTTAAATGTATTTATATTTTTAATTTTTATATTTAATTTATATTTAATTTATTTATTTTATATTTAATAAATTGAATATTTTATATTACAATCATTATGCCAATTTTATCTCAAATAAATTAATATTAATAGAAAATGACGGACACTCAAGTGAGAAAATAACTCAAAGAAGATAATAACCTTTTAGAATTTTGTGACGATTTTGTTTAAAAAATGATGAAGCTAGCCGGCGAATGTAACGCAAATTTAGCCAAAAAGAAAATTCTATCTTCGCATACAAGCACTGCACACTTATTTTCAATTTTGCCTCAAATGCTTCATGGTCCGGTTTCTATTCAACCGATTCCCGACCGACCGGATCGATATAATTTTTAATTATTTCTTTTTTCAATTTCTTCATTAAATTTTTATTTATTTTTTAGATTATATTCATCAGGTATATAATTTCTCTTAAAATTCTGACTTAGATTAAACATATATGACATTCATGTACAATTACATTAATATACCAATAAGTTTATTCTATAATTTTTTAATGTGTGTGTGTGTGTGTGTGTGAATGTGTGTGTGTGTGCTGTATTGTATGAATTCTACCGAATTATTGGCATCAATCAATTTGAAGTTTTTTTCAATTTTCTGGAAATTGTTTAATTTATTGAAAATAGAATTATCCAAGTTCATCCTGAAAATTTTATAAGACTGTTGTTATCCATATTCATCATTTAGATATATCGATTTTTCACAAATCATCTTCAGTGCAGCTTTGGCTTGAACAAAGCAAAGTTAGTTACTTAGCTTAGTGAGCTACCTAGTTGGTGTCGTTTTCATCTCCTGTTTTGTTGTCATTTCCTTGTTATTAAAGTTAGTATTAGGGCAAAGAAGACCGCCCATATAGAAAATAATAGCCCCAATTCATCGGAATAAAGAGTCAACGCCTATGCTGGAAACTGAGGTCGGATTAATGTTATATCCGCGGGAACGACCGAATTGCGCTATCAAATTAATTTCAATTAGTTGCTATTATCACGATCATTGTTACCTTAGCTATATTTAGATACATAAGCTAACGATATAACTCGAGTGGTAAACGTTGTAATGTTAATTACTACAGAGCGGTGTAATAGCATATATTCTACATTTTATTGATAACAATTAACTCTTCCAATAAATCTTTTTCATACAAACAAATATACAATAATAGAAATGTGAAACAAAATATTAAATTGAAAAACATCACATCTATCAATTTAGAGGCTAGAGTCTGCATACAACAAACACCCCGCTCAAGTCAAACATTTATACTCTTCCTTACATCCATCAAGCAATATACATATAACTACTAAACATATATGCATCAAGACAAAACTTCACCACACATCCCCTACCTACCTACCATTCAGTCTTGGATATATAAGTTTGATATCAACATGATACAACAAAAATAACGCTCCAGTTCAGTGTGTACCGCCAAGGTATGGTTTGTTACAATTATAATCTCAGCGGCACACACCCCACTCCCCAACAGTCAAGCATCGCATGCATACAAACAGTCAGAAACAACTATATGTACACACTTGTATATACAAATATGCATTTTTGACGCTCTGAACTAATTTATTTTAAATGCTATGTCTTATTTGGACTGTTATTAAGATTAGTTATATATTCTTTTAAAGTTAAGTTATCTTCCAAATCTTCTACTTTCAAAGGTTCTCTATTGCCACATCCAGCGTATGGGCATCTTGAAAAATTTGTTTAAAAAAATTTACTATAAATAAAATGAGGTTTTAACAAAAAATAACTCGCAATTTTATTTTGGAATTAAATGAAAGAGTTACATAAAAATAATATTTTAACAACAGTAAAAATTCTACACAAATTCTACAAAGTTAAAATAACACAATTTCAACAATGGTACAAGAACAGACGTTTGAAAAAAAAATATAGATCAAAATAATTGAAATTACAACTTCAGAACTTACTTGGCGTTACCCTTCTTGTTATTGATGAACTCGAGAATGGCCTTTTTCTCGTAGTTGTGACCACATTTTGTATTCTTAACAGGTTCCTCCATGACTTTTTGAGTGTAAGGACATTTGACACCAAGTTCCTCTGACGTCATAATGATGTCGTCGTCGTCATCATCAACGAGACTGGCATCACTGAATTCGGATGGGTCGATGATTAGTTCTTTTGTGGATATCAGCTGAAACAATTTATCCTGAGTGGATAAGTGGAGTAATCAGTTGGATGGTTAGCGCTAAGGTTACATGATCAGTATTAGTTTAATAGATGGAGCACTTCCGTAACGTTCAGCAGTGCTTCATAATATTGAAATCATGTAATTAATCATGATTAACTGCATGAAATTTACTTAATATTTAAGAATAACTTATAAGACAAAGTACATGAAAACCATCGATACTTACTAAGTTATCTTGGGTTTTAAGAGAATATTTTGTCATAATTTCTTTGGCATCATCTATAATAAAAAAATTCATAAACGGTAATGACAAAAAAAATTATATATAAAAATAAATTAAATCAAAAGTGAACATTTAATGAATCAAACAGAAAATTGTATTGAAATCATTGAACAAAATGTTTAGAAACAACTAGTTAGATAGTTATTTTTATTATTTACAATGCAGCTCTGTCAAACGCAGAGCTACTTACATACTATTCTAACTAAACTTTCATACCCTGAAGGCTGTACGCTATCTACTACGCGTATGATGGTCTTTGAGTTTCGGACAGACAGTATTCGAACCATGCCATCGCGTAATAGCAGCACGAGACATGGCACTTCTACCGTCTGAGCTAACTTGGTAACCATTTCTTTTCTACTGTGAAAGCAATCTTGTAAACATACCTGGTGTCATGTTGCAGGCAATTTCAATGAGACTTGATATGGCCGTTCTGTCATCGAGTTTAGGAAACATTTGAGTTTTTTTTTTATTCCCATTTGGTAGGTTTGACTTCATATTTACCATGGCTTCTTCTTGATCTTTGTTGATGTCAGACAGGAAGATGATCAGGTACTTCCTGGCTGTTGCAAGAACAGTTATTGAAAGTGAGCATCGTGATGGTGGGTTGAGATGAGCTAATATTGTACTATGTTACTATGTTACTATGTGTAAAAACATGTGGCGTTAACTTAAGTGCTTGAAATAAAAAAATAACATCACACTCAGAAAACGATAGATATTTGAGTTATTATTAAAGAATAATCATCAATTAAAAATTGTAACAATATTCAATAGAGAACTAAGTTAAAAACAAATTTGTTAAACATTTCACCATAAAAATAAGTACATAAAACTAAGAGACCTGTGATGTTTGGGGCAAAGAGAGGACCACCAGCGTCAGAGCCAATTTTCAATTGATCTCTCAACTTCTCGACCATGCCGACACTCAGCGAAAGAACGATGGCTGCCGACTTCTGACTACTGAGTAATTGGCAGTTGACAATATCTGAATAAGATAAGGAGACCTCTGCCAGCTTGCCATCCTTTCCTTGTTTAAATGAATTCAAACTCTTGGTCAATAAGTTAATCATTTGATTTGTAGTTTATAAGTTAATCATTTGATCTGTAATAAGTTAATTATTTGATTTGTAGTTTATTTATAAGTTAATCATTTGATCTGAAGTTTATTAGTTAATAAATTGACTTGTAGTTAATCATCTGATATTTTAAATATGGAGTTGAAAATATTGGAGTCTATTATATGGTCATGTGAGACAAAAAGGATTTTTTTAACTTAGACTGCGAGATTGTCAATGAAGGCAATCTAAAATCTGTGAAACTTTGAGGGAAAGAAAGGTCTTAATAATAACACTATAGAGACAACATTAAACTAGTTGAAATGTATGCACAGTTAGATTTCAACAGATGGATGCAAGTGAATCAACCATAAGAGGCAAACTCAACTATTTTTTACTATTCCTTGTTTTTCAAAATGTTTATATGTAAATTTTTAAGGAAGCATAGTGATTCATGATGTAATAAAGGAAAATTTCTTAACATTGAAGCTGAACTTATCAATGAAAATTGATTTGCATCAAGAGACTTAAATTTAACAGTAAAAATTGCAAAATGGAATTAAATGAAAACAAAAGCACAACACTTCCAATAAACTACATCTGACAGTTATCGTGGCTCTTTTAAAAAAGTTTTAAAAATTAAAAACATTATCAAACTAAAAATTCTTGAGACATTTAAATTATGCCTGCATGGAGTTTGAAAAACTTGCTAACTACGCCACAGTTTAAACTAGAACTGGCTTTTGCTAATTGGAGGGAAAAATTTGAATAATTTGTTCATATGAGAGTGAAAGCAAATGAAAGCAATCAACACACCTCTGACTGTGAAGTAGATGCCACATGATTGGTCAGATCGAATTCTCACCTGACCAACACAGCTGATCAGACACAAGCCAAATCTTAAATGACTGCAAGCCAGCTGTACCTCCGTGTTTTGAACCAGACCTAGTGGTAAACAATTGAGCAATTCTATTACTTCTATTTAGTATTATTTTTGTTACAATGATATTGATGCTATTAATTATTTATAATCATTGGTATCATAGCATAGAATGGAAGATTTGGTTGTGTGAGCTTTATAGGATGAAGTGATGTGGTGATGAAACATTCAGCGCTTGGTTGGAAGAGACAAGGAAAGAAACAATGTCGAATGGATAATATAATTGATCATGAAATTTCACAATCAGTTAATCCAGAACTAACAAGGAACCAGCTGAGTACCATTCCACAGACAGTACTTCCTCTGACCTGAGGGAACCTGTGCATGATACAATCCGCCCACCTAATTAAGAAAATGTTAGATTATAATTTTTGTAATTGATCAATAGAAATAGAAGCAGTAAAAGTGGCCACAACAGCAACAGTAGTAGTAGTAGTAGTGGTAGTAGTAGCAGTAGTAGTAGCAGTAGCAGTAGTACTAACAGTATTAATAGTAGTTATAGATGGAGTGCTGATTAACTGCTAAAAGATGATCGGATGAATGAATATCTTATGTACAATCAACCAGTACACTCAGTTATTAACTATCATTAATTCACAAACGTTAATTTGAAATACTTAACAATTACTGACGAGCGAGTACAAGCGTATTTCAAATACAAAATGAATGAAAAAACAAGCAAATAAAAATGGAAAAAAAAGTTACAAAATAATTAAACACGTAAGATGAGACACTAATACGGGAAAAGATGAAATAAAAAATACATTAAACAAACCATTAGGTTTTTTTGCATATTTTGCCACTCGGTCTGATCATTGGGGATGACTAGGGTAGCGGCACCAGCTGGAATACCGGCTTGATTGGCATTTATTACAGGCAGTTGCTGCTGCTGTTGTTGCTGACTGGCTGTTGATGGCTGCTGTGTGTGCGTGTATGTGTGTGTGTTTGAACGTGTGTATACTGTGTGAATGTATGTAGTAGGAGTGGCTTGACCATCATACGAATGATAAGTCATTTTGATAGGCAGGGGGAATGTTGTAAATGTTGCGATGTGTGTCAGTGTTAGCAACTTTAGATATGAGAAAATAAATATGTAAAAAATACGTTTTTCAAGTTTGTAAAAAAAAAAAAGAATGAACACAAAAAATAAATAAAAAGTACATAAAAAACTATTATGATTATGAAAAAGAGGTGAGAAATTATGTCACCTTCTACTAATACAAATATAATACAATAAAATACAATACAGATAATCCATGAAAGATTTTCTTGTGATGATAATACAAGATTAAATATTTTAGTATGCAGAGCATTCGGGTAGCAGATTTAATTGGCAGTAGTAGATTACAATAGACTAGGTTAACACAAACACCAATGACCACAAAAAAAAAGAGTTGTAGGTAACAAATAGTGAAATGAATGAACACAAAAGTACAAAGGCATATTAACATTATTAGATTTCGCAAGATGATGGTATTCAGCATTAGGTACATTGCTATTTCGATTATCACTGTTTGTGAATTAGGGAAAATAAAATGAAAATAAATAATTGGAAACAAAATATATAATATCATCATAATAATTTTTAATATCCAAAAAATAATCACCCAGCCTGATTGGAAACATGTGTGACATCGCCATTAGCGGTATTACCATTACCATTATTGTTACCATGGCTACTGTTATCATTATTACTAACATTAATGACGTTATTATTATTACTGTTACTGCTGTTAGCATTAGCATTAGTGGTGACTGAAGCTGTTGTGGTGGCAGCAGCGGCGACAGCAGTGGTAGTAGCAGAGGGATCAGGGTTGTCCGGTTTATCGACTTGATTCATCAGAAGTATGTCGATGACCTGGTGGGCATGTTTAAATGTTGATGTCATCATAATGATTACGTCATTCGTGACGGTGATAGCAATGTAATGATGGTAACACTATTGATGTGACTGTTATTGTGATGATGTCAAATCAGAATAATGATGACTTTGTATTCAAATTTTATTGTGACTGCAGATGATGGACGACAAAGTGATAAAAATGAAATGATCAAAATATCATAGTAAAAGCAAATTAGCACAAAGCAATGGATACACAAAATAAAAATAAAATACTACAACAAACTGCAAAACTCAATTCAACAATGAGTGGCAGTGATGTAATGATGGTAAAATTATAAAGGTGACGTTATAACGATGACAACTTTGTCATATTGGAGTATTCATATTTGATTGAGAGTACAAATGACGAACATCTACATAGAAGAGAGCCATAAAAACTAAAGTGCAAGAACAAAAAAAAATAAAACATACATATAACAAATCAAAACAACAGCTCAATTGAACCTGGTCATTAGATATCTCCTCCAAGATAGGACAACTTCTTGGATACCTTTTAAGCATGGCGCCAAAAGACATTTTTATGCTCTGCATGACTTGCTGGCTCTGCGACTTTCCATCCACCCCGAACAGTGGAAATATTGTGATGCACTGCTTCAGCTCAACTTTACGAAGTTAGTGGTTGTGATAGGTTAGGGATGTTATTGCTGAGTTTGTAGGTGTAGTAAATTTTGTGTGATAAATGAACGAATAAATAAAAACAACAAATACAAACTTACATATATAAAGAATGGGAAGTGCAAATATATTATAAAGAAACAAACTTAAAGAAAACAAGTACAAAAACTAACCAGGGCTACTAAGATTGAACTCTTTGTGGGTGATGTTGAAGATGCTTCTGATCTGTCTCATACAGGATGACTCAAGGAAGAGGAAGAGAGCAGGATAACTGAATGTGCTCAGATTGGCCTTGCATTTTACAATGGCTCGAGCATTCAGTAGGACAGGGGCATAAGTATAATCTGAAGAAAATGTGTTGTTAATGTTATTCTATCAGCATATTTATATATCTGTTTGTGTGAACGTAAAGTAAATATATTTCTCATTGTAATGAGAAAAATAAAAAATTTTAAAAATTAAAAAGAATCAATAAAAACCTTTCAAAGTGAACAGAATTCCATCATCCTTGAAAGTAACATTAGAAACAGGTTTGTATTTTTTTGACCCAATTCGAATTTGTAGGGCAGGAATAGAAACCGACTGACCGGGTCCTGCATATGTGAACCCAGATGGGGGCATCAAATTGCTCGATGACAAACGGGCCACATTATTAGAAAATGGTGGTGGGGGAGGTTGCAAATTATATGTTGGTAAAACCACCTATTAGTCAATCAAAAGAAATCATTTACATTTTATAATTTAGAAAAACCAAACAATATTTAACATGGCAAAACAAATTCATTTTAATTGTAAACTGTGGTTTTTAAAAATCAGCACAAGGCTTTTGTCTAGAGGCCTACACAGATCTTTAACAAAACCGAAAATTGTTAAAAATTCTAAAAAATGTTGTTTGAGACTCATTTTCTTTTAATTTGTAATAACAGAGAAATTAAATATTCAAATTTTATTGATATAAAAATCATATTAGTGACCTTAGCTAAGTTGAGCATGCACTAGGACTTGAAAAATTAACAAAAGATCCAAACTTGAAACCGAATTTATTTATATTTTTAATTAAGACTTAAAAACTTTAACTTTAAAATAAGATTTGCTGCTAAGCTAAGCCAAATGGTTAAAATAAAACAAACAGCAAATAAAAACAAATAGCAAATAACTTACAGCTTGCTGTACAGCTTTGGAAACAGAAATGTTTGGGGCAATTGACACTGCCCTAGCTACAGATACAGATGTGCATTTTGGAGTAGTGGTGGATATTGGTATGTTCAACAATTGGTTTTTTAAAGTTATGTTGTTTAATGCTTGTCTGCTACTGTTGCTGTTCATTAACCTCTGTTGTTCAGCAGATATTTCAGTGATGTTTTTCAACCGTAATGTTGGCACAGATGATGCAAAGTGTTGTCTCGATGTGGTTGAGTTGTTTATATTATTTAGAGACTGCATTGTTGTTGATGTTAGGTTCGAAGTGCCATTGCTGCTTGAGCCTGGTTTAGTTGTGGTTGATTAATCAAAAAAAAGATCAATTATCCGAGTACCACTGAAACCGAAGTAGTGGAATGCTTGCAGAAAAAATTGCAAGCACATGTGAGCATTAAAAAATTATAAATAAAACATATATTCTACCAAGAATGGGAAAGGCCTGGTTGTTGACGTTGACGAACAAAGTATCAGGTGTAACGATTGCACCGTTTCCGTGCTGAGACGAGATGATCGACCTGGCCGCCTGTGCCTGGTTAACGTCCAACCTAATCCTCTTGGGGTCCATGCTGTAATGACTTGTCTGCACTTGCATCTGCCAAAAAAGAGCTTGGATTAAAAAAATAGTCAGAAAGTTCTATGTCGATGAAATTACGAATCTCTAGATGTAGTTTTTGTAAAAATAAAATTTGAAAAATCTAGGTCTCTTTAAAAAGTTAATCTAATCTAATCTAAAGGTAAGCCCATAAAAACAAAATAAATGAGTCTCGACAACAGCACAACGAGACAGCGGATAAATTTTTTTTACATAGCACATCACTGAATCTCGGTGCACTGAGCGTAAATAAAAACGAAAAAATATTCACGATAATAATTAACCTGATAATTGATATTAAATTTATTGTATTTGCAATTTTGACTTAAAGCTGGGAGCTGTTTTTCAAAAGGCGACCATTTTTCAAAATGGCTGTTTGAAATTGTGGGGCGATTATTCTTATATATGCTCGTACGTACTACTAAACTATTTAAAGTTTAAATAAAGAAAACAGTTTGGTTCAATATATCACACAAAGGAATGGTTTTGTAGATTCGGCGCGTCAGCCTGCCCAACAAAACAGCTTATTTCAGTTGAGTGGGATTGTACTGAAAGCAGGCAGCAGCTGCGAACGGCTCAGCAAAGCTGCTTAGCCGTTGCTGTTCAAACAGCTTACTAATGCCGTTCAATCAAACCGGAATATATCAGTTTCTAGCCCTCCTATTGGTCGGCGTAACGCGTTCAAAAGATACTCTATATTACCGCGTAATTATTTTATATATGCGCGTAAATAAGAAAATAGCTGCTTTTTAAGTAGCGTAACGTTTCTGATTTTTGAATTTTTGTTAACGTCCAAATTTTTAAATTTAAATTACGGAATCTTCGAACTACGATAGAAAAAAATTATTGAGCCTAGAGGACAGAACACGAGCTACAATTGTTTGTTGTTATTTACAACACTACGTCATCAACTTGCGTTTTGTGATGCAATCGCGTGATAAACGTATTTCCATGCAAAATATAGTATCTTTTGGCGATGCTAAAATTTTAATAATTAAATAAAGTTGAGCGCTTCAAAATTTATCTTAAGGCAGCTGCGGTAAACGCAAAATGGCGGTTTGGACAGCTTGCTTGTGTGATGTCAGTTGCCGCTTGATTCTGATTGGTCCGCTCCACAGTGTTATATAAATCTTTGTTACATTCAGTATTTAAATGAAATGTTTGGCTTTCATAGCACATATGGCATGCACTAAATGTTTAAGCATAAATGTATAACAAGGTGGTGTGTTTACCCATTGGTATCTTTACTCATTGACTGAGCTGAAAACTGGGCGAGTCAGCATGTAGCTGTTAGTTATCAATTGCATCGCAGTTATCACGTGCACCGTTCTTATCACGTGTATCGTTCTTATCACATGCATCGCAGTTATCACATGCCTCGCAGTTACCATGTGCATCCCAATTATCACGTGCATTTCAGTCCAAATTATTAAATTATCACGTGCATTTCAGTCTAAATCGTCCGTAGGAAGGATAGACTTGCGATCGCTAATATAATTGAAAGCAGATGAATAAGCTGGTCGATGGTGTCAGGATCCTGTATAGCCGTTTTTGGTCCGGTCAGGGTCAGCTACATTTTTCGTTCCTCCAGTTTGCTGTTCGCGTATTCTCGATCGTCACTTGGATTTGTTTGACTTATTCAGTCGTTGCTTGATTTGATTGATTCTTTCAATTTCTCGTCAACAATGAAATCGTCGTTGAAGTTATCAACTAGAAAAATGAGTTGTTGCTTGATTCGTTCTTTCAATTCCATTTTGAAGTTTCTTAGTTTGACTAAAATTTTGGTTGCCGGTTCAGTGGTTTGTAGTTTCATTTCGTCTGTCAATTTGGCTTTCTGTTGATCGAAATTTCTATTCATATCAGCTGTCTGTTAATCGAATTTTCTGTTTTCATTTCTTTTATAGGATCCGGAAAGTCAAACTTTTCCGGATTGTTGCCTCCGTTTGACTCGATGTTTCGTTTTCGTTCCTTAGATTAGTTGTATCGAGTTCTTCTAGGGCCTGCATTTTTGTTACAAAAAGATTTAATCTATCAAAAATCCACTTCTGACATCAATGGGTATCTTGCACTACCGTCAAGTTATTGATATTCTGTAAGTTCATAATTTTTGATAGATAAACACAACTGCTTCAAGCACAAACTTGTTTAAACGTTCATTCAAATGCCAACAGTAATAGAAACTCAAACTCATTCACTTATCCAAAAATACGCTCGACATCATAAACATTGCAGATCTTTTTGTATTAGAAACCATTCAATCAACAGCAAGACCAAGCGCCTTCAACCATTGAGTTATCACGCCGCCCTAATATAAGTTTTTGAACACAACAGAAACAACGCTATTATCCTATGGAGTCAGTTGATCGTGCCTACTTTTATTTTGCAGTAATTCTGCGATTATATTGCATGGACCTGGTGTTTTGTTCATCTTCATCTGGTATATTTCCCTTTTTACCTCTATCGATGCTTTCGGCAATCTCTTCCCATATCAATTTGATAGGCAAACCAGTTAATTCCATTTCAATAAGTGTCTTTATTTTGTTCATGGGTTTAGGTCTGTTAAACAACTCACTGAAACATCCATCGTTCTATCACCTTCTCCTTTGCCGTTATGATTTTACTACTTTTGTCTAAAACAAGTTCAATCATGATTTTTTATTATCCTTGATTCCGGTTTACTTATTTATGTTGTCGAACAGTTTTCTGATGTCCCTCTTCTTTAACGCCTTTTCTTTTTCTCTGATCAAGTCTTCTAAGTATGTGATACGGTCTTGCTTATGCTTTCTTTAAAATTTTTCTTACGTTTCTTGAAATTTTTTCTACTACTGGTGGTGTCTATTGGTGCTATACTTTCTTTCGACTCTTCTAATTTATCAGCAGTTATTTTAGACTTGATAACCATGTTTTCATGTTAGAATTTTAGATTCCTAGTTTTTTTTGGCCACCTCATTGATTGAAATTTCAAACCCGTTACACTCATTTTCCACGCACCCTTCGTCTTCTGTTCTTTGTCTTCGTCTCAAATCGATTTTTTTATCTCTATGCAGCATCGTTCTTTCACGTTCTCATCTTTTAATTTTCCCGTCTAAACAAATTCTGCAAATTCTTTCCGTGTAGTTTCACCCTCATTTCTGCTATAATTAGAAAGTGATCTGATTCGATTTCTGCTGACCAGTAAGCTCTCGTTTTCATCACTAAACTAAGCCACTCCTTTTCGTAATTATATAGTCAATCCAAATCTGTACATTACTATTTGGTGGCTTCCAAGTGCGTGACTTTCCTATTTGGTTTCTAGATGATCTGAGTCTTAGTGACGCAAAGCCAAAAATTTTAAAACGTTTACGTGTCATTATTATCGATGAATTTTTGGTTCTAAATTTATTATTGGGAAGGACTCCGGTTGCACGTTGTTCAATATTTATTATCGGATGTCTTTTTTCTATTAAAAATTGATTCGGCCAATCGTAAATTATAATGGTTGTTATTGTAATATGAGTTTCAAAATTGTTGTCCAAGATTTGTCTAGTAATTTTAAGTTTGTGTTTCTCATTCATGTAATTCTTTATAGCGCCAGTGTGTACATGCATCGTGAGTCTACTCGACAGCTTGGTCGTCGTCATACCAATATATTCAGAATTATGGTGACCATATTCACCAGCATTACATTTGAAAAAATATATTAAATGGCTATGATCCATTATCGATTCTGGCTTAATAGTGCAGTATGACAACGGCATAGCTGTCGAAAAGATTCCCGATGTATTCGCATAAAGTTATTATGCTATTATCGTAAAATTAAATTAACAAAGAAATAATTCACTTTAAACAAAGAATTAACATTGTAGAGACACAGTATATATAATATATATATATATATATATGTATTTTGGAACGAGGTTTTCTTTAATACAAACATTATTGAAGATATATGCCCATTTTGCATTAATGACTTTCTTTAATGAACACTCAACAAGTTGAGTGTTGTGGTAACAACTCAACTTGTTGAGACACTCAACAACTCAACTTGTTGAGTGTTCAATAAAGAAAGTCATTAATGCAAAATGGGCATATATCTTCAATACTGTTTATATATATATGTATGTATGTATTAGGAAAGTCAAAAAATTAAATAGGAAGCTAACTAACGCGGAACATGCTGTGGTTTTCATCAAAAATCGCATTTCGGACAGTCTTACCACATGATATATAATTTGGGTTTAGACTATCATATATACAATTATTTATAAAGATCGCTGCTTAATAACGTTATTAATAATGGTTCGTCAAAAATGTCAAATAATAAAAGTTTTTTATTTAACCTTAATAAACTTCATCAAGATGATAAAAGTCTCGTTAGAAAATTTGAGAAACTCAACTTAAAAGTTGAATAATGCCGAAAACGCTGTGATAATTGTATAAATATATATTGGAATAATACTGTCAGAAATGCAATTATTGATGAAAATCACAGCATGTTCGGCGTTAGTTAACTTCCAATTTAACTTTTCGATTTTTCTAACGGTTGATTGTAAATCATTTTCCAGTTTCTTTAATTCAAAACCAACATTTTTGTTTCTTTTATGCATGATATAACAGAAAAGCTTTTTTCGGTATTCCATCTTATATCATATTTATTTATTTGATCCATTTAATTTAATTTATTTACTTATTTAATTATATATATATATATATATAATATATTGGATTAAGACTCAGAAATGTAATTATTGATAAAATTCACAGCATGTTCGGCGTTAGTTAACTTCCAATTCAATTTTTTGATTTTGTTGAAAATCACAGCATGTTCGGCGTTAGTTAACTTCCAATTTAACTTCTCCATTTTAAATGTTATCCAAAATAACAGCTAAGTCCATTAAAATCAATGACAACAGACAATGTTATAAATTTTTCTAGTTCGGCGACTGTGCTTGGTTTTATTTTGGATTCCAATCTGTCGATGAAATAACAAATAAAGTCTTTGTTTAAATCTTGCATATTTCAGCTAGTTTACTGCGAAAAACAAGAAAATGTTTTACCAAAGACGCGTTGAACTTTTTGGTTCATTCTTTCATCCATGCTCGTTTGGATTTTTATAACAGTCTTTATTACGGAATATCATAGCGTGATTTATCTATGTTGCAGTCAATTTAAAACAGGGTAGCTAAGTTTGTGGTTGGGGGTAGTAGAGTTGACCATGTGAGCCCAATACTGAAGGAATTGCATTAGTTGCGGGTTGATGAAAAAATTATTTTAAAATCATGTGTAGTAATTTATAAGTCTTTGAATAATGTTGCACCACAAAATATGATTGGTTTTTTTACTAATGATAAAACAAAGTTGTTAAAATATGAATTGAGGTCTGTTGATTCAAAGACAAACTTCAAGATTGGATCTCGAAGCTTTGCTGGGGTCGGACGACGATTGTGGAATAGTCTTCGAAGCACTTTGCGTAGTGGTGATTTTGCTCTAAGTCAATTTAAGAGACAGCTGAAAACCTATCTGTTCAGCCCTTAATTGCATTTAATATATTGAAGCGCCTGTGACGATTGTTTTTTATTCAAACGGGCGCTGTATAAATGCAATAATATATATATATATATTTATATATATATTAGTATATTTATATAATATATATATATATATTAGTTTAATATATATCCATGGAGCTAATAAACCACGGATATATATATATATATATATATATATATATATATATATGTTTGGCGTTAGTTAACTTTAATTTAGCTTTTTGATTTTTCTGCCGGTTTATCGTAAATCATTTTCAAGTTTCTTTAATTCAAAACCAAAATTTTTGTTTATTTTATGTTCTTTAGTTTAAAACCAGTGACAGTCTTAATGCAATATATATTGATATATATATAATATACACACACACACATATATATATATATAATATTTTTATAATTAGAACATTAATACACAAACCGCATTAATCAGCTTCTGTCCCCAAGCCGCATTGAACTACCTCGTATTATTAAAAAATTTTCTTTCACTAGTCAACTATATGCTGATGATTCTTATATTTATACTTTTCCTCTATCTAATCTCAATAGTGTTCTTCATAATTTATCTCTATGTCTTTCTTAAATTATCGCTTGGTCTAACTCTATGTATCTTAAACTTAATTCTTCTAAATTTGAACTAATTTGTTTTAATAAATCTAACACTCTATTATTATTCCTCCTATTATCTTACCTGATTCTAAAACTTTCAATGTTTCTCACAAGTTTCGTAGTCTATGCTTTATCTTTAATTCTTTCTTCTCAGATAAATAGGGTTGCTAGAAGTTCATACTTTCATCTACGTAGAATAAAGAAACTTTTGCCTTTCCTTGACGATCCTACCCTTCTCCTTCTTGTTACTTCGTTAGTCTTATCTAGAATTGATTATGTAACTCGCTCTACTATGGTCTTCCTGATTCAACACTCTATCCTTTTAACCCTGCTGCTCGTCTAGTTGCTTGTGCCCCGTTCTTGTTCTCTTGCACTGGCTACCTATAAAATATAGAATAATTTTTAAATTTTGCACTTCTATGTATAATTCTCAATCTAAAATATTTCTTAAGTACTTATCAGATATATTAATTGAACCTAAAAGCCCCGGTTGACGATCGTCTTCTTGTTCTAATTTCTTCTTAACTCGTGTTAAACACTCTTTTGCTAAATCTGCATTTCTTTTTTTTGGTCCTTTTTTCTGGAACTCTCTATCTCCTTCTCTGACTACTTCTCCAACACTTACGATGTTCAGAGCGGATCTCAAGACCAAACTGTTAGCAATCTTCGTTGAGGAGCGGTGTTGAACATCGCGGAAATGGCGCTTTATAAACTAATTGATTGATTGATTCATTATGCAAACCAGTTTTACGAAAATTGCCGTACTCAACAAAAAATATAATTTTTTGACATATGTAGTGCCCAAATTTGTGTACTCCAAAATTACTGACCATAGACATTTGTTTGATTTGTTTATTGACACTGATTAATCCGGTCTTGCGTGAGGCTGCTTCTCTTGCTTCAAGTAGGGCAATTCCAGTTGAAAATTCAATATTTTCAAGTTTCATTTCGGCACATTTTACATTTTTAGTTTTTTAATTTATTTCATTAGAAACTTGGTGAAGTAGCAAAAATAGCATAATCTAAAAGTTTTACTGGCAATTGTGCCACTTTAAATATAGAAATTTATTTAGCTCTCAATTGCTTGTAGCGAAATATTTACCAAAGACGAAATATTGTGAGCAGATAAAGTTATGCGCTTCAGCATTACTCGTTTCTTTCCTGCTTTTTCTTTTTCTTTTTTATGACGGTGCGTGAGTGGCTGTTTGTTTTGCTTAAAAATTTTTCAATCCATTTCGATCTTTTAATAAACTCATTCATTTATCATTTTTAAAGATAAAATCTTTTATATTTTATTTTATAGATTTGCATTTTGATGTTATTTTAAAATTTATTTAGTTTCCTTCAAAATGGGAGCGTACAAGTATATGCAGGAGTTGTACCGTAAGAAGCAGAGCGATGTTCTTCGTTTCTTGCTAAGGATTCGTTGTTGGCAACTTCGTCAACTGGCCGCTGTTCACAGGGCTTCTAGGCCAACTAGACCAGAAAAAGCTAAACGTCTCGGATACAAAGCTAAACAAGGTAAAACAATTCCTTACTCAAAAATTTAAAAAGCGTGAAGTCTACTCTATTGTCTATCTTATCTATCAGAATGTTGGAGTTAAATAAAAAAATCGACTCCGGCTCCTTTAAAATTCTCACTCCGGCCCTTCAAAAAATCTGACTCAGTAAAAATTTTTAGACAGTATACCAAAAATTATGTGGTTTTTGCTCGTTTTATTCATTGCTGGCATTTATTTACAGTAATAAAGATTATTGTTCATCGCTTCATATATTTATCTTCTGAAAACGTAATCTTTAAAAAATTTAGAAGAAAAAATAAATTTTTTTTTACATTTTCTGAAGTCGAAAAAAAGACTGTCTTCAAACTCTTAAAAAATCCAACCCCAACTCTGACCTCTTAAAAAATTTTGACACTGGTTACAATATAATAAAACCAAAGTGATAATTTGGTTTTCACAAACAACAATTGTCCTTAATTTTTCTAAAATCATGAACGATAAAGATTTTAATTTTAGGGAATTTTTTATATATGTATCCTCAGCAATATGTTTTGTATTAATATTAATTTTTATTGTTTCTTACAAAATTTTTGATGTCTGAATGACAATCGGTTACCATAATATGCATTCAAGGCAGGTTTTTTTTTTACTAGAGCATCCAATCTTATTCTAAAGTACAATTTTTTCAAGTAAAAACACTGAGGTATATTTTGAATTGCAATTCATATGTATTTTATTTATATAGGGCTTTCTGGTTGTTGCATTAAGTGAATTGGGTAATTTCAAACTTTAATGCAAAATTAACACCAGATGATTCTACATTACTACCTCCTGACCACATCACAATTGCTTGCGAGTCAAGTGATTGTGCAGTCATTTAATTCAAATATAGACAAGATCATGATAAAATATACTACATATGTATGTTTTTGTTTATATAACAATTATTTTATTCAAGTTTAAATTTCTATCTAGGTTTTGTCATCTACCGAGTCAGAATCCGTAGAGGTGGTCGCAAGAGACCAGCACCCAAGGGTCAAGTATATGGAAAGCCAAAAAGTGTTGGTATTAATCAGTTAAAAAATCAGAGGTCCTTGCAAGCTGTTGCCGAGGTTATTGTTTTTTAATAGTTTTAATAGTAAATTTGAATATCATTTGTATATTTTTAGATCTTTATGGAAAATGCCAATGATTATTGTAGTTTTTCATAACTTTCACAGGAAAGAGTTGGTCGCAAATGCAAAGCTCTCAGAGTTCTGAACAGTTATTGGATCGGTCAGGACTCAACCTATAAGTTTTTTGAGGTCATCTGTGTCGATCCATTCCACAATGCCATCAGACGTGACAAGGCAATTCAATGGATATGCAAACCTGTTGCTAAGCACAGAGAAATGCGTGGTCTCACCTCAGCCAACAGAAAATCGAGAGGTCTCGGAAAGGGTCACGGATACAGCAAAACTATTGGTGGCTCAAGAAGAGCCAACTGGAAGAAAAACAATACCATTGAAATGCATAGAAAGAGATGACGAGGCTGTGAATGAACCCTTTTATGTAGTAATTAATGATTGTGCTTGACTAATCGATCATACAAGAATAGTGATAAAATGTTAAATGGAATTCTGTTCGTTTCATTCGCGCTCCAATTACGCTTTCAATAAAGTTGCGATGGCTCTGGCTCTGGCTCGATTTCGGTTTGACGCGTTGTACACGCTAGATTCAGCGGTTGACCTAGTTTATTGGCACGCTCGAAGTCCCTGTCAGATGCTTTTCAACCCTGCTAGTACCAGTGTGTTCAGGAACGACACAATAAATGCTTTGTAGCGCTGCACCTCTTACACCCATAATCGAAATTTTGTGACTTGTGCGAGGCCTCTACAATATTGTGACTTGTACAACGCCTCTATAAAGACCTTTGAATTTTTTCAGTGGCAGTGGGTAAAACTAGCTTTACGAACGGCCAAAAACGACCACAATGTAAAAAAAATGTGTTTTTATACGTATATATATATATATACATATTCCCAAAATAGACGCACAACCAACGACTATATTTATATATATGTCAATGTTTCTTCTGAAAATTTTAATCTGGTTACGGTTTGGGTGTCTCAAAATGGCGACAATCAAAAAAACAATTTTTTTGGAGGAAACTCCGTGGAAGCTCGTAGAATAATTTGCGATAGTGCTGAATGCATATAATTAGAATAAATATAACGGCCTTCGCTCATTTTTGACGGTCGAACAAGGAGCTTACTTTCGGAGGAAAATTGGAGGATGATTTTTTATCGCCCAAGTCAAAAGTTACGATCGTATATTTACTAATTTCGGAATATTGCTTTTATTTAAAATTTCAAAATGTTTTAAAAGGTGATACTAGATGCTCTTTTGGGATAGATATTGCTGCATGACGGTTAAGTATCTTTTTGAATTTTAAATAAAAAAAATTTTTTGTGAACCACCAACAACACTAAACGACGACTAATTAGTAATTGAATTACTAAACTCTAATAATTAAACTAAAACTAGTCTCTACTGATTCTAATTACTAATTGAAATAAATAACAGATAACACTAACGAACATTAACAGATTAGACTACTAGACACTACCAACCATTACTACATACACTTACGACTAACAGCACTTGTTCCTAAGATCCTAAATTCTATTGCTTGAATGGTTTTAAAATTTTTATTTACAATGCTTAGGTCTGGGAATAAAAAATATACTAAATTAAATTAATATATTAAACAATTTATCAATCAATTTTATAAAATAAACACTTTTGTAATTTGTTCAATTCAAGCTTCAAACTCCCCAAGCTAACTTGCAATTTAATTAAAATTTATTAATTATGAGTGATTCAAACTAAATTTTTTTTTTATTTAATGTTTTACAAAATATTCCTCATTCTTAAATTGTAGTACATGTTATTAAATTTATTAAAGATAATGTGTGATTCCAGTGATTCATCAATCCATGACTTGTTAGATCATGATCATTCAGTTTTAAAGAATCCCCATAACCAATGAGGTTTGTAAAAACTGAACTTTTAATTTATTATATTTTATGCATTTACAATGTTGTGTTATTAATTATTATCATTAATTTATTAAATGCTGTGCATACCTATAGCAAGTAAATAAAATAATTAAGCGTAGAAATAGCCACAATCAAATTAATTTTTATGGGCATGAGTATAATTTGGATAATAATAATTAAAAATATCTGAATCATTGAAAATGGATAAAGTCATAAATAAATCATAAATTGCTAAAAATAATAGTTCCAGTAAGATTTTGCCTTACACCTACATCTTTTTTTCATTCTTATATTATAATAAATGTTTGTTATCAAATATATCAAGGATTGATTTCTCAATCCATGACTAGATTGAATGTCATGACCCTAGTTCCAGAGGATCCCCATCACCATTAGTCAATAAGGTTTGTAGAAATCACCCCAGGCATACCATCAATGTTTTGTAGCCACCTTTTATGTAGTGTTAATAAAATGACATTGAGAATAGTTATTTAAAACAATCTTATTAAAATTATTGAACAGGTACGACAAGATTACTTTCTTAATGTCCTAGTGTGAGGAAGATGTAAGCCATTTGTCCAAAGATAATCATATGCCTTATGCCCATACAAATGCAGTGTCAACGCGAATGATTTTTGATCAGAGTCATATGCTCTAATTTTTTTAAACTTTTCCAGAAATTTTTCTGTTAATTTATTTGTTACATTAAATACTTGATGTGTATTTCATATAAAAACTTGATTATGCCAATTTAGTTAACTTGTTAAGCAATAATATAAAATTGACTCTACTTGTAATGGTGATTGGTATGATGATGATGATCCCAGTCCTAAACAGGGTTTATTATTCACAATGTCATTATGCCCTTTCTAAGTTTTAATAAAATACATGGACTATTGGTGAATGCATTTTATATTTTTTGTATAGATAATGTTGCAATGTACAAGGATGATGTGAATTGCTTCCTTGTGTAACTGATGACATATAAATATAACTAACTTGAAAACATGGGAATGCTTTCTTCAGCATTACCTTCCTTTCTCCATCATAACCCTTATAATCTTTATTACAGAAATGGTCACTGCATATTCTTGCATTTTTTGATGGAAGCCATTTGAAATCATTTATTTCCTTTCTGATGCACTTATTCCAATCGTTTTGCATTTTTACATTTTGAGGAAATCTGAAATTTTATAAACTGTTACAGAAACTTGTGCATTTCTTAAGTATTGCTTTTAATAATAAAATGGTAATCCATGATAGCATTATAAATTATAATAGTCTATAAAATAAAATATATGTAATTGTAAAACAAAATAGTTCTATTCAACGAGTATAAGGATATTGTTACATTTATTTTAGTGTAAAGTTAATTTGAAAATAAACCTGTGAAAAGATGCATCAGAAATTTTCTCATTTCTATTTATTATTAATGCAATTTTTAATGTGTATAGCTACGAATATGAAAATTTACTTAAAAACTAAATTATTGTATCTGACACGAAAATTAGTACAGAAACAAAAACGAAAGAATAAATGACAATATAAAAATTTAAACATTGATTGAAAGAGTTTATTCTAATTATATGGTATGGGCAATTCGTTGCGAAGTCGTTGGAGGAAATGGTGTCAACAGTAGTTATTTTACTGCATGGTAGTCAATCAGCCGGTAAAAAGGTTATATTCAATTCCTATCAAATAAATTTGACAAAATATACACAGGCAGAACTAAATAAAGAAATAGACAAGTAGTTATAATACATTTATAATGTTGTATTTACACATTCAAATTGTACAATTGTGTTATGGTGTAGGCTCAAATTATTTTGAATTCTCTCAGGAAATTTTAAACGTTTTACTACACTATATATACTAGTTATTTTTATCAACAATTTAAAAATTTTATCAATAATAAAAAAAATTTCAAATTGATTTCATTGTGATATCGATAATGATTTTTGTAACCTGACTTATTAAAAAGCATCAAAGAAAGTTAAAATAGGATGGAGAATTTGTTATATTGGGATATTCGTTTAAAAAGCGAGCAAAAGTTTAAAATAAAAGCACTTATAAATCTATGCATATTGGCTCAGCTTGGCTTGGCTTGGCTTGGAATCGGATGTTAAGCAAGGTGTGGTCTCAAACTATTTTGAATTCTTCCCGAAAAATTTGAGCTGCGTGCGTACATATATAGTAATGGCTACTATTGTTTTTTATAATGAATTTATAAAATATATAAATATAGCGAGCAAAATATTAACATAAAAGCGCTTTTAAATCTATGTATATTGGCTCAGCTTGGCTCGGCTCGGCTTGGAATCGGATGTTAAGCAAGGTGTGGTCTCAAACTATTTTGAATTCTCCCAGAAAAATTTGAACTGCGTGCTTACATATATAGCACTGATTACTGTTGCTTTTATAATGAATTTTTATTATATATATATAAAGTGACTGGAATCCATGTATACAAATAATATATTATATTAGATTATGTTTATAAGAAAAGCAATATAGCAGATTCAACCAGCCAGCCAGAAAGTTTCGAAGGCGTTCGTTCGATGACTTCAATTTAGTACGGTTAGCATTTTGGTTAAGACTGTATAATAGTGTAGTACATACCTTAAATAAGTTTTTTTATTGATGTGAATGATTGAAATGATGAAAATGTATGGTTGAAACGAGTATAAATAGGAGCTGAAAAAACGTTGAAATCAGATCAGGCATTTCTGCCTCGCTCGAGTCGGAGTGCCTGATCTCATTTTTTTATATTTATATTTTTTTAATTTATTTATTTTTATTTAATTTTATTTTATATAGAGTTATATAGAGTTATATAGAGTTATATAGAGTTATATAGAATTTGCATGTCTGTGGTTTGTGTGTTTGTATGTTGTATTTTTTTATATTTTAGGTGGGTTCTTTAGTGGTTGCTCATACATACAGACATACATCATGTTTGTTTGTGTGGCAGTATTTTATGTTCTGTTTTACTCCTTTTTCTCTTTCTTCATGAGTTTTGAGTTAAGTTAATGAAGCATAGGTAGGTGAGGTAAAAATTAATTTATTATATAGGTAGGCTAGGGCATAAGGTAATTTAGTTACATAGGTAGGTTAGGGACTCCTATTCTTTTACTCTACTTGGTGGTGTGATTTTTGTTTTGTGTTTTGTTTTGTTTCACATCATACATTCAGCAGGTATGCGGTGGTTCCTGGTTTTAGTGGGATTTTAATTGATTGAATGTGGTAGTATGCATGGTTATATGGAGTTATATAGAGTTATATAGAGTTATATAGAGTTATATAGAGTTATATAGAGTTATATAGAGTTATATAGAGTTATATAGAGTTATATAGAGTTATATAGAGTTATATAGAGTTATATAGAGTTATATAGAGTTATATAGAGTTATATAGAGTTATATAGAGTTATATAGAGCATAAATCCTATATAGATACCGTTCTTTGCGGTTCTTTTCTTTGCCGACCGGTCGGCTTCTTTGCGTTTCTCTATTTTCATTTAAATTAATTAAATAAGATTTGTCCATTCATCTAGGTTCATTCATTCAGATTATAGCTTCCAGAGGAGCTCGTCGTGGAGGATCAGAATGGTTGTGATGTCACCCTACGTTCAACCTTAACCCTAACTTCCGACTTTACGGTTTCTTAACGGTTTCTTTTTTTGCCAGTTTGCTGGCTTTTCCGGCTGGTGGATTTCACCGCGGCTCGTTTCTCTATTTTCATTTCAATTAATAAATAAAAGATTTTTTCATTTCATTCAGGTTGAAGCTTCCAGAGGAGTTCATCATGGAAGATGTCAGGCTACGTTCGTTCATTCAGTGGCAAAGAATACCTGCCTGACTGGGATACGTTTTCTTCTTTTTTTCTGTAATTTAAAATTAAGTAGGAATGCTCACACGCACACACACGCACACACAATTACATTAAGTAGCTATATAGGTAGGTTAGATAGGCCTAATTTTAATTGTAGGTAGGATAGATAGGGAGCATCCAACACTAATGTAGTTGAATAGGTAGGCAGCGTAAGTTTATCTCTTCTATTTTATCTTGCACCCACATTACACGCACCAGCGTATTACACACAAACACACAAATACATACATAAACACATATGTTAGTATTTGAGCGTAATTTTATTTTCATTACACATTCTAATTTATTATTACTAAGGTTGAGAGTAATTTAATTTCATAGGTAGTTAAGAGCAATAATGTAATTCTAGGAAAAATCTTGTAATGTAAATTAAAACGCTGTAAGTGTGTCGATAGGTAGGTTAATTATAAATTTTACATTATTATTATTAGGTTGGAGCCCAAGGCATTACGTAGGTGGTGGGGTGGGCGCCGATTGGCTAAATGAATTGGGCTCTTGAGTTTTGTAATTTTAAGTAAGCTAGGACCGTAATGTAATGAATAGGTAAGTTAAGGCTACGTTGTAACACATACTCATTAATAGATTTAGGGTTTAAGTTTTATATTATTATTATTACTAAGTTGGAGCCCAAGGCATTACGTAGGTGGTGGGGTGGGCGCCAATTGGCTAAATGAATTGGGCTCTTGAGTTTTGTAATTTTAGGTAAGCTAGGGCTTCATTGTAATGAATAGGTAAGTTGAGGGTACGATAGCCGATAGACTCTGAATTTCGAAGTCTCTTCTCAGAGGTAAGCCTTGGCGGCCAGTGGTGAACCGGCAATGGTTTACTATCCGGACGGCAATGGTTTACTATCTGCACGGTAATGATTTACTATGCGGCATGGCCATAGTCTACTACCCGCACGGCTTCCGGACGGCAAATGGTTTACTATCCGCAAGGCAGTAGTCTACTATCCGCACGGCAATGGTTTACTATCCGGTGCCCTGGCTGTCGGTGAACCTCTGTGCAAGGAGGGAGAATGAAGGGGAACTTTCGACTATCGTACCATTAACAATTTATTATAGATTAGTTAAGGTAATTGAATAGGTAGATAGGATTATTTTTATTAAGCAATTTAAGATGCAGGCACCGCTAAGCTTTCTAATGAGAATTTTCTCTTTCTCCATCAACACGGGCTGTGTTTCAACAACAATCTCGAGGAGGACTGGCACCAGTTTTGGAGGACAACGCAGGAAACGGAAGGCACTCATCATTTTGCCTTTGTCGAATGGACGACGGTAAGTTTTTTTTACATTTTACTCTCTTTATTATTTTCAAATATTATTTATTTGCCATTATTTCCATTTTATAATTTTTTGCTTCCAAGATTCTAACATTCATTTACTACTAAGCTAATAAAAATAACTTGTCTACAGACTGATGAGAGGTGGGCAGTGGTGGGCGTCAGCACGTTTCAGATGGTGGTCTCATGATGATCGTTCCGATAACAACTCGAAGAAAACAACAACGACGATTTTTGAAGTATCGTTTAGTTTCGTTGTTTTTATTTTTTTCATACATTCATTTTGTCACACAATCTTTCATTCATCCATTAATTGACTCATTCTTTTCATTCATTGAATCATAGATTGGTTAATTAATTCATTCAATCACTCAATCATTCGCTCAATCATTTATTCGTTTGTTCTTTCGTTTTAACATTCATTTACTACTAAGCCAATAAAAAAATTTGTCTACAGAATGATCAGAGGTGGGTTGTGGTGGGAGTCAACACGTTTCATGATGGTAATCTCATGGTAAGATAAGTTGCTTCTTACTTTTTTTCAATGGCTTGTTTTTTATTTTAAAAAATTAACTTTTTCTTTCAATTTTGTTTTTCAGTATCCGGTAAAATTCATTTCCTCGGTGCGTGTCAGATGATGGTCTGTGCAATGGAGGTTCGTCCGCAGTGGGTGAAGAAGTTTCTGGAGGGTACGCGCGCGCACATTTACATACACGCCCACACATAAATACAACACACACATACACAACATCCATTCATTCGGTGTCGTTGTTGTTATGTTTCTCTTCAACTTTCTATTTTCTTTACCGGACTTAATTTAACTCATAGGTAAGTTAGGGATTGAGATGAGTTGAACAACTGTATGTAGGCTAGGGCTTAACATTAGTTAAAAAGTTTCAAGTAAAATATTAACATTAAAATAAATTAAAAGCTTCAAGTAAAATTAAAACGTTAAAATATGTAAAATAAATGAGTTGAGTTATCATTACAGGTAAGCTAGGGCCCTGAGAGTAATTTAATTGTAGGTAGGTGACTGACTACTATTCTTGCGACTTTTTAATATTTTTTTTTGTGGTGTGTTTGTTTTCGCTTTTTAGCACCACACAGCACCAACAAAACAAACTACAATTTTTTTTGTCGTCGCCTTAAATTTTACCATTTTTGAACAATCTTTTTAATAATGTCTATTTATTTATTTGTAAAATGTTGACTGGTTTCTAGTTTCTTATTTTGGTTATATAATTTTTGGAGATTTCCTGATTTACTTTGTATATATGCATGCATGAATAATTTCTGTTTGGTATGTTGATTTAGTCATTATGATATGCTGTGAACTGTCCTTACTAAATATTCATGTTTCGTGATAATTATTTTTTATCGATCGATATTTTGTTATATTTGTTTGTTTAAAATCTGAACATTTTAAAAAATTGACATTTAACAAATTTTAATTTTTCGTCACTTTTCATCTTTTGATGATGTCAAATAAAAGCAACTGTTGTGTTTTTCTTTCCTTACTAAAATCTCGAATACAAACATGTACACATAAAGAGACACAGACACTCATACATACAAACATACATACACGCATACATACATACTGCCATCATATATACGCAGCACAATAAACATTCATGTCATTTCTGTCAATGTATTTTAAGTATTTTATACTGTTAATCTTGTTAACTATGATGACGATCATCATCATCACAACCATCATCAACGAACAACAATATAATAATAATTACAGCAACAACAACAACGAAATAAAAATAGTTGTTCTCATTAGGCATTTCAAAAGCTGACATTCTTCTTTTAATACAAGCGTTATATATATATATATATATATATATATATATAATATATATATATATACATATATGTGTGTGTGTGTGTATGTGTGAGTTTGTTTGTGTGTGTGTGTGCGTGTATGTGTATTGTATATTTTTATCTATTTATTGAAACGTTATTTTTTACGCATACCACTTGTCTCATTCTCTCTCTCTCTCTTTCTTACTTTATATATATATACATACATATATATATATATATATATATACATATATGACTGGTTGGCTGGCCGGCTGACCGACCGACCGACCGACTGATTGTTTGATTGATTTATTTCATAGTATTGTATACATGAGAAAAAATCCGATCAAGCCAACCTACGGCTTCAGTAAGCCACTGTTTTTCACCTGACAAAAGCAATTTCTATATTTATATTGACAAAAATAATTGTGATATGAATATATTGATTTATTTAAAGCATTATATGTACAAAAAAGTGCTATCGTAAGAGTTCTATGAAACCCTGTAAGCCACTGCTGTAAGCCAACGTATGATTTCAGCAGCCAGTTTCTTGTGAGCACCAGCAGAATGTAAAATATTCATTGAATATAATGAAGATAGTTGTTCAAATAACAATTTTGATTTATTTAGGCTGTTTATTTCATAAGAAAACCAATTTTTAACATGATCGAATAGTGTGAAAAAAAGGGTGACTATAGTTCAATCCTACTAAGCCAGCCTTCGGCTTCAGTAAGCCACCGGATTTCACCGGACCAAAAGCAATTTTTATATTCAAATTAACAAAAATAATTTAATAATACATAATTCTATTAATCATTATTAAAATTAAATAGAATTACTACAATGTTTTAAGCATATTAAATCAAGTAATAGTAAATATCTCATTTAGCTTGCTCGTTAAAATCCATGCACTTTCATAAGCCAACAATCCAAGCACGACAAATAGCCCGACCGATAGATCGATTAGTCCTATTATTCTAGTTATGTGGTTTGGAGCAAGGGGAGACTCATATAATTAGACATTACTGAAAATAATTAAAAGTTGAAAAAATTGAGGTTCTTTGCATATCTCTGCTTCAACCCATAAGAAGGTGTTGTATGCTGGTAAATAGGCCTGCCCTTAGCTGAATGTTCCGGATTCAATTTATTTAAAATTTTATTGAAAAACGGTTGTCTGGTTTTCCATGAATTGTTCGGTTATGTTTCTTGTGTTTGAATTTGAAAAGTAAACCTGATAAAATAATGTTATATAGCGGAACAGATGGTCGGAATTTTATAAGTTAGCAAACGATGTTGGATGTCTGTTCGTCTTCTGTTGCTTCTTCTTCACGTGTTCCTTTTCGATCTGGCACTTCATTAATCATTTGGCAGTCTGATTTCTTCTAACTAAATCTAATCTACTGATCCCTGACTTAACTGACCTGACTGCATTTGCCTCTGCATCCTGTTGCTGAAATTGATAATTTATTGATAAATTAAATTGAAAATAATTAAAAAAAGTCTATTTTTGTATTCATAAATAAATATTAATAAATTTTCAAATCAATAACTGGAAACAGTTTCTAGTTTTATAAATAATTAAAAAATGATTATGTGTTTGTAAAGTAAAGTAAATTAATAAGTTAAAAACTAAAAGATTATAGTTTATAAGATAAAAACTAAAAGATTATAGTTATACTGTTATATAAAAGGGCAATTGAAATTAAAAAAGATGTCTCTGACAACGTTTCTTACAAAAGCATCAAACCTTCTGGGTTTGAAGCCTAACATCAGCTTAAAAGCTCCACCTTTGGATGGTGAAATTATATTTTGTAAAAATAATGTCTGTGTTCATCCGCCGGCAAATCTGAACAAGAATTCAGAGCACCATCCTGGCTACATGAACATTCGATCACAAGAAGATGAGGTCTGGTTTGCTTTTCCATTCATTTGACATTTTTCTAATTTGTAGTTTTTGTTATCTTCCTGTTGACATTATTCATTTAATGATGAATCAAAAATGGGAAGTTTGTTTTGTTTATTTATTTGTAGATATTAAACTTGCGTTTTGTATTTATATTTTGTTTTAATAAAAATGGAATAATTATAACTTTATACATAAAATGATTTCAGCTGTCAGTAAAATTTAACTTTCATGATTGCATTTATTTTATGTTATATTATCAATTAACATTTGCTTAGAGTTAGGGTTTGCCGAGATTTAATTTTATTGATTACAATGCTATTTAGCATATTTGATTTTGGATTATTTAAGAAAGTAGAAACAGTTACTAATTGCACTACTCAATCTCCACCAATGCCTGTCAAGACCACCACCAACAATAATGTTTATACTATGTATATTTATATTTATATGATGCATCTTCCAACACAAACATAATTACCAAACCAGCACTCGCTCAGTCAACCCATTAAAGACAAAATCTTCATTTCAAAATGCCTAAAATATCTTAAGAGACAGTTACATATGCCATTTTGTTATTAATTAATTAATTAATTCGTTAATTTATCTATTTATCCATCAGTTCATTCAATTATTTTTTGCACTAACTGACGCAATGTTTTGTTATGTGAAAAAAATATATATCTTGTAGATTTAACTAAAATGTGAATTTTTGCCATTTTGCCATGCCTTCTAGTACTGAAAAAATTTTTTCAAAAAACCTTCAAGATGATTGATAAAATAAATTAACAAAAGGTTCTCGGGAGAACATTGATCTTGACGTGGATACCCAATTCAACTTTGACAAAAAATCCTCGCAGCATCGAGAACAGTCCCAGGCAGGGTAAACCCCTTTGCAGCACCGGCAGCAACCACAACGGCCACAACAACAACAGTCACAATGATGACAATATCGATAATTACAGTCTGGCCAGTATAGATGATGTTAATAACTGCGAAAATTATGATAATGGTAAAAATTCTTGCAGCAGCAGCAACAACCACTACAACATTATAAATATTCACGACCCTGCTGCCAATCGTGGCAAAAACATTCACAGCAACCAACAATGCCAAAATAGTTTTTATAAAAACAACGTTAATATAAACTTTCCCGTTGGTGATAAACATAATCACCAACAACAAAACCATCGACTTTAAAGGTGACGCTAACAACGACGACAATAACTTTAATGAAAATGAAAATGTTAACATTGGCATTTTTGGCGTTACAATCTGTAATAACATCTCCAACCCAGTTCGCACTACCAAGCCAAGAAATGATGAACCATATAAGGACAGTGACGATGGTGATGTCTTTTCTATTACCCCTGACAGTAAAAACTTCATTAACAACTACATCAATAATGATGACAATGGCAAATGTAATGACATCAACTCTTTGGATGGCATACAGGCCAAAAACAAATACACCAATTCTATTAACATGGATAAAGACATCAACAGCGCCGGTGATAACATTAATAACAGAAATGACAGCAGTAGCAGTAGCATTAATAATAATAATAATAATAACAACATTTGTAACAATGAGAACTGTGCAGCAGGTAACATAGTTTTCAACAGTTCTTCATCCTTTGAAACTGACAGCAATGTACCTAGAAATCTCAATTTGCATAAGTTAAAGGTGGGAAAATTTATTTCTTTCAATTTTGATTTGAAAAAAAAAATGATGTCAAATTGGTTATTTCAAATCAAAAACTGTTAATAAGGTGTGCACTGGTAACTTCATTACAGACTTAATTAAGAGGATGATGGTGATAATATTAATTAATAATAATTGAAGTGCGGATTATAATTAATCATAATTTTTGTTTCCGACTCACCAGATGTCAGATGAGCTGAGGAAGCGTTCGAGTAGTTCCAGCAAGTCCGTGGCCTCCATCGAGATGGACGGGGACAACCTGATCGTGGTGACTGAGCAGCTTGAAGAATGTCGTCATCATGACGTCATCATCGATGATGATAATGATTACGACAGTGGTGGCGATAGTGTCGGTGTTGACAACATCAATGTATGTAAAAAAGAGGAAAGAAATGGTGATGATGATGATGTGAAGAATGAATTTGACCTCCTTGCATCAACTGATTCAAATTTTACATCACATAAATCACCTTCGAATGTTACTCAATCACCATCAGCTACACTACCAGCTCATGGAACGTCATCATCATCACCACCACAATCTCCATTATCACCAAACTCGTCATCACCATCGTCCTCATCATCGACACCAACATCTGGACCGGATTCCATCCCCAACTCCCCGCCATCACCTTACAGCAACTTTTTCAACCCTTTCAACTTCAATAAGCTACCGAAGCAGCAGTTTAAACTGCTGAAGAAGCAAAAAGAAATTAATCAGAAGCAGCAGCAACAACAGCAGCTGCAACAACAGCAGCAACAACAGCAGCTACAAGATGATGACTGTCTGCAACAACTTCCTGACACCATGATATTATCGACGTCAACAGACCAAAATTTAAATTTTCCAACATCTACAACAACAACTACCTCGTCGAATGCTATGTCAACATCAAAAACAGCAACGACGTCATCTAAAACAACAACAACAACACCAACATCGTCACCAACAATACCAACAACAGCAGCATTTAAAAAACAAAAACACTTCATAACAAAACATCGCATGAACTTTCCAGAAAATTCAATCTCATTCATCGCAGTTGGAGCTGATGATGTTGGGAAGAATAACATTGGTGATGATGATGAGGAGGATGATGACAATGATAATGATAGTCGTAGTAATGATATTGGCTGTAATGATAATAGTTTTGTGGACGTGACATCAAAGGATGGTGATGATGATGATAGTAGTGGTGGTGTTGATAATGATCTCTCATTTGTATGTGGTGTCTTTTCAGTTGATTTAGGTTTGTTGTAGTCATTTAATCAGTGTTTTTGTTGTTGTTGCTGTTGTTGTTGTAGTTTTTTTCCATTTTTCTTTTAATTCATCTTTTCTTCTCCCTCTCTCTTTCTCTCTCTTTTCTCTCTCTCTCTCTTTCTCTCTCTTTTTTCTCTCTCTCTCTCCCACTTCTCATAGGCTGCCCTTATTTTGTTCTATTCAATCCTAACCAGCCTCAATTTGTTGTTTTGATTTATTGTGGTCCCTGAACGTTCCTCAACAACCTGTCTATTTATAAATTGTGTGTAGGTGTTTGGATTTTTTGTAAACCCATGTCCATTTTTTTATTGCCTAGCGTAATATATGAAGATATTTGATTATTCTTCGTTTGAAAGAATGGATAGACATATCCATAATGTTCACTCATCTATCATTCTGTCCATTCATTTATTTATTCATTTATTTATTCATTCATTTTGTTCATTTATTTATTCATCCATCCATAAACTAATCCATCCATTTTCTTATCACTTCATCCATCCATCTACTTATCCAATCATCTCGCTCGTCCATCCATGCACACGTCAAGGTCAGATGAGGTCGCTAAGGATCTTTTACAGTAACAACCAGTGCAACAGCGGTCAGTTAGTGATAGCCAGCAGAGAGAGTCAGTACAAGATCTTGCACTTCCACCACGGCGGTCTCGATCGGCTGGTCCAAACTTTTAAGGATTGGTCATTCCTTGCTCAGGCTTCTAGGAAGGTTAGCTGGTTGGCCAGTTGGTCGGACAGTTGGTTGGTCAGTGGCGGGCAAAATGGTGTTGCCGAGTTTTGTTGTTGCAGTGACTGGGTTTGAATTCAAAGTGATTACTTTTTATCACGTGCAGTGCAATGCATGTGGCGATGATGCATGCATGCATGTCTTCATGCGTATTCACATGTGCGTTTGTGTGTGCCTGCGTGTGTGTGAGATGCGTGTGGTGTGTGTGTGTGCGTGAGTAAGGTGTAGGCGTGTTGTTCTGTTCATAAGTCTGTTAGTTAGTTGATTAAAGAGTTAATAATTGATGATTTTATAAAATTGCTGTTTATGTTTGATTTATTGTTAAATTAATATAAAATATTTATTTATTCATTATTCATCCAACAAATTGTGTGAAAGTAGAGTATCTTAAAAGGGCTCTTCAGGGTTCTTTCAGTTATTTATTTTGATTATTTTATGATTATTATCTTTATTTTGTTTTTGTTAACACATGGTTTCATTATTATGTATACGGTTGTAACAGGTGATCATCCATTCATATGAATATAGTCTTTGAATGTTGAAAACAGCTTTTTTCAGTACGAAACCATAGAATTTCAATTGAGAATATCAATATTATTGATGTAATTATATTTTTTTTGTGAAGTTGTAAACATTTCAGAGAATCGATTTAATTTTTCCAAAATTGCGACTCCCGCCTCTCGGAAAATTCGGACTCCGACAAAAATCTCCCACTACGTCTGATGACCCCGACACTCTGTATTCTAGATACAATTATAATGCAAATTTGAAAAGTTTTTCTGGGAGTTGGAAATTTTTTCCGACTCCAACATCCTGTAGTAAGGTAAGAATAAAGTAGATTTCAATCAAAATGGAATAAGTGAAAGATATTTTTACAGCCGTTTTCATATAAAAGTTTCAAAAAAGTAGCAGTAGCGATAGTCATTTTGCGATCTTTTTTACTTTGAGTAGCGGAAGCCTTCACTTCCTTCTAACGCTATAATGGGCTTGATCTTTGGCTACTTCCTGTCCACCCCGTCCAGGTTTGTGGTCATAACTGGCTCCAAATTGAGTAACTTTTTTCCAACACATTATTAATCACCACTGTCATCGTCTTTCTCATCGTCATCATCATCGTTTTAATTATTATCATCAGCATCAACATCATTTCAGAGGGAGATGATGAAATAGATGATAGAATAGAAATGTTATCTACAAATGTTTAATAATCATTAGAAGGCAGGTAATGGGTAATAATAGTGCTAGAAAATATGATGATGGTAAAGTGATTAAGATGTTGATAAAAACCCTGGTGGAGGTATATTTAAGTTTAGATTATTCGCAACTGATTATCATCCCACTATCATCATTCAGCCATCACCATCACGTTATTGCATCATCATTACGTTATTACATCACCGTGATATTACATCATCAGTGGTTCCAGTTTAAATTTTTTTGGCCTCCTTCCTGTCAAATTGTCCAAATTCGCCACTGGCCATCATCACAGATCATCATCATATTATCATTTTTAAATCCATCGTGCCGGGTCATATCATAATTCATTTGTTCTCTTCATATAATGACGAAGGGGATGGAGAAAGATGACAGCAGCCACTACTTCTCCATTATTCGCCCCTTCCTGCCCCACGAACTCTGCCACCCGGACGAGGGCACGATGGAGATGCTGAGGCGAGAGACGTGGCGGGTGCACATGAATGATATGGGCGTCATCAATGATCATCTACATCTCAGGAAGGTTTGGAAAATATTTATTTGCTGTTTTTTTTTTAATTTTTCAATTGAGATGTTGTACGTTCTATATGTTGTATATTCTATGTTGTACATCTATGATATACAGTCTGACCTTCATATAACGGACTTCTATACAACGGATATCTCTATTTAACGAATTTTTTATGTCCCTTGAAATTTTACATATAAATAAAATCTATAGAACGAAAATAATTTCTCTATAACGAACGAAATTTATAAAAGTTAAAAGAAATATCCGACCAGCAAACATTCTATGAATTGATGAGCAGAGTTTTTGTACTCTTTTAAAGTTTTAATATCCTAGAACCATATTTATTGTTTCTTGTTCTAGTATTCTAGTAATTTTTGCGAATTCTACTTCGATTAATTTCAACAGATCGAAATCATCGTTGCACAGAGCAAAGAATAAATTTCACTTTTAAAACTTTATTTTTTACAATTATAGCATGTATTAATACTTTTCTTTATCATAATAAGTAAGTAGAGGGTTGGTTTTTTATATAAATATACAGCATATAAACATCTTTTAGGCAATAAAGATTTTTCGTTATAACGAAATTTCTATATAACGAATTTTTTCTGGAACCATCAAATTCGTTATACCGAGGTCCGACTGTAATCAGTTTTTGTTCATAAATAGTATTATTATTATTATTTTTATTTTTATCTTCATCATTACCATTATTAGTATTATAATTATTCAAATCTATCATCATCACATGAAAAATTCCCACCATCACGACCCCTCCAACAATTCTTACCCCGACCACCAGGCAATCTTTTTCGCGGGTATTGAACCATCAATAAGGGCCGAGGTGTGGCCCTTCCTACTGCACTACTACCCCTACCTCTCCACGCACGAAGATCGTGAATGTATCAGGAATGATAAGTACCTCGAGTACCTCAGTATTAGGAAAGTTAGGCTAGTAATTTCACGCTGCGCTCAGCAGTAGCAGTAATTTAAGGCAGCGTTAGTGGCACTTAATATAGTTGTTGTTTTTGTAATTAGTACCATTATTTGTTGGCCCCTAGTGGCGGTTGTAATTTTTTGATTTAACGATTAGTACCAGTAGCTGTTGTTTGTTGATACGGTAGTAATTTATTCTACCCATGATAGCAACCACAGTTAATTTTTTAATAATAGAAATGTACTGTACTAATTGTAGTAACAATTATTTGATGTAGTAATGATGTAAGTGAATATACCTAGTAGTAAATATAATTCTAACAGTATAAAATAAAACGGCATTTTAGCATGCGAGGTATTTTCTGAGATAGTATTCGAACCAGGCTATCGCGTGCTACAATTCGAGACATGGCACTTCTACAGACTACTAATAAATAAAGATGTATAATTTTATACGCAAGCTTGTATCGTTTGTAGTATCTGTGGTAGCGTTGCTAGCGACGCTGACAACAGCGTGACAATATGGCGTTGGGGGCTTTGCAGGGAGAGAATGAGTAGAGAAGAGAGAGAGGCGTTCTGGCGTTCGACTCAGTGTATTGTGGAGAAGGATGTCATCAGGACCGACAGGAGTCATCCGTACTTCTCCGGAGAGAGCAATCCCAATGTCGATGTGCTCAAGTTGGTCCCGGTGGTGGTGGTGAGGAGGAGGAGGAAGTAGATGGTGGTGATTATGATCTTGATGGTGGTGATAAAGTCGATTACGATGATGATTGTGTTGATAATTTTGTTGTTGTTGTGTTAATGACAGTGCTAATGACTGCTTATAATTATGATTGTAATGAATTGATGGCGGAAATAACGACGAAGATGAAAGTTAAATGATGAAAAGCCCCATGCGTTCAAGTTTGTACCTGTGATGATTCTATTATGGTTTGATGCAGTTGTAAGTGATGATGATTGTGAAATAAACTGATTCTAAATTTTGATTCTAAATGATTCTAGATGATTCTAAATAAACTTCAAATTATTTTCAACTTACATCCTACTTAAAAAACAAAATATAAAGACATGAAACAACATCGATATATTTTTTAATTAATTACTTAATTAATTAATAATAATAATTATTACATTTTTTAAATTACGAAAATACTCCAACAAAACAAAATCCTCAAAAACCCTGTACAGGAACATTCTACTGAACTATGCAGTGGCCCATCCGACGCAGGGCTACACGCAGGGGATGTCTGACCTCCTCGCTCCGATCCTCATCGAACTGAAGAACGAATCAGATGCCTACTGGTGCTTCGTCGGCCTCATGAAGGACACGGTCTTCTTCTCGTCCCCCACTGATGTCGATATGGATGGACAGCTGGTTAGTTGGCTGCTGGTCGGTCACTTGATTGATTGGTTGGTTGATTGGTCAGTTGGTTGGTTGATCAATTGGTTGGTCAGTGGATTGGTTGGTTGGTTGGTCAGTTGATTGGTTGGTTGATGATTAGTTGTTGATGAAGTGGTATATGTTTGAGATACTGTTGTTGTCGTTGTTTGATTGTTTGTTTCAGTTGGTGATTGATACGAGTGGGAAAATGTTTTTAAAATAGTTTTAGATTTTTTCTTGCTTTAAAATATTTTACATGATCTTTACTCAGATAGAATAATGTTACAATCACGTCATAATTATTTTGAAATAGCAATAGTTACTATTAGTGATAATAATAGCAGCTAAGATGGTAAGGATGATGATTTAGTAAAACCGTATCTATAATTCATTTTCCTTTTCGAAAGGGTCTAAAAAAATTATTATGTTTTTTTTAGTTTGAGCCTATTATATTATGTTATATTATACCATATTATATAATATTATTATAAATATTAATAAACATAATAAAAATTTCCATCCAGTTATATTTGAGAGAACTGTTGAAGTTGTTGCTTCCGAGTTTTTATCATCATCTCTTGAAATTACAGGACGGCCTGGATTTGCTCTTTTGTCATAGGTCAGCTTCTGGCCTGTTGGGCGGAGCTTATTTTAATAATTTATTCGTAAGATAGATTTGGTAGATTAAAGTTTTATGTTTTAAAAATTCAATTAGTTAATTAATAAGTTATTTGATTAATTAATTAGATGATTGATTGATTGACAGATGGTTACTTCTTTGCTTCAAAAGAGAGTTTGCAGAACGTGATGCCCTCAGAATATGGGAGGTCTGCTGGGCCAGGTTGGTTCTACTGTTTATATCTTTTCAATCATAATAATTATAATTATATTATTCAATCATATCAGTTTTAATTATTCACTTACATTAATTTTAACTAGTCTCTTATAAGTTTGAAAATCTTTGCAGAAGTTATTCTTTCATTCTGATTTTGTTGTTTCAACGTGATTTTAATTTTGGCATTGTTTCTATCTGTCTATCAGACAGAATGAATTTATGAACAAGTACGATTCTGTGAGATTCATCAATTATTTATTTTCATAGTGAAGGCTAGAAGGAACGATTGGATTTGACTTTGTGCACTTTTGACGTGATAAATGTCTTTACTAAACCGTTTTATTAAGTGTCAATATTGAAATAAGTAAAAATTTAAATTTATGGCAAGTATGGAGTTTAAATCCGGGCCCTTAAAAATTACGGTCCATAGACATTTGTATCATGTGTCTTTGGTTAATTCGGCCCTGGTCGTAGCAGTCGCATACGACAACTATGAATGGCAACAGGTTCATCAACATTAACGACAAACTAACCAACAACGAAAACATTGGCAGGTACCTGACTGACTACTTCCACATATTCATCGTCGTCTCAGTCCTCTCCATTTATGGACAGGATGTGGTGGACCAGGATTTGCCCTCGGATGACCTCCTCCTGCACTTCAACAGCCTCTCCATGCATATGAATGCAGACATGGTCCTCAAAAAAGCGAGAGGTCTCCTGCATGAATTCTGTCAACTGGAAACTATTCCTTGCACTCTTCATGGATTGTGTTCTAGTTCCTCTTCTAGTGGTTCGTTTGGCTTCATTTTTTTGTTGTTGAAAAAGTTTCATGTTTTGATTTCTAGTTGTTTATTTGCTGCGTGATTTTTATTTTAAATACTGAAAATTGTTAGCCATTCATTTTATCAACAAAAACATTATATTATTTACAATTGCTCTTTCGAAATTTTTTGTCTGTCTTCAACGTTTCCCTTCCCTCAAGACACTACCCCAAATTAAATGTAGGACTCACTTTGTTTAATGTTAGTTTTATATTAGTTATTTATTTGCCAAACAGTCGATACCGCATAAGCATAACTACTTCCTCTTAGGATAATATAATCGGAAACAAACACACGCACACACACTTTGGTCATTTAACCAACCTCTTGATGTCAATCGATAATGAATAATTGCTATTAACCTCACTCACACACATGGATATAATAAATATTTATAATAATAAATATTTACTGTCGATCACACGCACACCACACACACATACGCACGCAAACACACATTTTCACACACAGGCATGTGGGATAACAAGTATACAGTGAAAGTCCAGTGCGTCGGGCACAATCCTAATGAAACCTGTCCCTACACTGAAACTTCACCCACACAAATCAAGCAAGACAGCCAACAGTCCCCCAGAAGCCATTGATAAATTTGTTAATTATCCAATTAATAAATCAATTAATTATCCAATTACGTCCTAATAGTATTTCAATAATGTGGATCATGATTCTAGTTATTTCATTTCCATCATTTATTTTAATTAATTCTTAAAATGATGATAAGTTAATTAGTTAGTCAGCAAGCGGAATAAGTTAAGCTACACATACACACACAAACATGGAGAAAGATCGATAATTGTTTAGGTTTCTTTTTACCAAACTTCCAGTTTAAGAAATAAATATTCAATTAATATGTATAACAATTTTTCCCAACAAAAACACCTCACGTAAAGTTTCACCCGTAAACATTCTCAGTTTGTTTTTTATAACTTATTCTATATTGATTTTATTTTTAACGCACATATACTCATTTCACTTAATGTTTACTTCATTATATCATTACATTTTTCTTTAATTTTTGTTGTTATTTATCTTGTGAGTTTCATTTGTTAACGCATTTTGGTGGTGATATTTTTTTGATATTTATTTAGTGGTGGGTACTTGGTCAGTTTTTTTTAAACTGCGTTTATCTCTATTGACCCTTACAAAGATCTAGTCACATTGTCTGTACGCTCATCTCTTGCAAAACATTTTAAACACCCAGCCTGATATTACTGAATGGTATTAGTTAAGATAATTTCTTCTCGTTTGCTTGACGTAAAATTGTGGCACAAGGCATGTATCATTTTTTAACTTTGTTTTCAATCATTCATTCATCAGCCCAAATATATATTAACGTATAGTGATTTTACTGTGGTTAATTCTTCTTAACACAGTATTGACTAGCATAAAGAAAAAAAAATGCAAAAAACGTTTATAATTAGTTGGAAAAAATGTAGGGACTCCTCAGGATCTGACGGTCTACAAAAAACTGCCAGAGCTTTAACGTCTTACACGATATACACAGCAATGGGGAATCTGATGCGTCACAAATAAGACGCCCAGAATTTCTAACTGTGGTCCACAATATTTAAAAAAAATTCATTGTCACGTGTCCTTGGTCAAGCGTGTTAACGCGAAAATTGATTTTTCCCGCTAACATAGCGATGACAAGCTTCAATATGGGCAGAAGGGAACGCCTGAACCAGTCATTGATCAGACAGGTTAGGAGCTATGTTTCTGCGCAAACCAACGCTGAGTAACGGCTGGGGCAAGACTGAAATTTAAAATGACGATAAAAGAAAAACTGACTTATTAAATTGACATTTGAATGTAACGTGCAGCATTTACGTCAGCGAAAATTAGTTTCTCGCTAAACATGGATGCTACAATTCTTTAGTATGCGCAGATAAAGAACGCCTGAACGAATCACTGATGTTAGATACGTTAGGAGCTGGTCTGCGGTCACAAACGTGAGAACAAAAAAAAATTACAAATTAACTACAACCACTCTGTTGCATCAACCAAATAAAATAATGAATATAAACATGATTTACTAGAAAAAAGTCGTCACAGGATGGCCGCCTGACATTGAAATTGACAGTCTAAAAATAAAAATGGCAAAGAAACCGTACCGCAAACAAATTGCATGACGAGATCAACAAAAGTAAGACGAATAAGATGAAGATAAAACATAAAAATTAAAAAAATTAAAAAGCGAAATATTCGCACGCCATATTAGAATTCCAAAGCACGCACCAAACGAACGAGCCGAAGCGAAGAAACACAAATAAAGGAAGATCAGGAAAGGGTTTGGGTTTATATACCAAACAAAGACCATAAATAAGCAATAATATTAAATTGATTTGTGGCCTTGAAATGATAAAATAAAAATTAGTATTAGATACCATTTTAATACAATAAAAATTTAACTCTTGTTTTAAATTTTAAATAAAATTATACTGAAGTTTTATAATTTCTTTTCGCTTATATATGCATAAAAAAATTTAATAATTTACTAATAATTCCCAATTAACAATAAATTTAACAAAAAACATCTAAAAAACAAATTAAAAAATTTTAGATCCTAAATTAACAATTAAACTTTTAATAAAGGCGAAACTGAAGAATTTCAGGCCGTTGCATACGTGGTTTGTGGCTGGCTACACGTACATACACGCACACAACTGCACACCTACACACGGCACTTTAAATACTATACTTGTTTTAATTAGATTTGGTTGTTTTTAAAATTTAAAGGTTGGGAGTTCTGAATCTTAATTATTTAATTAATTAATTATTAGCTATTAATAAAATAAATTGAATAATATTTAATATTCACTTTGTTTTAATCTTTATTGTTTGTGAAACTGAAAGTGAAAGAACAAAGTAGAGAGGTTAGAAATGTTTTTTGACAGTTTTTTATTTTTTTAATTTTTAAATTAAATTAAACAGTTAAACATTATTAAATTAAAAATAGAAACACATACATACATACATACAATACAATTCAAATTCAAACACACATAAATACTACATACTACTCTACTTTACTGGTTTTACTAAGATATTATTTTCAAGAGTTTTAAATGTTTGGACAAGTTTTAACGGAAGTGGTTAATTTTATCTTGCACAATCACAAACACACACACACATCTACACACACACACACACACACACACACACACACGTATAAATAAATAAATATTATACATATAATATACAATACATATATGTGTGTTGTGTATATTATCTAGTGTATAATAATTATTTACACACAACGTACTTATATAATATATATAAATCCTTTATTAGTCAAATTAAACATTATAATTTAAAATTTTTTATTTTTCAAAAAGCTTAAAAACAGAAATAATAATTCAATTGAAAATAGGGAAGTATTTGTAGATTATTAATTTTATTTCCAAGATAATGTCTGAAGCTGTAAAAATAAAGAACATCTGCTGCATAGGGGCTGGTTATGTTGGGGGTCCAACCTGTGCCGTCATAGCCCTGAAGTGTCCTGACATCACGGTCAAGGTTGTCGACCTGTCAAAAGAGAGAATCGATCAGTGGAATTCTAATAATTTACCTATTTTTGAGGTGAGTTTTTTGTTTGTTGTGTTGTCGCCATGGCTAACTTCACGAGCTAAAAATGGCTTTTTTATTTTCGTGGTAATCAACGTGGTTGTCATGTGTCTATTTTTATTTATTTTTTATTTAATATTATTTTTGTTATTTTATTTATGTAGTTGTTTGCTTTGAAAGTGCAACAATGTAACTAGTTAAATACCAATATCAATATCAAATCATTATTAATCTCTGTGTCAATCCAACATACTCTGATTTTTACCTGTTTTGTGTTTGTCATTTTGAGTGAACCATCCTATCCTATCCTGCTCATTGAATTATCTATTTATTCATCCATCCATCCATCAACCGATTCAACAACCCATCAACCATTTTTTTTCGCTCATCCTCTTACAATTTATCCATCCTTCCATAGTTTCGTCAATCCTTTTATATGCTCACCCATCAACCTTTCTATCCATCCATCCATTCATCCATCCATCAATCTTTTTATCCATCTCTCTGTTCATTCATTTGTCAAACCCTTTATCCATGCACCCCTCCCAGCCGGGCCTGGATGACATAGTGAAGGAGTGCAGAGGAAGGAATTTATTCTTCTCGACGAACATCGATGCAGCCATCCACGAGGCAGATCTCGTCTTTATTTGCGTCAACACTCCAACTAAAAGTTATGGCCTTGGGAAGGTGCAAGTTTATTATTAATGATGGCAATAATAACAACAATAACAATAATAATAATTATTATTATTGTAATTATTATAATTATTATTACTCTTATTATCTGTTTAGTTGTTTGCTTTGAAAGTTCTAACTCCTATCCTTGTTATTGTTTGTCACTACTACCAAAATCCCCAAAGCAATAACAACATTATTGTTACCACTGACACCATTTAACGATACTACAACAATGACAATAATCAGAGTCGGGCCCCAGACCTGAAGTACATAGAATCAGCAGCTCGTCGCATAGCTGACATTTCCACATCGAACAAAATTGTCGTCGAGAAGAGCACGGTGCCCGTCAAGGCTGCCGAGAGTATCATGGAAATACTGAACAGCAATCATAAACCTGGGGTCCAGTTTCAAGTTAGTGAGAAATAGGGATGTGCTGGGCATTTTTTAGGATTGTGCAGCAATGTGTGCTCGTCATTCAAATATTTAATTTGTTTAATTTATTATTTTTCGTTTATATTAAATGTGGTTGTTAATTTTTTTTGTATGTTACTTATAGTGCATGATAATTTTGTTAATTAAACCCTGAAAAGATTATAAAATTTTAAACTATTTCGGACATTTGCTGGGGTTATCATCGGAGAGAGAAAAATTTTTGGTGATGTTGAAAAATATGCCCTGATTATTTATTGTTATTTTCGATTATCAACCATTCTCTACATGGCAGAATGATTACAATATATCATTTTATCATTCTCATCTGTGATTATGATGGTGATTTAGTCGTTGTTGATACCACGATTTTGATTATGATGATATGATGATTATGGTAATGTCTATCATGAACAAGATGCACTTATCTTATATTGATTAAATGCACTTAATGTTGAATTCTGCATTTATCTTTCTAACACACACACATTATCACCTTATATATATATATATATATATATATATATATATATATATATATATATATATATATATATATATATATATATATGTATGTATGTATTCATGTCTGTACATATTTATTTTTGTTTTAACCACAAATAAACATTTAAATAAATTTTTTTATCATTTTTGTTTGTTTTTGTTTTCCTCTAGTTTCAGGTAAAGAGGTTGAATTCTTGCAGGCGTGTTTGGAAGTTTTTAAGTTATAATACAATAAAATAATTATTATGTTTATTACTATTATTATTTATAATTATTGTTATTTTATATATATAGAGGGAGTGTATTTATTATAATAGGGCTTATCCATAAAGAATATCACGCTTTTTTGGCGTTTTTTAATTCCACCCCTTCCCATGTCATTAATTGTCACAAATTTTCACACAGCCCAATATAAAGGGTATCACAATTTTTTGACCCCACCCCATTGAAAATAAGCATTTTGAGGTTGGAAAGAAACTCAGTCTCTCATTGGATATAAAATTCTGGTCGTTGATCTATGAAAATCCGGGTGATATGATTTCTTTTTGGTGAAAATGAAGTTGATTGACCATATTTGAACTTTTAAAGGTTAAATCGAATTACAACAAAAAGGAATCATTATTTTGATAACGGGGGAGTGTTGAAGTTAGCCCTCTTGCTCTTAAATGTCTTTAAGCTGCAAACAATGAACGACAAATTATAAATATTGCGAATAATTATTGACAAATGACAAATGAATATTAACCACATACAATGGCGTTAAACACAAATAAATACGTACTTTGTGAATAAAATTGAAAAGTTCGAGGATGAAAGCATCCAAGAAGCAAATTCCTTTGACGCGCACTTTTAACTTACTAACTTTTATAAACATTTTTTGTCAAAATGTTTCAACAATAAAATTTCTATTCATTCACGATGGAGATAATCCAAGTGCAAAACTGAATGTCACATCAGTGTCAAAATTTTTTGAACCCGTACCCCCTACCCTCTTCAAAGCGTGATGTACTTCACGGACAGCCCTTTTACTGTTATTGCTTTCATTATTATGTTTGAGATATTTTTCACTTTTCCTCACTTTTCTTATTTATTATTATTATTATTATTACGACTATTATTATTTACCATTATTATTATTGCTGTTGTTTGTTGTTGTTTTTATTATGACTATTATTTATTAATAGTAGCAGTAGTGATTTATTATTATTTATTTGTTAATAATTTCTCCTACATTACACCTTTTTTAAAAAACTATGCTTGGGCGAATCTATATCCGGTGAATCATTAACACATATATGTATATATAATTATTTATATTTATTATGCTAATCAATGGTCAGTTAATTTGAACAAAATCGTGTTATACACAAACACACACACACACACACACACACACACACATATATATATATATATATATATATATATATATATATATATATATATATATATATATATATATATATATATGTATGTTGGTAATAGACCATAATTTTTACAATATTCTATAAATTCTACCGAATGTTTGGCGTTAATATGTTTGTAGTTCGTTTTTAAATAAATAAATAAATATATATATATATATATATATATATATATATATATATATAAACATCATAAACAAGGTATCAATTCGAAGACCGAAGATGGTATAGGAATACCGAAAAAAGCTTCTTTGTTCTATTACGCTTAAATGTTCTATCATGCTTAAATGTTCTATCATGTGTAAAATAAATACAAATTTTGGTATTGAACCCAAGAAACTTGACAATGATTTACGATCAACCGTTAGAAAAATCGAAAAATTAAACAGAAAGCTGACTAACTATGGTAATTTTTTCGAATAATTTCTACACCCACACACACACCATATTTGTTTGTGTGTAGGTTTTATTGTGTGTATATTTGTTTAAATTAATTTGTTGTATGTGTTCGGATTTGTATGTAGGCTTGTTCATTTGTAGGTCTGTGTATGCAGTAGGTTAATTAAATTTTTTTTGTTTTGTAGGCAGATTTGTTTAACTGTTTATACTGTGAGTTTGTTTGTTTGTTTGTTTGTTGGTTTATGGCTGAATAATAAGGTATATGGGTGTGGGTAAGTAGGTAGGTTAGATATTAACATCAGTTATCTACTCATAATTTAATTTTTTTCTTCATATACCAATGCCAAATTTAACAGTTAGATTTGATATATGATTTTTTTTCAGTTAGTTCTTAACAGTAACGCACAGCGTTTTCACCTGCCTGACACTGTTTTTAATAGTTTTTTTTTGTGCCAAATTTATTTCAGTTGTATCATTTGTAAGATTACAATTTTTAGGTTTACCAATTTCAAGCCATAGTCACTGTATCCATATTGGTTCTTTACTTACTCTTTTTCCTTTCTTCTCTCTCTCTCTCCCCTCCCCTCCTCTCTCTCTTTCTCTCATTTCATTTATTCATTTTTTTTAATTTAACTGAAGGTACTAGAATTAATATTATCATAATTACTACTATTAATATAGAAACAATAATAATATTATTATTATTGTTGTTATTTTCGTTTATGCAATTTCTGTCTATCTGATGATTTTTTTATGGTTAATATTTCCTTTTTATTAATGCTATTAGTTTTATTATTATTATTATTACTATTATTATTATTTTTATTGTTATTATTATTAATTTCCTCTCAATTAATTTTTCCTAATTAATCCTGCAACTGACAGCAAGGTCGTACACCATAAACACTGCATCATCCATACTCATACAGCCCGCAGTTCCACACAATCACAATCACTCATCATGCTCACTAACATTTTATGACTACCATTCATCTTATCATTGCAATCGCAAACGACTGTCATCACCATCATTCTCGCCATCGTCTCATCAGGTGCTCTCCAACCCTGAATTTTTGGCAGAGGGCACAGCCATAAATGACCTACTGAACCCTGACAGGGTTTTGATTGGTGGGGAGGAAACCCCTGAAGGTGATGATGATAATGTTATTATTGTTATTGTTATATTATTATTATTATTATTATTATTATTATTATTATTATCCAGGGAGGAATGCCATAGAGTCCTTGAGCAACATTTATTCTAGATGGGTGGCCAGACAAAAAATTGTGGCTACCAACACGTGGTCATCAGAGCTTTCTAAACTGGTTGGTTTGTTGATTGATTGAATGAATGAATGAATGAATGAATGGTTGGTTGAGTGATTGAATGATTGATTGAGCGGATGGATGGGTGATTGGATGAAGGGTTGATTGAATGAATGGTTGGCTGAAAGAATGAGTAATTGATTGATTGATTTATTAGTTGATTGGTTTGTTGATTGGCTGCTACTTGATTGGTTCGCTGGGGACTTGTTTGGTCATCATCATCATAATCACCACCACCATCATCATCATCGTAATCATCACCGCCATCATTATTGTCATCATAACCATCATTATCATCATCAGGCGGCCAATGCCTTTCTTGCCCAGAGAATTTCAAGCATTAACAGCATGTCTGCAATATGTGAAGCTACTGGTTGGTGATTGTCATCATCATCGTCATCACCATTGTCATCACCATCATCATTACCATCATCCTCTTCACCGTCATTACCCTCATCATCATCACTACTCACTACCTTCGTCATCATCACTATCATAACTTAGGGGCTGACGTGGCAGAAGTGGCACACGCCATAGGGTTGGATTCTAGGATCGGTCCCAAGTTCCTGGTCGCCAGTGTCGGTTGGTTATCATCATCTCATCATCTTCATCGTCATCCCATCATCATCACGATCATCATCATCATCGCCACGATCATCACCACCACCACCATGACGTCAGGCTTCGGAGGCAGTTGTTTCCAGAAGGATGTGCTAAACCTCGTCTACCTCAGCGAGTGCCTCAACCTGCCACAAGTTGCCGCCTACTGGAACCAAGTACGATGATGATGATGATGATGGTGGTGATAGTGGTGGTGGTGGTAGTTGTGATGGTGACGGTGATGGTGTGGTTATGATGGTGTGGTGATGGTGATGATGATAATAATGATGATGGTGGAGATGATGATGGTGGTGGTGGTGGCGATGATTGTATTTATGATTACGGATATGAAAATGATGATTGGACTTTTAAAATCCTCCAAGATTATCATTTAACCACTGATGATTCTCATCTTAATGCTCGTCATTCATCTTCATCTTCGCATCTCTTACAACTACAATATTATTATTATTATTATTATTATAGTCACCATCAATCATCACAATCGTCATCACCATCATCACAATCATCATCATCATCGAGATGGCAGCTGGCTTTAACGAATCTTCATGCCAATAATGTTCAATATTGCAATGAGAGTAAATAAGAAAATTCAATCTGTCTTATCTACATAATCTTTTTTATTTTTTTCTATGTTTCTTTTTTGTCTTTCTTTCTCTTTCTGTCTCTCTCTCTCTCTTTTTCTTTCTCTTTCTCTCTCTTTTTCTTTCTCTTTCTCTCTCTTTTTCTTTCTCTCTCTTTTTCTTTCTCTCTCTTTTTCTTTCTCTTTCTTTCTCTTTCTCTCTCTTTCTTTCTCATTCTCTTTCTCTCTCCGGATTTTTTTGAAGTCGGCAGATATTTTTCATCTAATTCCATCCAACTCCAAGAGAGTGTTGAGAGTTGGAAAGGAATTTTTATTTTATACTCTAGAATGATTTTTGAAACTGCCCCTGTTTTCCAAAAGACACACCACACACGTCTGCCTTTAGCGGCGTACCATCACCATCATCATCTCTTCAGTAAGTCGAACATTTGTACTCGGAGTCCAGTCGGAAAATTTTAAATCAAAAAGTTGGAGTCGGAAAATTTTTTGCACCAGACGTGATGTTGAAGACGATAATTATTATAATGATGATGACGATGATTATGATGAAGGTGATTATGATGAAGATAATGACGATGATGATGACAATGACGATGATGATATAGGTGATAGAGATGAATGAATATCAGAAGCGTCGTTTCGTGGACAACATCGTGCACGCGCTCTTCAATACGGTCTGCGACAAGAAGATCACCATCTTTGGCTTTGCGTTTAAGAAGGATACTGCCGACACTCGGTTGGTTGCTTGTGCGTGTCCCTGTTCGTTCATTGGTTGGCTGCTGGTGATTGCTTGGCTGCCGATTGGTGGGCCGGTAATTGCCTGGCCGGTGATTGGTGGGCCGGTAATTGCCTGGCCGGTGATTGGTGAGCCGGTGATTGCCTGGCCGGTGATTGGTGGGCCGGTGATTGCCTCGGTTTGTTCATTCAATGATTGGTTGAATGGATGCTATTATGTTAATTAATTGTTTTGTTGGCTGCCTGTCGTGTTGGTTAATTGTTTGGTTGGTTGTCTTCATTGTTTGTTTTTCAAGCAGGTTGGTTGGTTTTGTTGATATTATTATTGGCTAATAAACGAATTGTGTTAATTAGTTAATTGGTCGACTGAATGATTGACTGGTTCCTCTTTTAATTGATTGGTTGGCTGTCTGGGTCAGTTGATCATTTAGTTACTTTGATTGGTTGGATTTTTGGACTAAATAGTTACGTGGTTTGTACATTTTTAAAGAGGAGTCGGATGATTTATTGGTTGATAAATTAATTGACCGGCTGGTAATATTTGCTTGAATAATATTCATTATTTCAATCCATCCATTCAATCCATCAATCTATCCATCCATTCAATCAATTCATCCATTCAATCAATCCATCCATCAGCGAATCACCGAGTATCACGATATGCAAGTACCTGATTGACGAGTGTGCCCAGATATCAATCTACGACCCTCAGGTCGACCCCGAACAAATGCTGTTGTAAGTTGAAGGCTTGCATGGATGGATGGATGCATTCATACATGGATGCTTACATGCTCGGGTGCTTGAACGATTAAATGAATGAATGTTTGAATAAGTGAAAAAATGAGCTAACTAACGAACGAACAATTGAATGAATGAATGAATGAATGAGTGAATGAATGAATGAACGAATAAATGAATGACTGGATGAGTGAATAAATAGAGGACTTAATTTATCGTTAAGCATTAGCATGATAAATGGATGGATGATGGCGATAGATGGATAGAATTTTTTTTTCTAAAATTAGTCTAGAAATATAATATATTCGATAATAACTAATGAAAACCATCTACAACCAACAACAAAAAAATGTTACAGTGAACTGAAAAGTTTGGAATACCAAGAGAAAGGTTAGTCAGATCATTCACTCATGCACTCATTATAATTATTACCATCACCATATTCATAATCATTTTTTCATTCGTTGTATTCATCATTTTTAGACATGTACAGCATATACTCACAGCCCACAGACATATACTCATGCACATGTACACACACACTCACACACACACAGACATATACACACAGACACACACAGACATCTAAATACACATACACACAAATACACACATACAGGCATTGACATTGAGAAATACATAAAGATATACAAGAGTCCTTATGAGGCCGCCAAGAAAGCTCACGCCATTGTCATCTGCACCGAATGGGACGAGTTCAAGGTCAGTCTGTCTCATTATAATATAATTATTATGATCGTAATAATATTAATAAACATAATAAATTATTTTTTTATCGTTACCGATGTATTTTTTATTGTTCTCATGAGTTGGCTGTATTCATGATTCAATGTATATTTGAAATCTATGTATTATTTCATTTCATTATTATTTACACAGTTACATTTCAAGTTTACAGGCTGTAACATTTTACTACAGAATTCCTTTGAATTTACGGAATTCATTTAATTTCCATTAAATTATTGAATTCCTTTAAAATCCATGTAGCCACCACACCAAACCACACCACACCACATCGCAGACGTTAGACTACGAGCGAATCTACTCCAGCATGTGCCAGCCTGCTCACATCTTCGACGGGCGACAGCTTCTCGACCACAAGTACCTCATCGACATCGGCTTCAGGGTTGAAGCCATTGGGAAAAATCTTTCCAAGAGTCATACTGGAAAGCCGTTTTCGTCTGTGGAGGGCCCCAAAGCTAAGAGACCCAAGTGGTAATTGGAGGGTTTTGTTGTTGTTGTTGTTGTTGCTGTTATTATTTTTATCTTTGTTTATTAGCGTTCGAAATTGTTTTTGTTGTTTTCTACCGTTGAAGTTTGGCTTGGTTGTTGTTATTATTATCGTTATTGTAGTTGCTATTGTTCCTACTAACATTGTCGTGTCCACTGCATCCTATAACTTTTATTAATATTTTATAAATATTTATATTATGAATTTTGTATTATATTATAATATATATATATATATATATATATATATATATATATATATATATATATATATTAATGTAATAATTATATTTTAATATTTGTTTGTGACGGTAATTTTGTTATTGGGTTGTTCACTTGGTAATTACACACAGAAATACACACATATACACACCAGACATGCACACATACACACACAGACATACATTCATATGGTATACATATGTATTTATATATCTGTGATAATACATACATATGGTATACATTTATATATTTGTGATAAACGATAATTCACTCACTCACTCACTCACTCACTCACTCACTCACTCACTCACTCACTCACTCACTCACTCACTCACTCGCTCACTCGCTCGCTTTTTCACTCACTCATTCTTTCATTAACTCATTCAACAACTTATTCACTCACTCACACGTTCATTCACTCACTCATTCAACAACTCATTCACTCACACATTCATTCACTCACTCACTAATGGCTACAAATTATCTTTCCATATTTTTATATTTTTATATTTTATTTATTGAAAATGTTTAAAAATTTTTGGGACTTTCCTGATACCCATGACATAGCATCTGAAAATGTCGATAACTCATAATTTTAAAAAGATGATACCAAATTTTATTTAATTTTAAAAATATTTATTTTTTTTTTTAAATCCACCTGTTCGTTTTCCAATGTTGAATTGTTGTATAATTTTCATCACAATGTTTTTGTTATAATAATAATATTATTATTATTATAATTTATTATTATTATTTATAATAATAATGGTTGAATTATTATTGTTAATATTTTTTTATATATGAATCGCAGTAATTGTAACAATATATTTTTATTATTGTGGTCGTTGTTTAGTGTAGTTGTTGTTAATATTCCTAAATCTCCGGGTTTCCGATTAACTAGGACGTTGTTGTTGTTGCTGTTGTTGTTGTTGTTGTTGTGGTTGTTGTTGCCGTGAAAACTATCATCGCCATCTTCATTTGACTGCATAAATCAAGCCTGGCAATGTAAAAAGGTAAAACATTACTAGTTATCATAGCGCGTCTATATGGAAATGGTACGGTCAGAAATATTTCTCTAAGAGGGAGGTTTGGTCTTTAGGTTTCTTTCTTCAGATCCTCTGAGGCCAATTTGGTAAAGTTGAGGAAGAGTTCCTTATCTTGAGGTTATGACAATGACTGATTGGTTTGATTCGTCGGTACGGTACCATTTTGTCGTCTTTGCTTGCAGCCAACTGTTTTATGAACGTAGAAGCACAACTTAAAAAGTAAGGATCGATCGTGGAAGAGATTGCTCTAATGATTTTGCCGTGTTGTGTGTATTATGTTGTGTTGTATTGTTTTATGTGGTATTGTGTCTTGGTTTCATGTTGTATTGTTTTATGTTGTATTGTATCAAGGTTTTATATTGTATTGTATTGTTTTATGGTTGTATTGTATCACGGTTTTATGTATTGTATGTACATTGTTTTGAGCTGTGTTTTGTTGAATTGTATTGTATTATATTGTATTGTATTGTATTGTCTTGTGTTGTATTATGTTTCATTCGATCATTGCCCTTCTCACATTACGGTTGTTATATTTTGTCTATTTTTTTAATATATTATAAATAACAATAATTTTATTAATATTTATTATAATTATAATTTATATTAATTATTGCTAACGGATTTCGGTGTTGGTTGCGTTACTAATTAGGTAGTTTTTTTTTTCCTATAAATTTTTTTCACTACCATTACTTTCGTGCTGTTTTATTTGTCACTCACAATTACCGTTATTGTTGTTATTATTATTATTATATGTTTTGGCATAATTTATCTATATTTATATATATATAATTATATATTTATAATTAATTAATTAATTAGTTAATTTATTTATTTAGTATTTATTTATTTTTATATAATTATATGGTGTATATGACAATAACGTTTCATTACTGTCATCATCACTTCGCCATTAATAAAATTATATATTAACCTAATTATATTATTATTATATTATTATTATTATTATCATTTTTATTGTTATTATGATTCTGTTTTGCCAAATGTTGTGATCATCTTTTGTGCATGCATAGGAAGAAAGAGCATTGCCGTCGTACTAACATAATATCAATCAATCAATCAATTAATCTCTGATTAATTAATTAATTAAGCAATTAAACAAATTAAACCATTAAACAATTTGCTAATTAATAAATTAAACATAATATCAATAATATTAATCATTATTTGATTGGTATATATATATATATATATATATATATATATATATATATATATATATATATATATATATATATATATATATATATATATATATATATATATATATATATATATATATATATATATATATATATATATATATATATATATATATATATATATATATATATATATATATATATATATATATATATATGTTGGTAATAGACCATAATTTTTACAATATTCTATAAATTCTAACGAATGTTTGGCGTTAATATGTTTGTAGTTCGTTTTTTCGATTTTTCTCACTAAAGTTTTTTGGTGAACGTTTAGTTACTAAAGTTTTTTGGTGAACGTTTAGTTACTAAAGTTTTTTGGTGAACGTTTAGTTACTAAAGTTTTTTGGTGAACGTTTTTTGTCATAACATTTAATAATTCCTTATATATTATTCCATTGTTTCCACAGTACTCACACGCATCCACACACACACAGACTCATATATATGTGCACACACGTGTTTTGTATGAAATTATATTATATTTAAAAATCTATATCTGGCTTATACAATATGAAGGGTTGAAGCTACGAAACATTATATTTTATTTATATTTTTACATTATTTAATCATAGTTTTATTTAAATTTGTGCATAATTATAAATATTTATGCTAAACTGTATCTAACCTTCACTTTCACTTTCTTCTCCTTAGAGACTATGACAATTTATTTTTATCCGCTTTTCAGGGTTTTTTTTATATTTGGTGATAATAGTTGTTTTGTTTTTGTTTCTTTGTTTTTACACAAGGGTTAACTATATGTGAAACACACACACGCACAAAACACACATGCACGTACATATATATTTAAATTTATAAACGTAGTTTATCTTATAAACGAAATTAGCAAATACTGTTTAACACATTATTATTATTTTATTACAATTGAAGTAGTTTCTATGCATATCAACATTCTTATTCATTCTCCATTTGAAAAACTTGTATTTTGAATACAATATAAATTGGTTTAAAACAAGAACCCCTGACAATTTTTAATGGAACTTAATTACTTTTAATAGGAGCAATACATCCAAATCTTTTACTAAATTGTTCATTAATGTCCGACGTATTCTTGAAGCAATTGTTTTGCATGGGCCCCATGCCATGGGGCATATATATATATATATATATATATATATATATATATATATATATTATAGAACTTTGTATTCTTATGGCATTTGTTTTTCGTTTCAGCATAGGAATTGAAATATAGTAAGTGCGGAAACTAAACTCAACACTAAGGTAGAAGCATTTCTGTCATTGACTCTTCATCTGCCTCTTGATTCCCTCTAAGAATTATAATGAACGTGTGACGTCATTGTAACCCTTGCTTCCATATTAAGCTTATAACGAGACAACAGTTTTGATCCACAAACTGAATGGGAAGGAAAAAATTTTTGCGGGCGGACCATAACATTATATGTTAGTTAAGGTAATAAATATTTATTTATTAGCTTATGTGTTAATGAATAATTTTTAATAGTTCAGCAAATAAGCATAAAAGATTAATGCAACGTGTTTAGACTTTCAGCCTCGCCACCTATTTTGTTAACATCTTGCTTTATGGTTATTATTTAACAGGAAAATTTTCACGCAAACGTAAAAACATAGAAACGACAATTCTGGATTGAAAACTCAAATTTCTCAAAACTGTAAATTACAAATAAGAACCAGCTTGAATATTTTTTGTTCTTCGTAAGGCAACTGACATACGCAGGACTGCAAACATGTTTGTCTTTTGTCTATACCTAGAGTTGAATCTTCATGCCACAAGGGCTCTAACATCCACACCACACCACGCCACACATGCATGCGCATTTGAGTTTCAGATCGACAGTATTCAAACCGGGCAATCACGTACTACAGTTATAATTCAAAAAGAGAACAATAAAGATAATTTATTTTTTAAAGAATACTTAAAAGAATATATGAAAACGATTTTAATTTTTTCAGAAAAACAAGAATTTGAAAGAAATCATCTTGCACCGAACTTTTCATTTCCGAAGCACTCCATCTTAAAATTCTATTTGTAAACTTAAAACTGGCGCTACAAAACTCTCTTAAATATATTTAGAGAAAAAAAAACTAATTTGAACTTATTGCAAATGATATCAACAATTCAACTATTTATTATTATTAATTATTATCGATTTGAAATCAAATAATATTTGAAAACAATGGTGACAAAAAATATTGAGAATAGCAAGCAAATTATTTAATTGCTTAAGACCGTATACATTACATAAGACATATTTATTTCATTTTCTTGTTATATATATATATATATATATATATATATATATATATATATATATTTGTTATTTTTATTAGATATATTCAAATTTATTGAAATATGTTTATTACAAACAAACAAACATCTAGTAGACAGATAGAGAGAGAAGCAGACAGACAGACATGCAAACAGAAAGATAGAATGTCAAAACAAACATACAAACAGATAGAAATACAGACATACTCACGGACATGGTGACTAACAAATACATTAAAATTAGGTAGATTAAGATTGTCCGGCGAAGATTATATTGAAATAATCCCAAATAATTAACGTAATATTATAGTAAAAAGTTAGCATTACATAGTAAAATATCAATATTATCATTAAGTGCTAATAAGAGAAATATAATAACCATAAAATAATAAAAAATTATAATAATATACTAGTAAGTAATAATAACAAAAAAATATAATAATAATTATAACGTGGATAAAAATGAAAATAAGCTCAAACAGAAGTAACAAAGAGCAACATTACATTTTTGTGTATATCTTTTTTAAAATATTTCCATACACCAGTGCACTTGGTACCTATACTCAAGTAGCATTCTGGTACCAATTTTAAGTACTTGAACCTAACACCTAAGTACTTACATTGTACCTGGAAATTGTATAAGTACAACGTACAATTGTAACGATTTACCAAGACTGGTTATATTTCTTGATTTTGGCAATTTTTCCAAATCTAACCGTGACGAAATCGGGCCGCATTTTGGATCTGAGTCGGATGTAGTCACCAAAACTTTAAGGCATTTGTATTTTTGTGTACATTTGTATGAACACACGTATGTCTAAGTTTACAAAATTATACATTTAATTGTTCACATGTGATCACGTATTTAAATGTATATTAATCAATAAATTGCAAGATTTGAAGCGTGAAGAATTCAATTTGGTCGAAGTGACTATCCTAATTATATCTTAATTACTTTTAAATTACCAGACATTAATACCAAGCACTATGATTGAGAAAATTGTTTTTCAAAATATGTTAACATATGAGGCTAATCCCACATGTTTTTATGTATGTTGGTTCCCACGTGCATGTGCTTGTATATAAGAGAATCGATCACACATGTTTCTATTTATGTTTCTTTCAATGTTTATGCTAGTAGGTGAGTGTATGCTAGCAAATGATTGTATATAACAAAATGGATAAAGAGGTATTAATTCAATCTGCATTAAATTTATTTACTAGGCTATTGATAGAGATGTAATATAAAAAAGTTTAATGCTAGGTTACAGACATGTGTTGGCAAGATAATAAGACAAACCTTAGTCATGAGCTACAACAAAATGCACTGTGCACAAATCCAGCTTCGACAAGCCTCCGACCGGAGTTGTGTTTGTCAATCCAGGTATTCCGGTTGGATTCGAAAAGTGTCTTTGAAGAAGTCCAACTCCAGAACGGCCTCAATATGTTTGATTTATTTTTATTGATTTGAAACAAATTTTAATTCGCTTTGTCGGTCGTTCAGTGTACTTATTGATCTTTCGCATTTGAGTTACAAGTACCTACTTATACCTGAACTATAGTACTCATACTTGAGGTATTTTTACTTGGAAAAATTTAATTTTCAGTACATGTAACGGTACTTGATATCTGAGTTACTGAGTAATCGAAGACATCGCTGCTATATACATATATATCAATATATGCATGAATGTAAACAGTTATTCGTCAGTGCATTTATCATTACTGCGCAATAAGTTGAAGAAGGCAGTTCATACGGTGATAATATTAAAAGCAAGCAAACCGTGTCAAACATAACTATGTGATATATATATAAATATATATACATCAATAATTCAATAAAAAGTTAGTTAAATAGAATAATTTACTAAACAAAATTAGACATCGATTTATTCATAATTTTATATTTGTTAAGTTTTATTTGGGTCCAGCAAGGACATAGAAAAAACACTATTCTATATTTTGTATAGACATGGAGATTATTTGTTTATTTATTCATTCATTCAAAACATTTCTTAAGAAATATCGGAAAGGTTTAATAAATTATGCGATTAATTCTACAAAATTCTGAAGAATTAGATTAGGTTTTATTAACATGAGCTGGGCTGTCTTTAAAATGTTTTCTGGGGTCAAGATGGGTTCAAAGTAATGTATTTCATAATCAATCAATCAATCAATCAAAGGCGCGCACACAATCGCGCGCACGCAATCGCGCGCACGCACACAGGCTGGAAGGAGACCATAACTGATGCAATATTTGATAAAATCTACCGAATTTTTACCTTTTGAAAGTTTACGGCTCAGCTTTTCAACACTCAACGTAATTTTATAATTATTATCCAGCTTATAAAATTAATAAGAAAATCGCTGTTGTTCATGGTGAAGCGTGCTTATATAATATATGGGGATATTTCAAGGTTTTACAACTTTCTGTGTGTGCAAAGTGCTCTTATTTAGCTCTGTCCCGTCCGTTTATTATATCTTGGTCCTGTCCATTTAATGTATCTTCGTTTTGCTGTTCATTCTCTTTGCTTGTAATGTCTTTCAATAATATTCTTCTGGTCGGTGATGATGTTGCAATTCTTTGCTGCTTGTTAATTTGCGGTTTTTTTCGGTCAATGAAGATCAATCACTTCAGCAATTCTTAGATGGCTTTGCTGAAGAATTAACTTTGCTTTGTTTAAATTAGAAACTATAAAAATGATTTGTGAAAAACCGAAATATGGCCTATCTGCTTGATGAATTTGGACGACAACAGTTTCATTGAATTTTCATGATGAACTTGCATAATGATTCTATTTTCAATAAATTGGACAATTTCCAGAACATTCTAGTAAGGAAAATTTAAAAGACAAACTTTAAATTGATTAATGTCAACAATTCGCTAGAATTCATACAATACTGTATAAAGCATGGTCTCCTTCCAACACACACACACACATTCACACACATATATGCATGTGAATGTTCAAGTAATATTTGTGGTGTTCCAAAGGAAAAATCAACCACCAGAATGTCATCAATCAAATTACAAAATGTGAACAATGTGAAAAAAATTTTAATTCTTAAGTTTAAAAATGAAAATGTTGAAAGAGAACCTTAACAAAAATAATTATTAATTATTTCAATAAATCAATAATTGAACAACAAACAATTGAAAAAATTTATTAAAATCCATTGAAGGAGAAAGTCACTTTGTTAAACATAGATATTTAAAAAGTTAAATTACATGTCTATGTTTATCAAAATGTTATTCTCTGTATCAACAAGAAATTCAGCCGTTCTAAATGCAATTCTTTGATTTTTCTAAAAAAAATTAGCCACTAAATATATATTTTTAATTATATCAAAATTTTATAAAAATTTGTATTAGTATTGTTTCTTTTTATGTTGTTTTTCCGTTTTTCAAAATGACGTCAGACCATAAATCATGACAAAAGTTAAAGTTTTGGTATCTATGCATCTTTGCTAACTTCCGCTGAATGTAGCGCTTAATGTTTTTCAGTACATTCTATTCAAAGCATTAAGGAAGATACCTCGCAGTTTTTTAGAGTAAAATTAAATCTTAGATTGATTTAAAATCAAAGAAATTTTTGATGTTTATGATAAAAAATGTGGTTAATTATTTAAATCAATCACTCAATCGTATATTGTAGTCTTAATGGTGAAAACATTGATCATTATTACATAATACATGGCATATATATCGATATTTTCGTTTTTTAAATTAAACATCTTTGTGTGAAATCATAAAATGAAAGTAGCGAAAATACTAAAAAAAATCTTCACAATTAACTCAACAAGATCTTCTTCCTCGCGGATGAAATAAACATCTCATACAAACGAATGGTAGAATGATAAAATATAAATTTTTCAAAGATGAAAAAAAAAATCGTTTAAAATAAATTTTTCTTTGCACAAGACAGTAAAAAGGCCGATGATAACGAAGCCAAACGTGAATGAAACTTTATACAACACCTTATTATCACAATGACGTCATCATCGTCATTACATTACGACAATCACATCGTCATATCGTCTCAATAACAACAACAACAACATTATAATGACATCATCAGAATGACGTCATCGTTATCACAAAACATTTTTGATGTTGCTGTTATCGTCGCTGTTGTTGTTGATGCTATCCACGGGAGTGTGAGTAAACGAGATGACGTCATCATCATCATTGTTGTTGTTTATGTCATCGTCAATGTTAATGTTATTGTTATAAACATCTAGAAGAGATTTACCCAATGTGCTTAGCGTACTATCTTCCTCATCATCGATGACTGAACTGACACTTTTACCTTCCTCTCTATTAACGTTACTGTTGTTGATAAATGTAGTGTTACTGTTTTCGCGATTGTTGTTGTTGTTGATGTTATCAGAGTTAATGTTGTTGATGTCAGTGCGCGATGTCATGCTATCGATACTCATCGAGCTGACTAGATCCGTGTCGTTGATGTTGCTGCTGTCAGTGTTGTTGACGGCATCACTACTGGCTTCACCGATGACTTCTTTAATGTCATTTTTATCATTTCCGCTGTTCTCATTAGGACTAATCAAATTTCTAGTGACGTCATCATCCCCATTGTTGTCAACGTTATTATTATTATTATCATTATTATTGTTATTATTGTGATTATTTGCACTGCCATCGGTCAGGCCGTCGTATGCCCTATGGACACTGACGAAACTTCCACCTTGATTTTTACTGGAAGCCGATTTATAATCCTCCTCATCGCCGGCATTATCACTACTATCACCAGCACCAGCGCCATCGTCGTTATCATCACTTAAATAGTTCCTTCGACTGACGACGCCATCATCATCACTACCTCCGAGATTCACTCTCCCATTTTCGTCATCACCATCACTCCCCCTCCTCCCCGCCATCATCATCATCTTCTCATTTTTCTTATCGCCACATTTATTCTTATTCTTATTATTATTATTATTCCGGAAGCTAAGGATGATGACGTTGATCTGATTACTGGACGGACTGCCGACGTCGTTGACTCGGAAGAGGTTGTCGTTGATGCGAGACATGTTGCCGTGCAGCCGAGACATGTTGCCGTGGATCCGCAGCGTGCCGCTTCCGGCGTTCCGAACGCCGAGGTCGCCGTCGTTGAAATCGAAAAGTCCGTCCATGTTGATATTAAGGCCGTTGTCGTTGTGGTGTGGCGAGCTGTTGTTGTTCGCGGAGGGATGATTGTTTGGTGGGTTGCTGGCAGCTGCTGCAGCAGCTGTTGTCGCTGCGGCTGACGGTGCCGTGGTGGCAGCTAACGTTCGCATGACGTTGATGTGTGGGATTGTTTCCAGGGATTCACATTCCTCTGGGATCTGTTGGTGGAGTTGGTTGGGTGGAGCTGATGATCGGGGGTCGAGAAGTTGTAGAATAAATGAACGTGCGCTTCATCATTCCACACAAAACAACAACAAACAACAACATGAAAACATAGGCAGAGCAAGCATATTCGACAACTTCAACAAAACAATGACCACAAAACAACAACAACACAAACATCAGCAACAACAACAATATGATCAACGGCATCAACTGACCACAATACCAGCAGCTTTTATGATGTCCAGTTGACATATTGGACACCTCCTGTGTTGACTCAGCCATTCGTCCACACATTTCTTGTGGAAAAGGTGTCTGTAGTGTGTGAGAATGTATGTGTGTGTGTATTTTGTGTTTACATGTGTGTGTGTGTATAATATATGTACATATTGTGTGTGTTAAATTGCTTGTATACATTGTGTGTATACATTGTGTGTATATGTATGTGTGAGGTGGTTATGTGTGGTGAACTGCACATGATACGACTGTCTGATATGAAATATATACATGTTCGTGTTTGTGGATACTAATGAGTTTGTTAGTGTTTGTATTTGTCTTTGAGCTTGTATGTGTGTGTGCGTTTGGATGTGTCCGTGTGTGTGTGTATGTGTGAGTCTTTATGTTTGTTTGTGTGTTATAGGAAGAATTGAGAATGTGATATATGTATGTATCATGAAAAATGACAACACAACAACGCAACACAACTCAACAACAAACAACAACAGCAAGTTAGCAAACAAGGAAACCAACTTGCACGGAAGAATTCTGACGACATCTGCCACCACAAACTCCTCAACACATATGGCGCACGACTCACCCGATAGCTCCTTTCAAATTGAATATTCAATCAATCAGTCAGTCAATCAATCAATCAATCAATCAATCAATCAATCAATCAATCAATCAATCAATCAATCAATCTTCCTATCAAGCAACCAGCCGACTGACCGACCAACAAACTAACCACTAATTCAATAAATTATTCAACCAATTATTCAACCAATTATTCAGTCAACCAACCATCCAACCAACCAACCGAATGACCGAATAAATAACCAACCGTTCAGTCATTCAACCAACCAATCAAATAAGAAACCAAATAGACAGCAAAACATACAAACAACTACTCATAAATATTAAATTAATTAAATACACATGACACCACTAAATCATCTGAAGTCAATAAATTCAAAATTATTCATTCATTCATTCATTCATTCATGCATCCATCCATCCATCCACCCCACAGACAGGATCCCCAAGCTTCAATGTCTTCTGTTCCATCTTTGAAACCACAGACTTCCCAATCTTGAACATTTTCTTCTGTCATGATGATGATGATGATGATGAGATTGGTGTTGATGATGATGTTGGTGATGGCGATGATGCAAAGAGTAATGATGATGATGTAGAGAGTAATAAATTTAAGTATAATTATGGAAAATAAGGATCATTATTAACAACTTTTTAGCAAAAACTGGAACAAACTAATGAACAATTCGATCATTACCAAACGACCAAGTGACCAACTGACTGACCAGGCAATTATTTATTAGCTAACCAACCAATCAGCCAACAAACAAACAATCCAACCAATCAACCGACTTACTGACCAGCCAACCAACAAATCAGCCAAAAAATCAACCAACCAATTATCAATTTAACCTTTAACCAATCAGTAAACAAACCAGCAGACAAATATATAAACAGTAACCTACAAGCCACTAAATTACCAACCAACTAACCATCCAACTATATAATTAACCAATACAAACCCCTAAATTACCAACCATTTGACCAACCAATCAACTAACTGACTGACCAATACCAACCACTGAATTACCAACCAACTGACCAACCAATTAACTAACTGACCAACACAAACCACTAAAACTAACCATAACTCGAATCCTCCTAGCCCGATCTGCATTGATATGACTATGCATGCGAAACCTCTGCACATAGTAAAATATCAACCAGAGCATGGAAACAATAGCAAGAACGATGAAAGAGATGAAGAGGAATATCGTCGATGTTTTGTTGCCGGAGAACATGTTGTTCACGTTGTTCAGCTTAATGACTTGCAATAGTATCGTGACCTTTTCATATTTGTCGATGAAGTTCAACAGCGACTCACCATCCACTTTCTTTATTGAGATGGCCAGAACATTCTGAACTGTTTTGAAAGAAAATAGGTCGGGGAACTAGTTAGGGTGAAAATTAAAAGTTGAAATGAATAAAAGAATTAATGATTGAATGAGTTGGCGAATTTGTTTTAAACATCAAGTAAATATTAACATAAAATTTAAATTTAAAAAAGGTTTTAAAAAAGAACAATTAAAAAATCTAAAATTATTGGGAATATATTTCAATGTTTTCAATTTAAAAATAATAGATTAAACATTAAAGTTTGGAAAATCTTACCGGAATTATTGAAAAATATAAAATAAATAAACATAAAAAATCTTACTATCACTCTGCATGACGACATAATCTGAGTTGGGTTCGTTGTCGTAAATAATCACAGCTGAGGCATTATTCTCCACTAGGGCATAATAAATTTTTGTACTGAAATTACAGTCCCCCCGTTGAATGACAGCCACCCAGGATTCGTGGATAACATTGGTGATCCGGCTACAACCGTCTGAACTGTTGTTTATCGTCTGCACTTTGTAGGCACGTCCAAAAATCCAGTCTTGAATGGGATGGTAGTTGGAATTTAAATGGCCGACGATAACGGTGTTGACAGACTTGTTGGAAGTTGTGTCGTAACTGACGTTTATGATGACGTTTCCAATGTCTGACATTGTTGGGTTTGGGTTTTGTTTACGGATTTCTGAGCTGGAGGTGAGAGCTGTGAAGAGGAGAAAGGTTAGTGAAGGCGTCGACGTCAAGATGAAGGACACTTGGTGGGGTAGGACTCTGCCGCTCATTCTTAGTCCTTTCATTTTATATTTTAAAAAACTTTCTTAACCCTTTCTTACTTATAGAATTTCTAAATTTTTGGTTTTTTGATGGTACAAGAACAAATTTTATTTTATACCAACCAAAAAAAAGTTCTATTTAACAGAAATAAAAAAACAAATTTTAACCAAAAAAACAACGTTATAATGCGGATGTTGCTATTTTTATGAAAGTTTTTCGTTCATTTTGTCGTAATAAGTAATCACCCTTCTAGACACTTGTGTATCAAACCTAAACCCTAAACTAAACTAAATTAAAGCGATAACAAAAGAGTCAAAACAGCCAAAGAACTTTTAACATCTTGTTTATTGTTTTTATTATTTAATTTTTTTAAATTTGTTGATTGTTTAAAAAAAATCAGAATCTGACAGAGGCAGAAAGTGTTACAACACGCAAGACATACTATAATACGATAACGAAAAAATAATATTAATAATGTAACCCGGGCCCCTAAGTCTACGAAGAAAATTTCCTAATATTGTGACGCCATTTGTTTGCGTTGGCAAATTTTGTGGTACTACCGCATTCAAATGAGAATGCAATTTAAATTGCAACAATGAGGATTGAACTATAATGCTTGTTATTCGAACTTAGACGTTTTCCTAAAACAGGGGTGGGCAAACTATGGTCAAGCCATTTTACTTTATTTTGTCATAGGACAAGAGGTGTTGCACAGCGGCATGGCATCATCATTACATAATGGATGGAACCTTTCATAACACGCTTCATTGCAAGTAAGGAGAACGCTGACGTCAAGCATTTATTGTAATGTAAAGAATATCCTACGGCAGATTACTTACTATTGAAGGTGCGTGATAAATAGTGACGCATTTTAGCCGAGTAGCTGGAGTGCGAGGAGTCCGGGTTCGAATTCACATTGAAGTACATCTGCCAATCTTAAAGCCGTCTTCGAGATAAATAGTCTTATGTCACTAAAGCCACGACTTTTTGTTGATCAATTTGTGCGCAATTTTGTATTATCAGCAAACTTATGTAATTTGGCAGAAGACAAATGAATCACAATTTCGAACATTTGGAACATCAAACTTTCTTTCACACTTTTGAAATGACATCCCCAAAAGCTTTAAAACTATTTCAAAATGTGTTTCCTTGGGGGTAGGAAACACCTTTGAATAAATTTATTCATGCATTATTTGTCCATCTATTCAGTGTCATCCCAACAGGGTAGTAACAACAAGAAAAGTTTTGAAAAAGCTTTTTGAAAGGTTTAAGAGGATAACGACGACAACTATGGAAACCTTAATGAATTGAATAATTTGTACAGTTAATTCATCAATTAATCAATCAATTAATCAATTAGTTCGTCAATCAATTTATCAATTAAATAATGAACCGGAATGTGAGTTGGACCCTTACATACTAAAAGCAAAGTTGAGAGTAAATTGACGCTAAAAAGATTATTATTAAAAAGAATTTAAATTTATAAATTAATTAAAAATAAAAAATTTTTATATGAAAGACATTTTAATAACAGAAACATTATCACCATCATAGTTTTAATCACTATCGTTATCATCATCATCATTATTGTTATCATCATCATTATCATCATCATTGTCATTTTGACGTCATCATAATTATCATGACTATGATTATTTCAATCGTCGTTGTCGTCGTCATCATCGTCACCATCATCATTACCATGCTCATCATCATCATCATCATCATCATCATAACTGATACCTGCAGATGAAGAAACAACATTTAGAACTGGAAACGTACAAAATCGTACACACACACAC